GCCAAGTATGCAGTCTGGTGCAAATATGATTAATAAAATGATGTATACAAGGCAAATTTTGGTCAAAAATCCAAAATATTCTGTGACTGTGTTTTGTACACAGTTTGGATTTACCAACAGATCAGGTTTCAATTGTGCTGAAAACATTCTCAGACACATGGTAGGAATTCCAATTAATTGCTATTAAATTAACTGCACTCAAGATATGATTTGAACTAGAAAAGTTAAATGAAACAACTAAATTTTTCAAATGAAAAACAAACAATGGTCTTTAATGGAAAATATTAATTTTGAATAAGTACATCAACAGTTTCTTGATTTGCACTAATGCTTGCTATTAAGAATGATAGTAAACCCTTATAAGAAGAAACAATTAGCTACTTTTAATTATTTCACTTTTAAAACTAAAAATATATTTCTATACAAATTAGAAAAGTTTCTCAAAATTGAAAAAAACTCTACGTAAAATATACAACCAAATCGAGATTTCAATAAAATATAAGGCAATTAGAACAACGAAAGGAAAATGTTTACACAACAATGAACAAGATTCACAGACAAATAATTGCAAAACTATTTCTATAGAGACTACTTTTGGTTGCTTTAGATTGAGGCATAATCTTGATTAAAGAGAGATTTGAACAAATTTAGCAATAGGCTGTCATTTTTCCTTTTAAAATAATAATCTCATTTTAAAAATTGAATAAGAATTAAATTCTATATGAATATAGAAATAGCTTAATGAAATGGTAAAAATTATATTGTCAACAATAATGATCTGTATGATGAAATTAAAATATTTTTATATAATTATACATCATGCAGGACCCAAACACAGAGTTTAAACATAAATGTAGGGCCTCCCTGGTGGTGCAGGGGTTAAAGATAGCACTGTCAAACTGTCGCCAGCCACTACAGCATGAGTTCTATCCCTGCCAGGGAGCTGACCCACATGGCACAGCAGACCTCTCCTGTCTTGCCCGCTGCTCCCCTTAGCAGTGTGTTTCAGTAGAGCTGCCTGTTGTGCTCCCCACTTTCTCTGATGAATCCTCTCATTCCCCCCCCCGCCACCTCTGGCTTACACCCCAGTTCTTATATGCATAAATAAATAAATCCTTTTAAAAAATAAATGTAACATTGTATTCAGACATCTTTGATAATTTGCTGATTTTTCTGTCCTGAAAACCATAACTTTACACATACTTCTCTAGTCTGCATTTATGGACAAAGGTATATTTGTCAAGGTAGAAGGGTGGAACATATTTTATTGAATAACGTGTTTGCTTAATTTATAACTTTTAAATATTTAGACATATAGCATATGGTCCTCCATTTGTACTCTTGTCCAGGGTCCCCTCAAATGCTTGAGCTCAGTGTGAGGCCAGCACCCCCAACCATAGGTATGTTTCAGAGCCAAACTGGTGCTCACTGAGAATCAGGAGAGGAAAAATCTGGTTTAACGACAATTTATCTATCACGGTGGTGGTGGGCCTCAATGCCCACCAATGGCAGGAAAATGCAGGCCTGAGGAAGTCCTACAAGTGATTCTTCTGGGAAGTAAGTCCTTGAATCTGTATTGTCTTCAAGGTGGTTTCAGGGTCAGTGAAGGATAGCAGCCACTGGTGGATTTGAAGGACTCAGAGGGGAAAACACTGTCTTTCTAAAGCTAGGGGAAAGCTAAACAGATGTCAAGGTAAAGAATCAGCTGCAGAGAGAGCATCTTGAGACCTAAAGACATAGAGAAAAATCAAGCTGAAGTGTGACCAACTTCCCTGCAGAGGCTGAGGAAGCAGGTGGGATCTGCTTCAAGTGAGGCCCCAGGTATAGGTGAGGACTCAGGTAGGAGCAGACAGGATCACAGAGGATGCAAGACTGGTCAAAAGGCCCAGGCAAGTATGTGGAGAGCCCAAAGCCTGGGCCAGCTGTGGCCAAGGGCAGGGATGGGATTGGGCTGAATTCAGAAAACTGGTCTGTGTTTGACCTGAGGGAGAGAGTGAGGTCAGGTAGAGAAAGGAACCTTCATTCTTCTTGTGTTGGGAGCCACTTCCCTGCACCATATTTAGACCCTACAGCCACAGGGCATAACCTGGGTAGGTAGGGCCAGGGATTGGACATTCCTTTCTCTCAAGAGCAAGGCAGAATCTAAGAAAAACTGATATCTACAGTTGTCAGATGAGTTTTCCCTGGATCTTATAGAAAAGGGTCTCCAGCATCCAATCAAGCGCCAGTCTGGGTTACCTTCTTCTCCATCCTGATTTGAGGAAGGGTCTTGGATCAAATTCTTTAAGGTCTGAAATAAATAAAGGAGCCCAAACTCAAAAGGATTGATAGTACAAAGCAATCTTCTCTCTCAACCCTCAGACTTTGCTTTTGGGTCCTTGCCCCAGGCTCTTGCTTTCCTGAGTGAACAGGGAGGGAGGGGGGTGATCCCACATACTGTAACTCTGGATAGAGATTTTCTTTCCAACATGTCTGCCCTCCCAGAGGCAATCAACTCTCAAGCTCTTTTTTCCCAGGTCAGACACAGAAGACTCAGTTAGACATTTCCCAAAGGAAACTGACTACTAAGGGAAAAGTCACATCAAAAGCAGGATAATACAAGACTGCAAGGATGGATGATGCCACAGGGAATCATTTTTTATTTGGGCAGAATCAAATTCAGCCTCAGGAGAGTCAGCTGGCTCAAGTATGGACACCAGATGATTTCTCAGAGACCCAGCCTTGCATGCCCCCTGGGGCTAAGTAATTCATTGCACCAAAGCAAAGGAATTTATGATGTAAGCCAAGGCAACCTCCTGATCTTGGTGAGAAGCTGGTCAGCGGTGCATGGGATAAACCAGCCTAATTCTCAAGGAAGGTGAACTAACAATAGTTGTAGACCTGCTAATGTGCAGGTGACTCTCACTTGGGCTTTGTTTAATTTCTCCAACAAGCAAGATAGGCTACTACTGTGAGGTCTTAGGTGACATCCTTTTCCTGGCCACTCCTATCCTCACCAGGTTTCAAGGAACTATCGAGGAGACTAAGAAGTCTTCTAGGAAAGAAGAAAAATAACAATGCTCACCATTGGAATGTGGACAAGAAGGGGTAGGTGAAAACGCCCAGCGCTTGTGAGTGTGTGGTAAAATAGCAACCATTACACGCTGTAGGTGGGTGCGTAATTGGTGTCACATTTTCAGAGGCAATTTGGTGATGTAATCAAACAATTTAAGTGCACACACATACTCCTTGACACAGCAATTTTGTTGCCAGGAATTTATTCTACAGATTTACAAGTATGCAAAGATTCATGGACAAGAACATTCTCTGCATCATTGTTTACTACAGCAAAACAATGGAAACAAATGCCCATCGATAGGGGATCAAATGAGTGAAATACTTTGCATCTATTAAAAAGAATGAGGTAGAACTTTATGTGCTAGAAAAGATGTAGAAATACATTACGTGAGAAAAGAAAATTACAGAAGAGCCTTGCAGTACTGTTCCATTTCTGGTTTTTTGAAGAAAATTGACTATGCATATATTTGTATCACAATGGAAAACATCTGCAAAGATACATACAATAAACTGTGAGCAGTGGCTACTGCTGGGGGACCTTTACTTTCCATTCAACATTTCTCTCCCTACTTTGAATTTATTTTCATGAACATGTGTTAAGTTTAAAATGTAAAAGAAAATTTATAGCAGAAAAAAAGGGACCAATGAAAGGTAATTATCAAAAAGGAATTTCTCAAATTTATCATTAGAAGATAAATTCAACACTAGAACTTGAAGGTCAATTAGACATGGTGGCTGATTCGCAGATCCACCCTAACCCATTAGCTCTAACTTCTCGAGACCCAAGCAGCCGTGTTATGGCACCCCCAATACAGTGATGAGAGTGAGGGAGCAGTCTCCTTCCCTGGACAGCTGCTGAGTCAGTAAGGCACCAGGAAGGAAAGCATTAGTGGATAGAGCCAGAGGCAGGGATTTGTACCTGTGATAGTGTCCCAGCTCAGATGAAGAGGATGGCGGCAAGTCTGACCCACCCCTGTCCCAGTTAATAGCTGGTTGGATCTCCAACTTGGTCACCGCCAAGTCTTGGCTCAGAAGTCTTGGTACAACGGAGGGAATGGCTGCAGGTATTCAACAACAGCAAAAGGAATCAATCATCAGGACGGGGTGTGGAATGCATCATGGTAACACTTGGGGAGTCTACCAGAGATTGGGATATCTGAGTGAGTCCTTGAGCATCCTAACCTAATGCTATCCAAATTTCATTAGCCACTTGATATGTGCACAGCCCAGTTGCGAGCACTCAGAATACAGTGAATACGGTAAACATGGAAATTGTTAAGTTGAATTGGATGAAAATAAAATTGCCAATATTCAATCTTTGTGTTCTCCAAAAATGGCACTTTGTTATGGATCAGCATAAATACATTTTGGCACAAGAAAAAGAAAAAGAAAGCCAACAAATTACCCAATTAACTTCTTGATTACAATTGTGAAAAGAGCTTGAAGGAACAACAAGCTCTAATCCGGTCCTGGGTGCCCACGAACACGTGTGTGTTTACTGGTCACGAAAGGTTTACCGTAAAGAGTCACTTTTGAGGAAGGGAGGATGAAGAGATGTTCCCGCACAGAAAGCGAGAGGAGGACATCATTCTTGCAAGGTCAGGTGCAAAGGCCTTGAAGGTACCTAGAAAAGGAATGGAGTCCGATGGGGTATCTAGGTTAGGAACAGAGGAGAGGGGCAGGCTGGGAGGGAAACAGGAGTCAGGCAGGGCCTGACATTTATGGCATTTTATTTGCATCCCAAAGTTGGCTAAGTCTAGAGAACACTAGGGTTACAAAGAACGTTCTGTGTCCTTTTTACACAGGAGCCACACGGCCTACATCTTTGGGGCGGTGTGTTACTGCATCAGAATTGGGATCTCGATCCTTCCAAAGAGCCTTCTCCACCCAAAATGCCACTGGGAGCGTGGCAGGGGTGAAACCTGCGGGATGCCAGGACCTCTCTAAGAGGAGGCCAAGGAGGACCCATGTGCCCGGGGTTCCCCGATCCCCGGGCGGCAGCTCAGCGCCCAGCAGTCCTGGCGGAAACGGCGCACTGAGAAGCAGTAGATGAGCGGGTCCAGGCAGCTGTTGAGGCTCAGCAGCGCCAGGCTGAGGGTGTGCAAGATGTCGAGCGTAGAGCCCGCACGACATCCGCCGCCGTCGCCGCCCGTGGCGCTCTGCTGTCCGGCCACCCAGGGCGCCAGCAACAGGTGGTAGGGTGCCAAGCAGAGGGCGAAGACCAGCAGGAGCCCCAACACCATGGTTCTGGCCGCGCGCCTGTGCGGGCCCACTGGGGCTGAGCCAGGGCCGGAGGGCGGGGCGAGCGCCCGTGCCAGGTTCACGTAGGCCGCGAGCACCAGCAAGAAGGCGGCCAAGAAGAAGGCCACGGTGGCATAGGCCAGGCCTGCGCGCGCCCAGCCGTGCTCCAGGCAGCGAGCGGCGCCGCCCGGGCCAGGGCGCAAGGCGTGCGGCGCGGCCAGCGAGGGCACCGCGCAGGCCAGGCAGGCCAGCCAGGCGGCCGCGCAGGCAGCACGCGCAGGGCCCGGGCGGCTCAGCCCGAGGCGGGTGGTCGCCCGCAGCCCCGGCTGATGCACCGAGCCGCAGCGGCACACGCTGATGAGCACCGCGAAGGCCACCGCCGCGTAGGTGGACACATAGTAGGCTGCCCCAGCCGCACGGCAGGCGGCCTCCGGAAAGGGCCAGTGGGCCCGACCGAGGTAATAGGTGAGCCACAGAGGCAGCGTGAGCGTGAAGAGCACGTCAGCCAGAGCCAGGTTGAGCAGGTAGAGACGCAGGGCCTGACCCAGGCGCCTGCCGCTGCGGACAAACACTGCCAGGGCAGCCACGTTGGCGGGCAGCCCCAGGCCCAGCGCCAGGGTGTAGGCTGTCGGGACCACGATGAAGCGGGCAGGGTCATCCCATGGGCTGCAGCCGCCAACACCCAGATCCTCAACACTGCTGTTCATCTCGGACCTTGGACTGGGGAGAGGAAGAGAGGTCACCGTGGGGGGTAGCCACAAAGGAATCCCACTGTGCCACCTCCCTCCTCCAGCCCTGTCTTCCTTAGCCCTTGTTGGGAGGAAACCCTAGGACAAGGTAGTCCATGTGAGAAGGGCTGAGAACTGAGCCCAGCCAGCAGCTGCTGGCCATGGAGAGGCAGGGGTGGACGCCAGTGACTTGAAGTAGAATGGGTTTGATGACAAGCTGTGGGAAACGAGGGAAAAGCAGCAGACCCAGATTGCTTGAAAATTTCTGATCTTGGCTGCTGGAAGGGTGGAGGTGGCCCTCATTGATGGAGTATGGTTCAGATTTGTGCAGTAAGCCCAAGTAAGGCTGAGCCAATGGGGAGTTCCAGAGGAACTGGGGTGGGGTTATAGTCCTTTGCAGTTAAAGTCCAAACCTGCCTCCTCCATACACCATCCAGTGGAGAAGGGAGGGTAGGTGAACAGAGGGGTCTTATGGTGCAGCCTCCCAGAGGTTAGGCTCCTGCACAGTAATCTTGGCTTGCATAGGTGAAGGTTATCTTCTGGGGCTTGCCTGGAGCACCTTGGGCAGGGCTGAAAGGCTTCACAACTCTCAGCCTTCCAGTGTGTTTCATTCCCTCTCAGCTCTTGACCACAAAGACTTCCTGAGCTTGACTCAAAACTTTGGGCAGCAAACCAAAAAGGGCACAGGTCTGGGAATGAGACAGATTTGAGATACATGCATTTATTTGCCATGTGACCTTGGGCAAATTACTCAGCTTCACTGAGCTTGTCTTCTTTGCTATAAAATGGAGATTAAAATATCTACCTCACAGGATTTTTGGGAGGATTATGAGAAAACATAAGTAAAACTCTGAGCACTGTGGCTGACACTAGGGAGATACTTCATAACCATTAGTTCTCTTCCCCTCTAGGCAGCACACAGATAAATGTGTACACCCACACAGGCACACATACAGCGTTAGAGACACAGACAGCCCAAGCAAACAAAACAACACAAAGACATCTGGGTGTATCCCTATTCTTTCCCCAAGCGGGGTAAGTACACAAAGACAATGTCCTCTTGCTATATTTAGAATACAGGCACAATCCTAGGGCATCCCAAAACTTGGTTCTTAATACCAAAATTTGTGTTTCTGCCTTTAAACCTCTCACCTCCAATTCTTTCTGGTAACCCTGAGTGAGTTTATTCTCTTCCTGTCTTAGCTCTGTCCACCTTGGCTGTAGCCCCCAACTGCCCCATCCTGAACCTCCGCTTGTCATCCCACCAGATCATTCCTCTCTTACCTCTTGCTGTTCTGACTGCCGCAGCTCTCTCTGGGGCTTGGTGGGCCTGGCTCTAAGGAACTGAGGGCAGAACTCACTCCCAACCGCATATCCCAGACCTCCCCATCAACTGACCAATCCCAGGATGTGACATGAAAAATGGGCCTAACAGCTGGAGGGGGCTGGGACCCACCTGTGGCAGCTGTGAGCTGGGTTTATGGGGTGCGGCCAGGGCCCCAAGAGAAGGGAGTGTCTGCAGGGCAAAGGGGCAGCGTGAGGGAGATAGAAAGTACAAGAAAAGCCTGACAGCTGAATGTCATTGTGCTGACCTCACTTAAGTTTAGGCTGCAGTTGGGGGTGTTGGGGGGAGGCACTTTTCCTAAGGCCTGGCTTCTCCTTGGACTGAGGAGGCACTGCTGGAGCTCAGAATACTCCTGCTGCTGTCAATCCCAACCGCTCCTCCATACCAGCTGGCCAGCCCACTCCTCCAGCACCCTATCTTCCTGCAGCTGCTAGGCAGGCCCTACAGTCAAACTTGGGGGCCCTTAGTGCTAATCAGCCTATAGGCCAAGCTTTGGTAAACAAGAGTGCTCAAGCTAATGCCAGCTGTGAGGTTTTACTCAAAGTCCTGGCTGGAGACAGGCTGGCTGTGGCATCCTGGAAGGGATGGGGACAGTAAGAGGCTAAGATCCTCCCTTTTTCATGGGCTTCAGAATTTTCATGCAGAGCAGCCATTCTGAGAAATGCAGCTGATTTAATCACACTGGACCAATCATCCTGTTCACCATCAAGGTGAAGAAAGTGGGTGTGTCAGGCCTGCCCGAGTTCATCTTTGGCAGCAGGTGCAGTGGAAAATATGGGTTCTGGACTCAATCAGGTCTTAATTTTAGTCTCAGGTCTGACATGTAGGCTCCTTCTGAATCCATTTATCTATAGAACAAAATGGCATTTAGTAACAGAGCTCACTCACATGCTAGCCACTACTGCAAGCACCTCAACTCACTAAATCCTCACTAAACCTTCCAAAAACTCTATGATGTATTTATCATTTTCTATATTTTGTAAATAAGTAATAAGTGGCAGAAACCATTATCTACCTCTTCCCTTCTTCCTTGACAACCAGTGTGGGTAATTTTGTTTATTTAATATATTTTATTTTATATAATTCTTACATCTTTTTTCATCTTTGCACAATGTATGCATTTTCGTTTTGGTTATATTCCCCATACAATGGTACCTCCCCCCTTATTTTGACTCTAGTCCTTCCTTCCCCCCCCACCCCTCTGGCAGTGTGTCTCTGGTTTATAGTTGCTTGTTGATTTTAGTGTGGGTAATTTTTAGCTAGTCTAATTCCATGACGGAATTCCACTCCCCTTGCCAATAGCAGGCTTAGGAATGGGAATGACACAATTCTTGCCAGTGGGATGTGAGGGGAAATAGGGGTCTTCTAAGAGAGCTTTCTTCACTCTTTTCACCTTTGGATTGTGCAAAATGTGCCGTCTGGAACTGATGCAACTATTTTGCAACCCTGAGGGTAGCAGCCAATAAATTGAAAGCAACAGAGCAGAAAGTTGACGGTGTCTGATGTCGTTGTTAAGCAGCCAAATTACCCATTGAAACTGGGTGTTATCTCTGGACCTTCTTTGTGGGAGGAAGTTTCCTTATTGTTTGACACTCTGTCTTATGTAGTACACACATGCCAACATATTTATGTACTATACATAAATTAGTCCTATATATACTAGTGTGTACACATTAGTATACATATATGTACACACACCTGCTATGGGTAAATTACATCACTGTGCTTTCAGACACAAGAAGATCTAACTTGTCAACTAATCTGAGGCTCACAGCTAGTCAGTGTCAGAGCAAGAATTGCCATTCTGTAGTGAAGTTGAAATGGAGCATAATACAGGCTTCTTTCACTCTTGTGAACCTCTGAAGGTGTTGTTCCTACCCTCAAAGCAGTCTGTAGGTTGGAAGCTAGAGTAGATACATAAATCAGTGAGCTTTTTCCTATTTTCCCTAAGGGAAGCACATCACTTCCAAAAATGCCCCCCCCCCCACTGAGGGAAAGATGGTTGGTGATCCCTTACTAGGTAGCCTAACATGGTCACCTTTCCCTTGAGAATTGTCACACACATACACACCCTCCAACACCCTAGGACTTCTGGATTCATCCCAGGCTTCTGGCCCTACTTTAGCATGGAGTTGGTTGTATCCCTGTACTCCACGCAAGTGTCAAGGAGCACTGCTCTGAGTGTCCCACCTTACCACCCAAGGTTGGCGGTTTCAGGTGCTAGAAAATGACTACTAAAATCTCATCCTTGTTAGCTCTGCAAATCTGAAGTGCCAGAGACAGAAAGCAATGGGAGGGAATACCTCATGTGGCTCAGGATACAGGCAGCAGGCATTTATAGCCTGCCATACGCCATGTATAAATTTTAAGTATGTAATAAAAGCCCTTTAAAAGGTACATTCCTTTGAACTAGCACTCTCACTTCTAGAGAAAAAAAAATAAGTATGCAAAGGTGATCTACTGTGAAGTAACAGTAAAACATTGAGAGCAATCCAAATATTCCTCAGTGAGAGTTTGAGCAAATAATTACAGCACATCCTTACAGTGGAATACTATGTAGTCATTAACATCAATGAGGTAAAATATACATGGAATGTTAGTGTTTAAAAAGCAGCAAACAAAGTAGTATATATGATCTTATTTTCATTTAAAAAATCTGTATTAAGGTATAGAAAAAATAGAGAGGTAGAGTTATACAAAGGAATCACAAGTTCTTTGGGGTCATTAAATTTTGGGGTAACTTGAATTTCTTTTCCATTTCTTTCCTATTTTTACATGACGTGAAGAATGTTAGTATGTTAAAGAGTAAATGTCTGAGAAACCAGGACCAGGATGTCTATTTCAGCACTGGCCGTATTTCAAGCTTGGACAGATCAGTAACAAGGGAGTAGGAGACTTTGTTCTGCGTGCTCCTGCTGTGATGGCAGCATGGCAAGCAGAGGCAAGAGACACTCTACTCCCTCAACTTCTTGAAAACACTTGAAGTCCTCTTCCTACTGGGTCTGACCACCTTCTTTGTTGGGACAAAGATCTGGCCGATATCCAGCAGCAGCAGGAGCCCCAGGCACATGATGGCAGGAACGTAGGTGCTCAGCGACACTTTCAGAAGTACCAAATTGAAGACAGCCCCTGGAATGGAAAGTGAGATCCCTGAAGCTCCCTGGAAGCAACTCTCCAGCCCAGTCCTCCCATTAAACACCACCTCCCCCGTACACAAACACTGTAAATTACATACACTCTTGTTCCTGGCCACCCAGAGAGTGGAAGCAAGAAGCAGGAATCAGAAGATACTTGGGGGCCTCCCTGGTGGTGCAAGGGGTTAAGTGTCACTATAAAGCTATCCGCAGCCACTGCAGCACAAGTTCGATTCCCAGTCAGGGAGCTACTCACATGGTACAGCAGACCTCTCCTGACTCGCCAGCTGCTCCCCTCAGCAGTGTATTTCAGTAGATCTGGCTGTTCTGTCTCTGATGAATCCTCTCACCCCCCAACACCTCTGGCCTGCACCCCGGCTCTTCTATGCATAAATAAATAAATCTTTAAAAAAGGAAAATACTTGGACTAATGTAGCCCCTCTAAGAGGGCAAGAAACAGGAACAATCCAGCCAAATAGGGGCTGAGGTAAGCATTTTAGAACAAATTCTCCAGGATTCTTTTTTTTTTTTTAAGATTTATTTATTTATGCATACAAGAGCTGGGGTACAGGCCAGAGATGCGAGGGTAGGGGGGTGAGAGGACCCACCAGAGACAGAATGGGGAACAGAACAGGCAGACTGACAGAAATACACTGCTGAGGGGAGCAGTGGGCGAGACAGGAGAGGTCTGCTGTGCCATGTGGGTTGCTCCCTGGCCGGCCAGGGATCAAACTCGTGCTGCGGAGGCTGTGGATTGCTCCATAGTGCGGTGCTTAACCCCTCCAGGGAGGCCCAGGATTCTCCTTTCTTAATTCTACTGAAGAGGAGTCCTAGGGGTTGGTAGTGATGTGGGAAAGATATGAAAATGAATGAAACTAGAGCTAGAAGACTGGGGGAGGGATGGTGGTGGTGGCAGCATGGCAACACCGGCCAGGGGATACAGAAGAGCCTGAAGCTGTCTGGCCTTTGAGGCAACAGCTGTTTTTCTACATCAGCAGTTCCTATGGGCAGAGCTGTTATGAAGGGGCCCGCTGGGACTGTCTGCCCCAGGGAAATTTTCTGCCTTTCTGTTCAGGGGCCCAGTTTCCCTGCTTTCTGCTCCCACCTGCCAGACACATAAGTAAGTAGCAGCTGTTCTTCCATCCTAGGAGTAGGGGTGGGGACACAGGGGTAGGGGCTTTTAAGTTACAATATATCTTAATCATGGAATCCATGCAGGTAATACAATTGATGAGGTAAAAAGTATACTGACAGATTAATGTTAAAATATATTAGGTTTAAAAAGTACCTGTTCTAAAGACCTAAAGACCAGAGCAGAAAGTACTCCCAGTTACAGAAAAAAAAGGAAAGTGGGTAAGAGCCAGGTCTTTCCAGCATCCTCCCCTAGAAGCTGCCACTTTCCCAGCCCAGTTACCCCCTTACCAATCATGAGGAGGGTCAAAAGCATGTTACTGATGTCTTGCAGAATCGGTGGGCCCAGGACCAGCAGCAACCCAGCCAGCAGTTCCAGCCAGCCCACAGCCACTTGGTAGCTCACGGGATCTGGCTGGTAGCCGAAAACCTTCAAGGGGAACACCTCAGCAAACTGCGTGAACAGGGCTTTCTAGGGATGGCAGGGAATGCCTGTCAGTCACACTCACCAAGGATCCATTGCCCAGGCTCTCCACAGGGCATAATGTACCTACATCCTCAACTCTCCAATAAAGGAGCCCCCTAGGTCAGGTCAGGTCTAGGCCTGAGGTCACCCTGGAGCGGGGAGGCCCTCCATGAGCTCTGGAATAAGAACAGACTTTATGCTTCAAGGAGAAGGGCTGGGCAGTGGTGCACAGATGGACTGATTTTCTTACCACACCTCTCTCCAGATTACAAACCAACCCCAAATTCCAGGATGAGGACACTGGGCTTGGGGCTTCTCATGATTGCCAAGGACTTGGGAACCTCACAGGTTCTCTTTCTCTGTGGCCTAGTTCCTTTTCCGGCTACTATGAAGAGAATGTCTGGTGGTGGAGTAAGGTGGGAAGGGCAGATTGTTGCTCATTATATCCTACTCCAGCCCATGCTGGGTCCTAGATCCCACGGCTGCAGATACAAGGGGAGTTGCCCTGGCCAGGAATAAATTTGTCCAGGGCCACATGACAACTTCACTCCAACCCACCTCAGTTCTACCTCCCCTACTAAGCACTGCCAGGAAGAAGCTCCAACTTGCCTGGCTCTGGGGATACACCTGCCGAAACAATTCACCACCCTCAGTCGGGAAGAAAGGGAGCATCCAAGCCGGGAGCGGGAGGTTGCCCAGGATCTCCAAGTCCGGTTTATTTGAGAAGCTGAGGGGCTGGTGGGCAAGACATGAACTTCCTGTGTCTGTAATTGGACAAGAACTAAGGGGAAACTTCTAGGCGTCCTTCCCAGGCTCCGACTCTCAGGATTCTGATTTGGGCAAGTGTCCAATTTGGGTTCCACTTCCTGACTGGCTGCATAAACTTTAGAAGATAATTTCCTCTTCAGGGCAAGTCTCCTGCCCTGGCAAGCAAGGATTAATAACCCCCTGCCTCACCAACCTCCCAAGAACTCAAGCAAAAGCCGACAGGGGTGGCGATGAAGCGCTGCCCCCTCTCCATTTCATCTTCCTCTCCCGCGCCTGGGGCGCTAGCGTTCTGCTGGTGGAGGGTGTCCCGGTTCCCTATCGACTACGTAAGCTCTAGAGAAACTCTGCAGAAGGGGTGCACACGTGAGTCGAGGTCCAGGTGTTCTTCCCCCTGCTCTAGAGACTTCTCGCCAGAAGGCAGGCGGGTGCGCCCGGTACCGGCAGGGGTAGGTGGGGGCGGGGGCGCGCCCGGCCTCGGGTAAAGCTCAGGGCCTAGCACCGGCCGCCGCGCGGCCTGACCCCCCGCCGCCGCCCACGCCGCGCCGCTCACCATCTGCTCGGCCGCGGGAGCGGAGATCTGACCCGAGAGCTTGGCCAAGCCCGTGAGCGAGAAGAAGCCACCCAGCAGGACGCGCAGAGCGGCGAGCGCCATGGCCGCGCGGTTCGCGGCGAGCGCCATGAACGCGCGGCGGGTCCCCAGGGCGGACCCGCCGAAATCACGCCCCCTGCCGCCGGCTCGTTTTCTCCCTCCAGACGGCGGGAGGCCGCGCCCCGCCAGTTTCCCGAGCCTTCCGAGGGTTGCCACCCCTTGCCCCGCCCAGCTCTGGTGGCCGGAGGCCGGGCGTTTGGGCGCGCCAGCCCATTTCACAGATCGGGCCGCTGAGGCGCGCTGGCTCCCGACCAAACGTGCCCTCTGGATTCTGGGCAAGTCTGTCTCTCGGCCAACGCGGCGTGGAGCCAAACTTGGGTATCAGGATGTTATGCCCGGAAGGGCTGTTACCATCAAAAGACCCACTTCCTTCCTGCCTAGGCCACAGTGTCCTGAGCTGTCGCCTCACCTCAGCGCGCCTCAGTTTCTCTCCTGCAAATGGGGATGCGGCCCTTATCAGCTCTTAGATCTATAAGGGGCCTAGCACAACGACTGGCACATACATGGGACACCTCAAAAAGTTGTTTGCAAATCGGTACTGGCTTATTATTGGTAATAAACCAGTAACTAATAATTACAAAATATGTTGTTCTTTTACGTCTTTGTTGAAATATATTTTCCCTCTTAATTTCTCTCAGCAAAAATTAGTAACTGAAAGGTGTTTGAAAATTCAGAAATTTGCAACCAGAAGACAGCGTTTTACTGAAAAACCTTTTAGACCTGGGATGAGCAAATTACGGACCAAATTTGGTCTGCTATCTGGCTTTTTTAAACTCCCTCCCCCTCCTAACAATGTTTGCTCAGATTTTTTAAATACTAAAAAAAAATTTAAGCAACTTTCATGTCACATGAAAATTATAAAATTCATATTTCAGTGTTCATAAATTAAAAGTTCACTGCTACACCACAGAACTGCGTAGTTAGCCCTGTAGTCTAAAATATCTACTACCTGGGCCTCCCTGTTGGCGCAGGGGTTAAGTCTCAGCACCATCAAGCTATCACCAGCCACTGGCAGGAGTTCGATGCTGGCCAGGGAGCTGACCCACATGGGGCAACAAATGGCCCGTCTTGCCTCCTGCTCCCCTCAGTAGTGCAATTCAGTAGATCTGCCTATTCTGCTCCCCACTGTCTCTTGACCACCCCCCACACCTCTGGTCTACACCCCCATTCTTATATGCATAAATAAATCTTAAAAAAATCAAGTAAATACATACAATATCTACTACCTGACTGACCCTTTATGAAAAAATTATGCTAAATCCAGGTCTAGTGGGTCAGTGAGACCCTAACAAGGTTTCACACTTGTGCTGCTTCCATTTCTTGTTCACTAAGCTGCTGAAATCTTTGCTTTCTCTCAACCTACCCACAACCTCTTGGAGTGGTGGCTGGCTGGCTAAGATTAAAAACTCCCCTGTGCTACTGGAGGCCAAACTGTTTCAAAATCCAGGTATGCTATTACATTATAAATAGGGCCTTTAATTATCTTCTGCCACTAATACAAACTATTTGATCAGTTGGTAAAATTCTCAGCCCTGGACTATTAAAATGATATGCAATGCATAAATATTAAATTCCTCAACAAAATGAAATATTATTAAAACACTTATTTAATCACTGAAAACACATATACACATTAGGAAATTATATTTTAGGATACTCATCTCATACAAAATTTAACACAAAATTATAGACTTTGATAATAAGCATTTTGCATGTTTTGCTATTCTTTCTCCTTTACTAATTTTTCTATTCTTGGGATTAAAGATGTGACAGCAAGTCTTAGGGCAGGACCAGAAACCAACAGATTTCTTTGTTTTGACTCAGTCAAAGCTGAAAACGTAGCATCACATAAATAGACAGTTGAAAAGGGCAGTAGCAATTTCATTGCCTTTTCATGGAGTTCTGGGTATCTTGTCTTTGCATTTATCCAAAACTGAGTTACAGACATTGATTTAAATACTGATTGTAATTCTAAATCTGAAGATAACTGTGCTAGTTTTTCTTCTTCAAAGTCTGTGAGATTACTATTTTGGTGGTTTGTAAAAGGATTAATTATCCATAAATTTCCTGAACGCAAGTCTTCTTCAGGTGGATAGCAGTCATTGAACATTTGGGATAGTCCTTCCAGGTGCTCAACAATAATGCTTGCAATGTGTCTCATATTTAAGTCTGATGAGTTTGAGAATTCAGAAAATGAAGGAAACATGTCATAATCATTCTCTTGTGTGCGCTTGAACCACATCTTTAACTTTTTCTTAAATACATCAATTTTATTGTACAAACTGAAGAGAGTCGTCATAGTTCCTTGGAGACTTAAATTTAGTTCATTTATAAGTGAAAAAATATCTGATAAGTAGGCCAGCTTTGCAATCCATTCCTCATCAAGAAAATACTTGGCCAAATCTGAACGCTTTTGATTTAAAAAAATTTCAATTTCATGTCGTAATTCAAATAATCTTGTTAAAATACTCCCTCTCAACATCCAACGTATTTCAGCATGAAGTGGTAGATTCACATGCTCAGATCCCATCTCTTCACACAAAATTGTTAACATACGTGAATTCAGTGCATTGCTCTTTATAAAACTTAAAATTTGTGCAGACTGTAAAAGAATTTCATGTAAGCATGGAGACATCTTTTCTGCTGCTAAATGTTCACGGTGAATAATACAATGTGTAAATGCCACTGTACTCCTGGTAACTTCTTGAATTTTTGTCCTTAAACTAGAACATCTGCCAATCATGCTTGCAGCCCCATCTGTACAGAGACCAACACAATGTTTCCAATTCAAAGATTTACTAGTAATATATTTATTTACTAGTTCAAATATTTCAAAACCAGTTATTTGAGAAAGTGTTTCAATGCAACATAGTAATTCTTCTTTTACATCACTACAATCATAATCAATGAAACGAATATAGCACAAAAGAAAGGTGGTATTTGAGACTTCTGATGACTCGTCTATCTGAAGGGCAAACCACTTTGACTCTCTGACTTTTTCAATTAGCTGATCTTCAATATCTGCAGACAGTTCATCAATCCTGTGTCCAATTGTATTATTAGAAAGAGGAATAGTTTTCATTTTGTCTCCAGCACTTGAACCCAAAACTTCTGAACACATTTCTACTAAATAGGGTTTAATTAACTCTTCAGCAATGGAGAATGGCTTCTTGCTGGCAGCAATTTGGAAAGCAATTAAATAAGAAGCTTTCACAAGGGACTTTTCAACTAGTAAACACTTTTTTAAAGAATTGTTTTGACATTCCATTTCAAGAAATTTTTGTTCAAAAAAATCTACTGGTTTATTTTCTAACTCTGAATGTTTTGTCTTCAAATGATGAGAGAGATTTGCTGGCTTCATGTTTTCACTGGGTAAGATTTCTCCACAAATGATACACTGTGGTTTTGGTGAACTTTCTTTTGATCCCGGGCAGATAATAAAACCAACTTTTAAGTATTCCGCATCATAAGTATGGAAAAAACCCATTCTTTTTTTCTTTGCAGGTGGAGAATCAAGTTCCACATCATTTTTCTCATTAGGCATGGGTAAATCTGAATGAAATATTTGAATCATTGTTATTTTCAAAAATAAATAATGTTCTTTGTGCTTTTCCTCAAACATTTAAAATGTACATTACTACTTACATTTCTCAAAAGAACCTCATACTAAAGTTTAAACACAAACCATAATACTTCCATGATGCCATTAAAAACTGAATTTCTCCTTCACTCAAAGGTTGGTTACTAATGTAGTGAAACTGGAGGCTGTGGTACATGTACTAGTAATGCTATATATTCAACAGATTATTGAAATTAAGGCTGATGTCTGCAGAATATGATAAATTAAAAATAAAATTATTTAGGGCCTCTCTGGTGATGCAAGGGGTTAAGATGCAATCTATGAAGCTATTTGCAGCCACTGCAGCACAAGTTCAATCCCCGGCTGGCCAGGGAGCAACCAAAATGGTACAGCAGACCTCTCCTGGCTTGCCCGCTGCTCCCCTCAGCAGTGTATTTCAGTCAGTCTGCCTATTCTGTTCCCCACTCTGTCTCTGGTGAATCTTCTCACCCCCTCCCCCACATCTCTGGCCTGTACCCCAGTTCTTGTATGCATAAATAAATAAATCTTATTAAAAAATAAAATTATTTTACTTTTAAGACTCTTGGAAAAAGGGGAAAACAAATGTTGCAAAACGTTGGCATTCAATGAATCTAGATGAAGGATATATTAATGTTCATTGTGCTCTATGTTCAATCTTTCTGAATTTTGAAATTTTCAAAATTAAAGTTGGAAAAAAAAATAAGGGTTAATTATTAGATCTAATATCCAGTGTCAGTGAAGGTAGAGAGAAATGAAACTGCTGATTGGAGCATAAATTGATATAACTTTTCAGGAAGGCAATATACACCAAAAGCCTTAAAACTCTAGTTTTTGAATCAATAATTCCACTATTAAGGATTTATCCAAAGGACATAAAAGGACAAATGAACAAAGGTCTACTTATTGTTTAAAGTATTAAAAATCTATAAGCAATTTAATTGCTGATTTTTAGGGGGAGAGATTATGTTACATACACTGGAATCCATGCATTGGTTAAGCATCTCAATGTGTTTTTAAACTTATATTGAGGGCCTTCCTGGTGGTACAGGGGTTAAAGTCTCAGCAATATCATTATCTCCAGCTACTGGAACATGAGTTCAATCCCCAGCCAGGGAGCTAACCCATATGGTGCAGCAGACCTCTCCTGTCTCACCCACTGCTCCCCTCAGCAGTGGATCTATTTCAGCAGATCCACCTGTTCTGCTCCCCACTCTATCTCTGGTGAATCCTCTCAACCCCCCGTGCCTCTGGTCTACAGCCCAGTTCTTGTATGCATAAATAAATAAAAACAAATCTTAAATAAATAAATTTATATTGACATGGAGTGATGTTACCAACGCAATGTCAAATGAAAAAGTAGTTTACAACAGCATAAAGAAAACAATATTTAATCTAGAAATTTAAAAAATGTTAAGTACACACATACCCACACATATTGATATCCATGGATCCTTTCCTACCTTCCACATGGGCATGTGGCATGTAATATAAATTCATGTACACAAAGAGTGTATCATTTTAACAGAAACATAAAACAATCAAAACTACTAAGGAAAGAAAATAGGCTTCTCAACTCCTACCAAAAGAAAGGCCCCCTGATGATCACTTGTTAATAGACTAGCTTTTAAATATAGCATATTCCATAAAACATTAAAAACAAAAATTTAGAAGTGCTTTGGACAGAGTAGGTTGTGAAGTTACTGCAAATATAAGAGTACTGAGTTTAAAAAGAGTTAACATGGATTGGGACAACAGTTTATAATCTTTTCAAGTATGAATTCAAATAATCTTCCTGATCATCAATACCTCAGACGTAAGGTGATACTTTCAGTAACAAACAAATCAATTTAATGTTTTCTAAAAAAAGAACCAAGGTTAAATCACTAACCCTTTTAACTAAATTTGTATCTTAGTAATTATAATAGCTGGTCTGTATATCTGAAAAACAGCAGTGCACACCAGGAAATGTTTATCCCCTCTACAAATAATGTACTGTATGCACATGGAGTCAATTTAGCAGTTATTAGTGTAAATGACAACCATTACAAAAGGACTAAATCAGATGTTAAAAGTATATGATCCAAGAATTAATGTTTTTACATTTAAAACACTGTCAAAGATTTTCATTTCCTTTCTTAAAATAAAATAGACAACAAGCAAATCAGAAAACAAACTTTCTACATGTGGAAAGCACAGAACACATACCTGTCTGACATTCCTTGTGCTGTGTATGTGGTTTGCATGAGGTAGCCTTGGTCTGTGTGACCGGCTTGCACAATACTGCTTTGTTCTTTAAAAGTCTGAAAGACTGGGAAGATGTAAGTTTCATGGCATCTGTCTGTGTACTTCCCTAAGTTAAAAGCAAATTCAGAAATCAGAGGGAATTTGTTTTTTAGTATCTTATCACTGAATGTGATTGCTATTAATTAAAAGTGGCATATATCAAGGGAATGATTCTGAAATAGTGGTCGCCATAAAGAAGTCACTTTGAAAAGCATACACTAATTCCTAATTCTTCTAATCAGCATCAATTCCACTGACTGACTCTTAAAAAACACTGTCTATAGTTAGCACTAAAAACATCTTACTGATTAGGACAACTGGTTATTCAGAATAAAAACATCTTACTGATTAGGACAACTGGTTATTCAGAAAAATAAATCCAACCTCAGGTCCTTATGCAAAATGACATTCAATATTGATTAAAGACCTCTACATGAAAAAAAATGAAGCTTTAATCACTGAAGTACTTGCAAATGACCTGAAAGTACGCTTTAGAAAAGGTATTCTTTAGAGTTAAAAACAAAATAGAAAAGATTCCCAATTTGACTATCCCAAAATTTTTTGCAAAGGACTTCATAAAACAATGTCAAGGGGTGGGAAAATGTATTTAAAGTATGTTTTCGTCATTCAATTAATATTTCTTGAATGTTTACTACAAGTTAGGCACTGTTCCACACCCTGGGGATACAACAAAATACAGGACAAAGTCCTGCTCTTATAGGTTTTACATTCTAGAGGGAGACACAGGAAATAAACAAGTAAAACAAATATGTTTAATTCTGGGTAGTGATAAGAACCTTGGAAAGAAATAAAGCAGAGTAAGGGAATGGATAAAGGTAACTTTAGAGTCAATTTTTTTTTTTTAAGATTTTATTTTATTTATTTATACAAGCACTGGGTACAGTCAGAAGCACGGGAGGGTGAGAGAATTCACCAGAGGCAGGGCAGAGAGCAGAACAGGCAGACTGATGAAGTACACTGCTGAGGGGAGCAGCGAGCAGCAGGAGAGGTCTGCTCGCCATGTGGGACCCCCCGCCCACGGCCGGGGATCAAACCGGAGCTGCAGAAGCTGCAGGCAGCCTCGCAGCCCAGTGCTCAACCGCTGCGCCACCGGGGAGGCACATAGAGTCAATTTTTTAACAGAAACTTTCTGAATATTCAAAAGAGCAAGTCATGTAAAGGTCTCAGGTCAAAGAATTTCAGACAGAGTTATGGTAGGTGCAAAAGCTCCAAAGCAGAAAGAGCCTGGCAAGCTTTAGGAACATCGGTAAGAGCGAGACTAAAATAAGAGTAAGCAAGGGCTAGATTGATGTGTTTGGAGAGGTAAGCAGAAGCCAAAGTGTGTAGGCTCTAGAAGGTCTTAGCTTAAAAAAAAAATAAGAGTTGTATTTTTAGTTTTATGGGAAGATATTGAAGGTTATATTAACATTTTCTTCTCAAAGAGGTAATAGATGTGACAACTCTGAATTATGTAATAATTCAAAAGGTATAAAAGTACATACATGAAATTTCCTTTGCCCCTCTGCCAGATGGGCATACTCAACCTTGAACACACCACCACTGTCCCCAGTCTCTTGTATCCTTCCAGAGGTGGTCTGTGTAATTAAAGAAGTTACTTCTGACTACAAACGGCAGCATATTATTAGCAAGCTTCAGCATCCTACTCTGTCACTTAGCAAGCAGTCTCGGAGGTATATTTACTTAACTGTATAAAGTTGCCTAGTAACAGCCTTATACATTCAATGTATCATAGGTAATATGAAGAGTCTCTGCTGCTGAACATTTAAACATTACAAATCTTTTACTACTATAAACAGTGCTATAGTGAATGTTCCTACACATAAATGAAGTCTACATGTGCTAGTATAGCTATAGAATAAGGTCTTCTATAGAAGAGCTCACACTGGTTGGTCAAAAGTATATTAACAAAAATGAATATACTGCAAAAAAAAAATTCTATGCAATTTTTTTGAATTGATGTAATATCAGATGAAATTCAAAGATTAAATTAACAAACTATGGGAGGAAATGGCCCCTTTTCCCGCACTCAGGCCTCTTCAGAAGCAGCCACTATTATCTATTTTAACTGCCTTTTAGAGATATTCTATAGAAAGGTACAAGCATGTGCCTTGTATGTATGTGTGGATATTTAAAATACAAATGGCAGCAAGCTTTGGTTTTGTCTCCTCCCCTTATTATATTTGAGACTACTCTATGCCTGTAAATACAGAGCATTGTATGGCATTCCATTGTATGAAAATACCATGTTGAACTAAGTTCCAACAAAGCCACTGTGAATGCTTCTGGAGGGGACTTCATTTGCCAGGTGGAACTGGAGAGAGGAGTGCATTTCAGGACCTATCCAGGGAGGGCTATTTCCTTTCCTTTCCTTTTTTATTTTTTTTAAAAGATTTTATTTTATTTATACAAGAACCGGGGTACAGGCCAGATGCGCAGGAGGGTGAGAGGATTCACTAGAGACAGAGCTGGGGGGCGGGGGGACAGAACAGGCAGAGTGACTGAAACACACTGCTGAGGGGAGCAGCGGGCGAGACAGGAGAGGTATGCTCGCCATGTGGGTTGCTCCGAGGCCAACAGGGATCAAACTGGCACTGCTTCACAGCACTGCACTCAACCGCATGCACGACCAAGAATGCCCTTATTTCCTTTTCTAATTTCCACATTAACTCAGGCAGAATTCACCATGGTCCTGGACCACCAATGAAACAATTAGTCTGTTTTCAAGCTGTCGCTACTATAAACAATGCTACAATTCATATTCTTATACATACTTCATTTCATAAATGTGTAAAACATAAAGGGTAAATTCTTAAAAATGACACTCTAGGGTAAAATATTTACATTTTAAATTTTAACAGGTTTTACTAAACTGCCCTCTATAGTTTTACCCATTTACACTATTAGCAATATATTAAAATGTTTTTACAGTGCTATCCATCATTTTCCTCTTTGCCAATCTGATATAACTGTAATTCCATCTGGGATTTCTTTAACTCTGAAATTGAATAGCTTTGCATATGTTTAAGAAATATTTTTATTTCCTAGTCTGTAAACCTGTGTTTCACACTTTGATCCATTTTCCTTTGGGTGGTAGGTCTTTTTATTAATTCATGGAAGTTCTTCACATATGAAAAACATACCCTTTAAGGACAAGAGTTGCAAGCTCTTTCTTCACCTGTCTTTTGACTTTGAAAAGTAACTGGTTTTCCCTAACAAATCTTTTATGGCTTCTGGAATTTATGACATATTTAGAAAGGTGTTTTCCACTTCTGCCTTATTAAATTCCTTTCCTATATTTTTTCCTAGTACCTTTTCTTTTTTTTGACATTTCACTTTTCTTTTCTCCACCTGGACTTCATTTTGATTTAAAGAGTGACGTAGAAATCCCAACTTCATTTTCTTCCATATCTACTCAGTTGTCACAATACTAATTTATTTATTGAATAATCTAGATTTCTTCAACTGATCTGAAATGCTAACTTTATTACTTCTAAATTCATATATATATTTCATATATTCATATATATATTTGGATCTACTTCTGGGCTTCTTCTCTAGAGCTGTTTGTCTACTCATGATTACAGTACTGTTGTTTTAACTAGGTAGCTTAATATAAAAATTTGTAGTTTTCCTATGATTTTGGAAAATAGCTCTTCCCCTTCTTCATTCTTCAGAATTTCATTGAAGGTCTTTAAGCGGTGGGGTTACACAGCCTGATTTGTGTTTTAAGATCATTCTGGCAAGAGTATGGAGAAAAAATCTGCAAAAAGCAAGAATGGAAGCAGGACGGTGGGGGGAGGTTGCTGCAATAATCCTGAAGACAACGGTGGCTCTGACTAAGGTTGTAGCAATAGGAGTGGTTAAGAAATAGGGAATACTGAAAAAGGAGTCTGAAGAAAATAAAAGGTTCTATTTTAGACATGTTGTTTGAGATGGTTATTATTGATTTAAGGATAAATGTCAAGCAGGCAGTTGGACACATGAATCTGAAACTCAGAGGTCAGGGCAAGAGAAGTAAATCTGAGAACCAGCCACCATCAAGATAGTGTTTAAAACCACAGAACTGTGAAAATCCCCTAGGAGTTACAGAAATTGAGAAAAGTGCCATGTCTGATGTCTGGGAGTGTAATGAAGACGACAATTCAAGAAGAAAGGCAAGATCAGTGTGTTAAATGTTACTGAAAGCCTGGCAAGATGAGAACTGAAAACTAACCACTGGACTTAGCGAAATAAGACAGATGACTTTGACAAAGATCAGTTTCAGTGGAGCTGTCCAGACAAAAGCCTGCTTGGTGTGAGCTAAAGAAAGGTAACAGATAAGAAAAGAGAAGCAGTGAGTAGAGGCAAGGATTATGGAGAGCAGAGAAATAAGAGAGTTTCTGGAGCACACAGTGTTAATAAGAAGTCTTACTGTTTCCGTGTTGATGAAAATGATGAACAGAAAGGGAGGAGGGGGACACAGAATATGCCAAATTCTATAAATAAGAAAAAGACAATTTAACATAAAAATGAGGGAAATTCAAAGAAAAGAAAATTTCAAATGTCAAAAAACAGGAATATAAGCAAACTCGCTAGTAATAGGGGGACATGCAAAATAAGACAAATAGAAAGTTATCAAACAGAATGGCAAAAAAAAAAAACCAACCTTTGATCTGACAAACACTAAAATGATGGTGCTGCTGTGGGAAATTGGTACAATTGTAAACTGCTGGTGGGAGTAAAAATAGAAACAACTCTGAAGGAAAACTAAAAGTGCAAATACACATTGACCCTAAAATTCCCCTCTTCCATATCCACACTACAAACACCTGCACACAAGAAAACACGTAAAAGAATGTTCATTGTAGCAGAGATTTCTAACAGTGATAAACTGGAAGCAACCTAACATTCCTCAATTGGACAAAGCATAAATAAAATGTGGTACCTATAATACTATACAGCAGTCAACAGGAATGCTCCAAATCTATTAAGTGTCACATGGATTTTTTTAACAACAGTATTAATATTTTCCATGGATTTATATACATAAATGTAAAAAATTAAAAATGGACTGAAAAGACATACACTAAAATGATAATAGTAGTGGCATCTAGGGGTGTGAAAAGCTGATAGTAAATACAAAACAAAAAACGTAGAATTTTTTTTTAAAAAGGAGGTGGGCAAATGAGCCAAATATCAAGATGGTGAGAATCCAATGGAGCAGGGATTGGAATGCATGGTTCATGGACAAAACCAGTCCACCACCTATTTCTGTAAACAAAGTTTTAATAGCACACAGTGACTCATTTTTATTGACTATGGTTATTTCTACCTTACAATGGCAGAGGTGAGGAGTTTCAACAGAGATCACATAACTCCAAAGCCTAAAATAGTTACTATTTAGACTTTTAAAGGAAAAGTTCTTGCTGACTTTTATAGATTTCCTTCTTTGTACTTTCTTGGAGATATGGGAATTTCCCCCAAATTTAAGATAATTTAAATGACTTTAAGGAGATTCATACTAAAGTCCCAGAGAAACAAGATTCTTAAACTGTTTTTTTTTTTTTAAATTTATTTATTTGTTTTGTTTATACATGCACTGGGTACAGTCAGAAGCGTGGGAGGGTGAGAGAATTCACCAGAGCCAGAGCAGGGAGCAGAGCAGACAGAAGGACCGAAGGACACTGCTGAGGGGAGCAGCGGGCGGCAGGGGAGGTCTGCGCACCATGTGGGACCCTCCTCCGGTGGCCGGGGAGCAGCCGGGGATCGAACCGGCACTGCAGAGGCTGCGGGCAGCTTCGCAACCCAGCGCTCAACCGCTGAGCCACCGGGGAGGCCCTGTTTTTTTTTTTTTAATCACAAGAGTACTACATTATTTATTATTATACTTTTTATAGACTAAACTGAAAATATTAATCAAGGCCATTTTGTAACACAGTTAAAATGAGAGGTGAATTAGAGATGTTCTCAGGGAAGACATATAGGACAGTCACATTTAATATGATGCTGTTTCTGAAAACCCTAAATAATTCAAAACTAATATAACTCAAGACTAATTGTCCCATACATATAAAGCAGAGGAGGGATGCATTCTCGGAGAAAATAAATCTATAAGCAATACAGAATATTTTTATAATACACATCAATATAAAACATAATATACCAATTCCTTAATTATGAGTTAATAACAAAGATAGCTGCAAACACAGTAACTGCATAAATTTTAAATATCATTTATGCACAATAAGTAATATAAAAATAACTACAAAGCTAAAAATATTTCACTAACTAATGAGGAAAGTGCGTGAAAATAAGACAAGTGACCATTATCATCTTCGTTATCATCATCATCATATCATCTTCAAACAAAACAAACAGGAGAGTTAAGTGGTATCAAATTAGGACAAGCTATGTCTCTATATAGTAAACGGTGGCCTAATTCACTGTAAGACTTTTGCTAACAAATTAATCTGACATGATTTTCTGTTTTCTTTTTCACTAAGATTTCTTGATAGGCAGACACACTTCCCATCTCTCACCCTGCCACCATAGAACAGTAATCCGCATTTGGATAATCTCCAGAAAAAGCTACTATTGATGAAAAATGGTCAAAAGTCTTTGTCAGTCACCACTACTAGCTGATGCCCTGAAGGCCAGGTTAATTGCAGAGGACCTCTTCCAGCTACCTTTGTTTTTTCTAATTTGGCAAGTCTTCTTTTATTAATCCATGGCAAACAACCCAAACAAGATTTTATCTTTCATCCCATTCACAACTCAAGCAAAATCTCCTCCATCAAATTTCACAAATCTACTTCTTTACCACTTTCACAGATTATTAGCAGATGTAATCTTCCAAGTTAAAACCTCCTTAAATTATGGTAAAGCTGAAATGTTTTGATAGCTTCAGAGTTAGCTCTTAAAACCTTGGTGGGCTTTAAAATTAGAAAGTCAGGGCCTCCCCTGGTGGCGCAAGGGTTGAGCGCTGGGCTGCAAAGCTGCCCGCAGCCTCTGCAGCGCCAGTTCGATCCCCAGTCACTGGCAAGGGTCCCACATGGCGCGACAGACCTCTCCTGCCGCGCCCGCTGCTCCCCTCAGCAGTGTATTTAATCAGTCTGCCTGTTCTGTTCCGCGCTCTGTCTCTGGTGAATTCTCTCACCCTCCCGTGCCTCTGACTCTACCTGGTGCTTGTATAAATAAATAAATCTTTAAAAAAATAAAATAAAATAAAATTAGAAAGTCAGCTGTGAGTTGTAGCTAACCTTTTTGTCTCAATGTCACCTCTTTTCAAATCACAAAAAATACTTCATGCCTTAGCACAGATGACAGCGTGACCTGAAGGGTACATTATAGCACACTGCTCTTACCACTGGGTTACCAGGCTTTCTTTCATGCATTCCATTATCCTTGCCTGTTTTATAAGACAATTTTGGCAATTAAAGGGTATACCTACTTTAAAGCTGTTTTGGGGGGGGTTTTTTTTTTGAGCATTATCTCTAATATTCAGCAAGGTTCATGCTCCTAAATTAACAGCAGAGAATATCATGGCAGTGGTCTGGTCTTCAGAGTTTTATCACATCTAACTTATGTTCCAAATTTATTAAATTGTGGGCATACTTTTTTAGCACTAGCACCACCAAGAAATGAACTTGAATGACAATGTTATTAAAAAAAATCACTTGTAACTGTAACACAAGTAAATGTTAAGGGACTAGCACAGTGCCTCCCCGGTGGCACAGCAGTTAAGCACTGGGCTACGAAGCTGCTGCCCATAGCCTCTGCAGCTCCGGTTCGATCCCTGGCCACCGGCAAGGGTCCCACATGGTGCACAGAACTCTCCCGCCGCCCGCTGCTCTCCTCAGCAGTGTACTTCGTCAGTCTGCCTGCTCTGCTCTCTGCTCTGCCTCTGGTGAATTCTCTCACCCTCCCGAGCTTCTGACTATACCCAGTGCTTGTATAAATAAATAAATAAATCTTTAAAAAAAAAAAAGAGAGACTAGCACAACAATCATCAATAACACTAATCCAAGATCCAACATATTAGGTTCACATAATATTGACAATTTTGTTTTCCTGCTAAAATGATGCTGACTCTGGACAACAATGACATAGCTGCAATCCTTTCAGCATGCCAGATTTGAAATTATGCATTTCTACAAAAAATTTTAATTTTGGAAAGTTTCTCAATATTTCAACTTGATAAATAAAATGGGAATTTAAATGTTTTTACTTTACACTATTTTCAGTCTCAAATGATGCACAGATGCATAAAATGTCAACACTGAACTTTTCAAGACTTTCTAGTCTAAGGAAAAATACTTGGATATAGTAAAAGGGCAAAAAAAGCAGCTAAATGGCATTATTAAGTACTTAAAGAAATTAAGGTGTCAGAACACACACAATAAATCAGGAGTGCATTCTTATTAGGGGTCTAGCTGGTTCATAACATATTACTTCACTTCTTTTAAAGACTAAACTGCAAACAGAAATGCTCTCAGGGCCTCCCTGGTGGCACAAGGAATTCAGCACAGCACCGTGAAGCTATCCTCTGCAACATGAGTTCGATCTCTGGCTGGCCAGGGAACTATCCACATGCCGCAGCAGACCTCTCCTGTCTTGCCTACTGTTCCCCTCAGCAGTGTATTTCAGTCAGTCTGCCTGTTCTGTTCCCCACTCTGTCACTGGTGAATCCTCTCACGCCCTGCACCTCTAGCCTGTACCCCAGCTCTTGTATGCATAAATAAATAAATTTTTAAAAAAAAATGGAGACTTGCTTTGGATTAGGCTTTGGCTTAAGGGAATGTTATGGAATATTTGATCTATCCAGACTACTAAAACTTTCTTCTTATCACCAACAGTGTTTCACTTTCTTATCATGCATATATTTACTGGAATAGCACTTTTAATTTCCTTCAAGATTTCCTTTGCATTCACAACTTGACAAAGTGACACAAGAGGCCTAGTTTTCAGCCTATTTCAGCTTGCAGCAAGCCGACCTTACTAAGTTTAATCGCTTCTAGCTTTAGAGTTAGAGTGAGAGATGAGTGACTCTTCCTTTCACTTGAATACTTAGAGGCCAATACAGGGTTACCAAAGGTCTAATTTCATTATTGTTGTCTCAGAGACTAGGGAAGCCACAGGAGAAGGAGAGAAATGGGGAAGAGCAGGTGGCTGGAACAGTCAGAACACACAAACATTTATGGATTAAGTTTCTGTTTTATATGAGCATAGTTTTTGGCACCTCAAAACAACTACAATGGTAATCAAAGATTACTGATTACAGGTCACCAAAACAAATGTAATAATGAAATAGTTCGAACTATTGTGAGAATTACCGAAATGTGACACAGAAACATAAAGTGAGCACATGCAAGTAGAAAAATGGCTCCTACAGACCTCCAACACGGGGCTGACACAAACCTTCAATTTATGAAAAATGCAATTATCTGCGAAGAGCAATAAAAGTGAAGTGCGATAAAATGAGGTATGCCTGTATCCAAAATAAAATAATCCTAAATGTCATTATCAGGAAAAATATTAACAATAAAACTTACATCTTCTACGATCTCTGTTGCCTCCTTAGTAACCGCTCCTGTTATAAATTAAAATATACATTTACTGTCCCCAGAAAATATAGAAATTAAGAAGTTATTTTCCCCTCACTAAGCTCAGTAGAGCTTAGATCAGAATTTCTCAAAAAATGGTCCAAGTAAACTTGGCATCAATACGACCTGGGGGGCTTGGTAAGGTAATAATTCCTAGGCCCCAATCCCATCCTAATGTATTAGAATTTCCATTGTCAAAGGCACGTACATTAAAATCATGTGGGTTCTTAAAAAAATAAACTATACATACCACTTCCTTCACTACCAATGCCACCCTGCTTGCTACCCACTTCCCTCAAGAGACAAAGGGGGATTTTTTCGCATATAAATGTAATTAACACTCACCATTATAGTCTAACCAAATGCCTTTATAGCAAATCATACCTTCTAAAACACTGTTAGTATTCCCTGTGGACTGGGCAGGAGATACTTTTGCCAGTGACACCACATTGATTATAACTGGTGTTGTGTTTGTCGTTGCAGGAGAGAGTTCCATTGGAGCAATTTTTGGCTTAGAAATATTTACTAATTAAAATAAACAGAAAGGTGAGACCTAGGATAAGCAAAAGGATCACACAAAAAAACTCCTAACAATTAAGTCTTCAAGTTACAATGCAAACATCTGTCTAACATTGGGATTGGTTATTCTGTTATATTAGTGTTCGCTAATCAGGGCTAAAGAGAGTCTGATTCTCTACCTCAAGTATTATTTAATAGGTAAAAATAAAGGAGTTAGTTGCAGGATTAACTGGGTTTTTCTATTAATAAATATTAAAATTTCTATACTTAAAGTTGCTTCAAATAAAAATTTAACATAATTTTTTATAAATAAGTTGAAGTAGTAGCCCATCTACACAAGCAGCCGTTTTGTTAATTCACATTATACCATCTTAGGTCTCTGGGAATGGATGGCCCACACAAAAGATTAGCATACAACATATGTGATGAAAGTGATTATTAATAAGACTATTACAAAGGGAGGCAAGGACCAGGTAGTAAGGATCCAAAGCATGTGGATTCTGTCAATTCAGCAGCACTCCACGCTTTGATAGGAGAACATAATCATAAGTATTTTTAATATAACTCACAGAAGTACTACGTTGGGGAGCTACTTTAAGAACATGCCACATACCTATTCATATGGATATTTTGAACACATTAGCTGTCCTAGTTGCAAAATTATTTCTTTCTTAGCCAGGAAAAACTTTGCTTCCCATGAAGAACTGGTCTACTTTATTTTCTGTGCTATAATTAATGTGTTATTCTTCTTCCCTTGGCTATAAGTGAGCTATGGATCAAATCTTACACCAGTAACAACAACTATTTTACTTTTTCCCCCTCTGTTTGCCCTGATTTTCTATTTTAATATCTAGTTTATTAACTAAACAGCATATATCTCTTATTGTAAGTTACTGATGTACAGATAAATCCAATCAAAAGCAATCAAATCTAATTTTCCTATAAACTTAGTGCTTATAACACATTGATTTCTTGATGTGTTTCATTATGATAATAAAAGGCAATAGGATTACTATTCTCTCAAGGACAATCTTTAAAAACTCTTACAGAAAAATTTAAGGAAATTCAGATTATTTGAAGCCAGTGAAATTTTCTTCTTAGTATATTATTGGAACTATGTATACTGATAATATTCCTAGCACTGGCATAAGAATATCATTAGCCAAGTTTAACTTTACCTTTTTTTTGTGAAAGAGAGTCATTTGTAATTTGCTGATGACAAAACTCCAAGACACAAAATAGGTTACAGAAATGTTTGATGTTTCCTCGCCATTTTATGGATTCACTTAGCTTACCCTGTCGTTTACAACCATCACACTTGGCCATCTAAGAAAGAAATTTGTAAGGCAGGACAGGCTTAAAACTATAAAATAATGAAAAGAGAACAATCATAAAACCAGAAGGCACTACGAAAACAGGATATATGAATAAGATCATTTCACATGAATGAGCTCATAAAATGTAAGGCTCCTAACTTAAAATACTGTGGTTAAAATATACACACACTTACTTATTTGTTACATATAAATGCTATCAATCAAGAAAATATAAAAGTTGATCTTAGAAAAATTACCAATAAAGGAATCTAAAGACAGAATCTACTTTTAAAAGGTTAAGAGGCAATAATTGAGGTAGAAAGAATATAAGCTTGGAGTCATAAAAATTTTGATTTATTCAACAAATATCTAACTGTCCCTTGTCTTGAGTACTGTGATAGATCCTCATCATATAATTATAAAATGACATACACCTCCCACAGGAAAATTATATTTTAGGGGGTAGGTGATTTCACTGGAGTGTTACAGGTGCTATCCATCTGTCACCTACCAGCTTCTTCAAGGGCACAATATTTAACCTCCCTGGACCTTATTATTTTTCCTAATTTGTAAACTGGCAACAATATACCTACCTCTTAGGGTTGTGAAGAACACTTAGGGAGCACCAGACATGCATTAGCAGTTCAATTAGTTATAGCTTTCATTATTAGCCTTTCAAAAAGGTAATTTTTTAAAAAGGAGGTGGATAAGGAGGTCAATCACAGTCATTTGACCTATGAAGTAAGAACAAGGTCTACCTTCAAATTCCTCAGAGTAGTAACCTTCTGAGTAAGTCACTTAAAGGCAAAGTTTAATTTGAAAGAACTCAAAATTATAAATAAGGTCAATGTGCCTTTTATAAACAAGCAAAAAATAAATAAATAAATAAAAATAAAAGGAATATACTTTAAACAACAACAGTCTTCAGATTTCCTGTTTATATTCAACTGAATTGTTTGAAAAGCCCATTTTTTATTTTACATAGCTCTACATACCAAATTATTCTTCACATAATTTAAATGTATTTTAAATAGAAAATGATTTGTACTAATTTAAGAAAATCAAAAAGGTATATTACCTGATAAAACAGAACTGTAAATTTGGACATGCAATCTTCACAACAAAACTCTTCTAATTTGCCCTCCAATCGATTTTCTACCAAATTAGGGGATGTCTGTGAACAATAACTACACATCTTACAGTAGTTTCCCCATCGTTCTCCAAAATCACGGGCAGAGAGGAACTTGCAAACTGAGAACCAAAAGGGATGATAGAAAAAAACCATCAAATTTACATTAACTTGGAGGAGGTTAAGTGAGTTTTTACAGTCTCATATACCATTTCAACCTGAATCAATCTTTGCCTCTAGGTTAAAGGACAGTCTATAGTCACAAAACAAACTCATATCACCTTTCAAATATAGTCTAAATAATAGGCTACCTATATTCAAAACTATAAGTTTCTTAAGCCAAAAAGTAGTAGTTGCTTAAGTACCCTCTTTACTGATGAGTGCAAGAACAAAAACATCTCTGACATCACAGCTAAGCTCACAAAGAAATTTTCTAAACTCCATACTGATACCATTGATCCAATTATATTCCCAAAGTTTTTCTTTATTGAGAGTTATTATAACATTTAATAAGGATAGATGTTGAAGCAAATTAAGCATAAATTCAATCAAAAAGCCTCAAATTATACCTCAAAAAAATTGTGAATTAATAGTCCAACTCATCATAAATTACTTCATAAAAACTATGTTCTGTGGATAAAACTGAGTTTTTTTATGTACCTTCACTACAGAATGGCTTATCAACCCCTGAGAATCGCACAGTCTCCTTTATAATTTTCTGCAGTTTGCAGTAGTCACACATTGCCATGACTTTATTTTTCTTTTTGTAGTCATCAGAACAAGTCTTGCCACAAAACAGAAACATCTTTCCCTGGAAAGAAGGAATAGTCATTAAGATCTAACTATACAGTTACTTCATCTTTAAGAAATCCTCTTCCTTCTGATTTCAAAGCAAACTGGGTAATCATCAAAGATGAAAAGATGAAAATGTTTCTAATGGATAAGTTTATATTCAACCCCTTTTATGATCTCTCTTTACCTTGTAAAACAGAAGTTCCGGTTTTGTGGCAAACAGATGGTTACAGTGCTGACACTTGAGTTTTACAACTGTATGGGTGGAAGCAACTTGCTGGGATTGGGCAGCAACAGGCTGGACACTGGCTGCGACAGAGCCACTGATGTTGCTGGGGGAAACGGCAGAGGTGTTACCTCCTCCTTCTGACACTGCAGACCTGGAGGGCTGGCTTACAACCACTTGGCCCTGAGACAGGGGCACCACTGAAGAGTTTGTTCCTTTTGGTTTGTTAAATACATTCTGAACACAAATAAGGTAAAGATTTTATCAACTGAGTAATAACATAACTTGGTGATTTTCTTTTTCTCATTTTAATAAATAAATTCTCCAAACATTTTTTTAAAATTTATAAAGTAATTCACAGAAAGGGTTTAAATGGCAAACTTCGAGAATGGAAGGATTAAAACAGTCCAGAATAGAAAGACTGAGAAAGGTAACATTAAAAGGCTAAGGACTGAAATTCAGGCTTTCCACTGGTTATAATTCCAATAAATTAGGGCAGGCCTCTCTTTTCCCACCACGATACACACCACCTGCATTCCCGTCACCAACCACCTTCTGACGGCTATTAACACAGAGGCCAGAAAGAATAGTCTTTCTCTCTGGTACCAGGGACGTTGCATCAAGCATCTTCCCATCCTGGAGAATCATTAAACTCTACTCTTTCTCCATGTACTGCAGAGAATGAGGAGAAAATGGGACAAATAAACAGAGGCTTACAATTCCATGCCAGGAGTCATTTTTTTATATGGCTCAGGATAAGAGGAAGTGACATATCATCACATCGCCATATCATCTATCCAAACCCTATCATAGTTTCCATGCTTTTGAAAGGAATAAAGCCAAGGGAGAAAGTGGTATGGAAGGGCAGTTTAGGTGAGGACTTTGAAAAAGAAAGAAAGCATAACCTTGGCTCTGATATTTTGCATATAAAAACTCAAGGACCACAACTGAACAGAAATCTTTTTTCTAACAAAATTAAATTTCAAGTATGAATCTTCAGCAGTTAACACTTTTCCATAGACCAACCCTAAGAGAATTGCAGAGGCAAAAAACTACCTTAGATCATACCTGGAAAGCTACTACACAACTGGAGCTGCAGAAACTGTATATAGTTCCATTAGACATGGCTAGATGATACTGAGGGATTGCGGAGGTTTTACAACTATGACATGAAACCTGGACACCTTGGAAACAAAAAGTAAAAACCAATGAATAAGTGAAAGAAATCAACAAATGATCAAAAAATGTATTAGGAGAACAAAAAAAAAAAAACAACTCTATAATATACAAAACAAAAATCAAGGAACTTTACCATAACCTGTAAAGATAACTACAGTTAATCTCAATTAAGTCCAACTTATACAAAAATTACCATGGAACTCATAAGTGTTTTTTCTTTCTTTTCATATAGAAGACCACAAAGTAAATATCCCAATCAAGAAAAGCAGTGACAGCATTCAAAAAAGATAAACACATGCAATTTGCAGCAACATGGATGGCACTGGAAGGGATCATGCTCAGCGAAATAAGCCAAAAAGAAAAAGAAAAATACCGGATGGTCTCACTCATAGCAGGAATCTAGAAAACTTAAATAAGGGACCAGGAAAATGAATATAAGAAAGTGAAAATCAAAATCAACAAAAAAACTATGAACCAGAGACACTTTTTGGGGGGTGGGGGGGCGGGAGGGGAAGGATTGGGGTCAGAATGGGGCGTTTGCAATTGTATGGGGGAATATAAAAATAAAATTTAATATTTAAAAAAAAAAAAAAAGAAAAGCAGTGATAAAATATCTCCCCTTATTAGTCCTTAGAAACTAAATCAATGTTAGGATTTTATTTAACTATAGGGATAAATTTAGGTTTTTTTGTGTGGGCTTTTTTTTTTTTTAGTTTATATCAAAATCAGTTATATACCTCTTCAATAATTACCAAATGGTTAATTGGCCAAATTTAAACATTACCTGAAGAAGTAACTGTCTTAATTCTGTAAGCAGATAAGCAATTAATAGAACAGAAAAGCTCTGTTTTTCCTGAGTCATTTGTAGTCTCAACCATTTCAGCTGAAGGCCTCAATGATTTCCCCAAGGCATAAGGAGGAGTTTGGGCTGAATTCTATCAAGAAAACAAAATAACATTTAGCTATTTAGTACAATCATACATGTGTACATATTATTCAAGGAAAAAAACAAGAAAAGCTACCTAGAACCACTGGCTTTGCCTGAAATATTTGAGCATGACAATGAGATAACACCAAGTACAGACTTTTCTGAAAGTTGGGATATGGACAATTAAAAAATATGAACTCAGGAAAATTAATAACTACTCAAGTAGATATATTAGCAGCTATAATACACATTGAAAGTAATGACTTAAGTAGACACATTTTTCTTATAAATAATCAAAGAAGATCAGGTAATACATCCATCAAAGGCCATCCTCAATACATACTTGGCATTAATCTAAGAGAGTCTACCAACTTTAAGGTTACTCATCTGGTGAAACTCTTTAAATTATATAAATACCAATATTACTACTTACTGAGTGCTTACCATGTGCAAGGCCAACAACACAGTGAGGTACATAAAAAATGATATGAACAAAAAGTTTACATTCAAATTAACAAAAGGAAAAGTAAGGATTAAGCTTATTTCATCGGACTCCAAAGTCTAGGTCCTAACAACTACAGTATGCTGCCACTGATACAATATAAGTTTTCTCAATAAAAAATTATATGAGGAGCCTCCCTGGTGGCGCAAGGGGTTAAGCACCACACTATGAAGCGATCACAGCCTATGCAGCACGAGTTTGATCCCTGGCCGGCCAGGGAGCAACCCACATGGCAAAGCAGACCTCTCCTGTCTCGCCTGCTGCTTCCCTCAGCAGTGTGTTTCAGTCAGTCTACCTGTTCTGTTCCCCATTCTATCTCTGGTGAGTCCTCTACCCCCCACATCTCTGGCCTGTACCCCAACTCTTATATACGTATATAAATAAATCTTTAAAAAAAAAATTATATGAGGAAGTAAATGGTAAGAAAATATAAATTGTGAAATTTCACTACATAATCTTCCTGGTTAAAAGAAAAATATCATTTATGTAATTGATGGAGTATAAAATCAGTAACAAAATTAGGAATGGACTGACTTTTGGACCATACATGTGAAAAAAACCTGGATTCTCTTCCTATAACAGTAACCAGCTGCCAAAAGTGGCAACTCCCAGACACGGGATACTTTTCAAAGATGAATGTAAATTACCTACTATCCAGAGGAATTAAAAATTAATAAACCTGCTAACTGAAAAAAATGTTTATCATTTGTATCCTTTTCAAAATATACATATATAAACTATATATGTAAATTATCATTTATATCCTTTTAAGCAATAATTGACACATTAGTAACCATATGAATCCATTATTGATAAATAAAAATTTATTTATCAAGTATTCTAATAGCGCTTCCTTTAGACTAATTTTATAATTGTTTAACTCTTCATCATAATTTACAAAATGGCATTATCTTCACTATCAATATATCATGAAATATTTTCCACTAGTAGTAGATAATGAAATAACATTTATGAAGGAAACTAAAAAATGATGTAGTTCATTTATATTCCCTCTCCACCACAGTCAATTTACAACATCAGATTCTATTCTATTTTTCTGGAGGGGAAATCACACATTAGGTTCAGGATCAACTGATAGGAAGAGCTCATGCTTTTATTTATTTATTTATTTTTTAGAAGATTTATTTATCTATACAAGCACCGGGCACAGTCAGAAGCACGGGAGGGTGAGAGAATCCACCAGAGCCAGAGTGGGGAGCAAAACAGGCCGAAGAACCGAAGTACACTGCTGAGGAGAGCAGCGGGCGGCAGGAGAAGTCTGCGCGCCATGTGGGACCCTCGCTGGCGGCTAGGGATAGAACCGGCGCTGCAGAGGCTGCTGCGGGCAGCTTCACAGCCCAGCGCTCAACCGCTGCGCCACCAGGGGAGGCCGTCATGCTTTTATTTTGCATTTCATCCCTGTGCAGTCAATCAAGGTGTGAGTCTAACTACATGCAAGAGACTGATATTCATACCTGTTTATATGCTGTGACACTTGTTGAACTAAAAACCTTCTGGGAGTGGGAAGGACCAGAGCTACTATAGCAATAACTTCCACAGTTCTCACAACAGTTCATGGTAAGATTGTTGGTAGAGTGAAATTTTGAAAAACAGGCATCACTACAAAGACCATGTAGCACATTTTGATATTTAACTTCAAATCGAATCTAGGAAACAAAAACACATAAAAAATAAGCAGAGCCAGTTAAAAATCTCTGACCTTTCAGCAGAATCCCAATAAAAGTAAAATATAACTTACATCAGCATTCTTTTGACACATACTGCACTTAGTTGAAATGTTATGGGTATATATGGTAACAACAGGCTTTTTCTTTAGCTCATAAGAAGAAAGGCATGATTGGCTGCAGAAATATTTGCTAGGAGAGGAATTTTCAAATTGGGTTGTAATCACATCCTTTGGATTTAAAATGTCTCTAAAAAAATAAGAAAGGCAAAAATGAAATGTGCTCTTCATAATTGTAACTTCTTCTTCTTTGTGAGCTAAGATAACTAGATTTATTATGGACAGTTATAGTTTATTAGGGACAGAAAATGGCTGGCCCTGGATAAGGTATCTAGAAACCAGGGCTTGAAGATTAATTCTGTTACATATCAGCTGAGTGACAAGTGAGGCAATTACTGTCTCAATTTCTTCATGTATTAAATGGGGTTTATAATACCTAATTTATAGATGTGTTGAGGGAGAATTGTACTTAAAACATATTCAGCCAGAAGCTCATGACACAAACAGTGAGGCTTCCATTTCCAACCAAGTTTCATCCACTAAAACTAATGGAATAAATAGCCATCCCACAACTCCAGACCATAAAACACATGTTCTCTGACTAGCCAGTAGCTGCCACGAGTTAGAAACATGAATGAGACAGAGCAATTTTTTTTTTAATTTAAATACAAGGTCTGGGAAATAAATTACCAAAGATTTGAAAAAAATTAGCATGATATATAAAATTTAGCTACAACTTAAGAGATCAAAGAAACAGACAACAAAAGGACTACTAAGTCTTGGTATCAGAGAAAAGATGAAAACAAGAATGAGTCAGACTGCAAATAATTGAACAGTTATATGAGATTTTAGAGTCATTGAAGAGCTAATAATCACTGACAGTAAAAACAGAAGCTAAGTATTGTATTTCTTATGACAAGTATAAAAACTGAATGAGACAGTCATTAAAAACACTAGTGTAGGTCACAAAATAAAAAATGGTAATGGTAATAATACTATATACTGTACTATTTGCACACTGGGTAATTACTATGTGCCAGACATTGTTCCCTTTATTCAAATTATCCAATTTATCACAACAACTATGTGCTACATATTTCTATAATTTCCAATATACAGATGAGACCAAATCAGAAAGAGAAAATAGCTTGTCAAAGACATACAGCTGATAAGCAGTGAAGCCAGGACACAAAATCAGGCAGTTGGATTCTATAGTCTACACAGTTAATCACTCCACTATATACTGCCTCCCATCCTGTACCTTTAATATACAGAACTGTTCCATGGTAAACTATGAAAGAATAACAACAACAAAGTTTAATTTTCTAAAACTCACCTAACCTTAAAAATATGACAGTGAATCTCAGGAACCAAGTGGATATGCTTACACACAGATGAAGTATTAATTTTGAAAAGTGACTTTTCTACTAAAAACAGAATAAAGAATTTTATTTAATAAGGTAAATCTGCCAGTGGCATAATGTATATACAAATAAACCAATGAGAATGACTTTGTAATGAAAATCTGTGCACAAAAATATAAATGCATTCTAAACCTTAGGCATTCAAATGAATGTTACATTGTAACATTTATCTTAGAAAAGCCATATTTTTCCCAAGAGCGTGGTTCAAACATTTTTTCAAATTCCTCTTTTAACTCATAAGAATTAGAACAAACTTTTATTTCATAGTCAAATATCATGTTTGACAGTATGATTCAGTTTAATCTTCTACAAAAGTCAGATAAGGCATCAACTAATTTGGCAATTTGCAAAAATTATACCTATGCTAAAATAATAAACTTGTCACCAAATCTAGTCTAAAGAAATGTTTTAGAGCCTCTGAAGGTAATACCAAATCAAGCGATAAAAAAGCTTATTGAATACCACCACCACTGTGGTAAAGTCTTTGACAAGTGGGACTATTTTTAAGAGAATACATCTGGATATAAAAGTTGTGCTACTCATGCTATGTTCTTTAAATTTTCATTCATTTTCTTATTATTTGATATGTTGACAGGCTATCTAAAAACAGAAAATTAAATTTAATCTCACAGGTAAGTTTCATAAGTATGACACAAAAAGAGTCAAAGCAAGGTATTAGAAAAGCATGCTAGACAAAACTAAATTTGAATATTTAAGTATTTAAAAATTCCCCTTTCCTTTCAGTTGGACTTAGTTCTGTTTGGTAGAATCTACTTTTAGATACCTAAAGCCAACAGACCAAGCAGATAAAGAACTGTCATATATTTCCAAAGACAAACAAAATAGGAGCCTACAAATCATACAGTAATGATATGCAATAATAAATTAATAATATTAATTTTATTATTATAATAGGGTCCCACTCGCTAAGCATTTTCTGTGTGGTAGGCCCTGTGTTAGCACTCTCATTAAAATCCAAGGAAATAGATAATATTTATCAATGAAGAAACTGAAACTTACAAAAGTTACAAATCATGTCCAAAGTCGCAGAGCTAATAAGTGATAGAGAAATGATCTAAAAGCAAGCCCTTAACTTTTCCAACTCTAGATTAGTGACTAATGACAATGCCCTGGATTCATGGAATTAGACTACCACAGAAATAAGCTAAAAATGCCAAATTCCTCTCAAGTATACTAAGGTAGAGAAAAGCTCATATGATTTTGTGGCTGTATCACTCTCCTCTGCATCTATACATTACTATAAAGCAACCCCAACAAACATTCACAAAGTTTTTTAAAAAATAAACACATAATTTTTGTGGCCAGAGGTGTTTTTTTTTTTTTTGCTGTTGTTTTTAAAGAATTAAATAACTTTCATTTACTGTTATAAGAGTGATTTCATTTTATTCTATACTTGAAAAAATTTCAAGGTAACAAATGACTATACATGGTGGTTATCTACAATTGCAGGATAAATGAGTGGTTCTGCAAAGTTGACAAATGGCTTGTTACTTCCTTCCAGAGTAAAATTTAAAATAAAAGCGATAGAAAAACTGATTTAGGCAATACTTTCTCAAAATTTCTCCATTAGCTAAAAAGCTATTCCCACAGGAATGTGTTAAGGTAGCAATAGCATGTCTGAATTGAACTACATACACACTAAAGTAGTAAAGTAAAAGGATTGTAATTAAGAATTTTATACTTCAAGCAGTTTGTGCAGGTTTTCTTGGGAAGAGGTGGTAGGTAGACTGGTGAAGAATATCCAGTGATGCATCGCGTGGAACAAAAGAGCTGAGTGGATCCTGTCTTATGATAAGCAGTTTGTCCCTTATAAAGCATTTTTTTACAACCAGTACAAAAAACCTGAATAGCCACAGCCGGAACTGAAGGAACCAATATATTTGGAGCAGATGAGGCAACAGAAAACTGAAAGCCAGGAGTCAACTGCTGGGCTATAAAAGCAAAAAGTAAGAGGAAAAAAAAACCAGTATTAGTATCAACAGGAACGCATGCATGCTCTTATTTCTTAAGACAAATCCCCTCAATCTGAAGTACAATATTAACGAGATAATAAATACTCCAAAACTGGAGGTTTCAAACTTTATAACCATAGTGAGAACTATATTCCACAATATAAACCACGACATGCACACATACATATGTGTGTTTTTTTAATAACTAAAACAGTAGTTTCATGAAATGTCTCCTTATTATATGCACCACACTCTGATCCCTTATTCAATGCCACTTTAAAAATGCTCATAAAGCCCAAACTACCCACCCCTCAAATAGTGTTGCTATATTTAAAAGAAGAGAAAGACAAGAGATGCTACTTTCTTCAATTCTATTCTTCAAAACATAACAAATATTAACTGCACTGAACTTATGCAGTTCTATTTCTTACCAAGAGGACTCTCACTGACTGAAAACACAGCACTAATTTTCAGTTCACTTTCTTGAGGTTTTGGTATTTGGGTGTGTCCATATTCCTTAAATAAAGAAAGGGAAATGATTACAGTATATCCAAGTACTCTAGAAAATCAAGCAAAAATAATTGTCATACTCATCTCTTCTAATTCTAATGATAATCATCTCTAGAAATACCTGAAAAGTCAAAATTTACAAGTTTTTAGACAAGATTTAATCTTTATAAAGAGGACCTCTCACAAATGGAGAATATTTTATAACATATGCTTTTCAAATATAATCTTAACACATAGCAGTAATATACAGCTTTTAAAAGGCTGGGTTTAAGACACACAGACCAATGGAATCAAGTAGAAAATCCATAAATAAACCCACATATTTATAGACAACTAATCTTTGACAAGGATTCAAAGAATATGCAATTGAACAAGGACAGTTTATTCAATAAATGGTGCTAGGAAAACTAGACTGCTACATGCAAAAAAATGAAGCTAGACTACTACCTCACACCATGCATAAAAACTAATTCAAAATGGATTAAAGACTTGGATATAAGACATGAAACTGTAAAATATATGAAAGAAAATATAGACAAAACACTACATTACATACATCTCAGCAACATCTTTAAAGACATATCCCCCAAAGCAAAAAAAAAAAAAAAGTGAAGGAAAAGATGAATAGCTGGGACTACATCAAATTCAAAAGCTTCTGCACAGCAAGAGACATTAACCAAAACAAAGAGATACCATACGGAATGGGAAAAAATTTTTGCACACAATACAACTAAGGGACTGATCACAAAGATCTACAAAGAGCTCATACAACTCAACAAAAACAAAGTAAACAATCCAGTCAAAAAATGGGAAGAAGAGCTAAAAAGATACTTCTCCAAAAAGGAAATGCAAATGGCTAATAGGTATATGAAAAAATGTTCAACATCACTTGTAATCAGGGAAATGCAAATCAAAACCACAATGAGACACCACCATACACCAGTGAGAATGGCACATATTTAAATAACAGGAAACAACAAAGGTTGGCAAGGATGTGGAGAAAAAGGAGCTCTCCTACAGGGCTGGTGGGAACGCAAACTGGTCCAACCACTATGGAAAGCTGTGTGGAGGTTCCTCAAACTACTAAATATGGAACTTCCATATGACCCAGCAATTCCACTCCTGGGAATCTACCCAAAGGACACAAAAACATTAATTCAAAAGGATACCTGCACCCCTATGTTCATCGCAGCACTATTTATAATAAGTAAGGCATGGAAACAACTTAAATGCCCAAAAACAGATGACTGGATCAAGAAGATGTGGTGTATATATACACAATGGATACTATTCAGCAATCAAGAAAGATAAGCTCATGCCATTCACAGCAACATGAATGGAGCTGGAAGGGATTATGCTCAGTAAAATAAGCAAGAAGGAAAAAGCAAAATATTGGATGGTTTCGCTCACAGGAGGAATGTAGGGGAACCAAATAAGGGATCAGGAAAAAAAACAATTACAATAAATCAAAAAACAAAATTAATAGGCAACTATTATTCAGAGACACTCTGCAAGGGAGGAGAGAAGGATCAAAACAGGGGTGGGAATCTGTTCTTACACAACGGACTATGGTGATGGTACATTGGTGAATTGGTGATGGGAATTTGTGGGGACTACACCTGAAAAGAGAAAGCATGCACTGTACAAAAAGGAAGAACAATGTAAAATATATATAAATTTTTTTTAACGGCTAGGTTTATAAGGGAGCAATAATTGAAATTAACTCTGAATGACTGAGTTTGGATCAAATTAGTAATTTTAGCCAACAGCTGTCATATCTATTAATGGCAGAAAATGCAGAAGTGTTTCAGAGAAATCTGCTCATTACACATAAAATATATCAAAACCTAAATAAATTCTTCACACACCCCTTAAAATACTTTAAAATTAAATTTAACTTTAAAATACATACACCAGTGCCTCCCTGGTAGCCTAGAGATCTGTTTAAGTAACAGCACTATTACCACTATGGCCTGAGTTCTATTCCAGCCAGAGAGCTGTCCCACATATGGTGTATGTGGGACACCATATGTCTCTCCTGTCTCATCCACTGCTCCCCTTTACAGTGTATTCTAGTAAATCTGCCTGTTCTGCTCCCTACTCTTATCCATGATGAATCCTTTCACCTCCCACACTTGTGGCCTACACCCCAGTTCTTCCAAAAATATTTTAAAATTTATACACCTATCTTGAGAAAGACTGTCCCTTATTCTGAGATCACAACAAATCCCACTTTATTTATTTATTTATTTATTTTGGTGTTAAAACAGCCTGACATGTTTCAAAATAGAGAGGTTTTATAAATGGTCTTACTATTAAACAAGGGTAATAAGAACTGGTAATAATTTCCCTATATTTAGCAAAGCAAATGACTGATATATCAGTTGTCAAAGTTGTTTTTGAAATTTCTTTGGGCTATTAAATGCCAAAGACTAGGAAACACTGCATTCTTTTACCACATTTCATCATGTACATTATGGCACCAAACACGCTACTGCCAATACTGTAGGCCTATTACACCTTCTTTATAGATGAGGAAAGTGAAGTTTAGAGCTAGTCAGTAACTTGTGCAAGGTCACAAAGACACTAAGTGCACAGACTGGAATCAAATCTCTGAAGTGAACCCAGTGCTATCTCATGCATACAAATACAACATAATAATTACTCTAATGAAAGCAAACCCAAGCCTCTAACTTGAATTAAGTTCCCCTGTTGTTGGTCCCACCCATCTCCTTTCACTCATGGCACTGGTCATAATACATCATTTCATACTTATCTGGGTGGTAACTTGTTTAATATCTAACACCATGGGTTCTGACAGCAGACAGAAACAGACATGATCTTGACTCTTAAATAAGTTATGTAATTTTAGTTTTTTATTTCCTTACCTATAAAGTAAAGCTAATATTATCTAGCCTATGGGTTGTTATGGGGAGCAGGGGGCAAATGATTTAATACAAATAACGTATGGGGCATGATGTCTCTTACAGTTAGCCAAAAGCTAAATATTATATGCACACAAAAATGCTAGCTCTTACCATTTTCATAAATATGCCATTTCATAAATATTTATTAAATGAATAGATCCAAGTCCATTCAATTCAAAATTCAAGTCCATTCAATTCAAAGTGGATATTCTTAAACATAATACTTAAACAACAATAGTTATCTATTGGCACTTGCTAAAAGAGGAAAGTTAAAAGTATCCAAATACATTTTCAACTTACAAAAAGAACACTTAATATTAAATAAAAAATTATTTTGTTGTTTTAATCTTTGGGTTCAATTGATTTGTTATCTTTCTTTTTTCAATTTCATTAATTTCTGTAGTAATTAAGAAGTGCCTTGCATAATTTCTATTTTTTTTTAATTTCCACTAGTCTCTATTTTATTGATTTCTACTATGATTAGCAAAACTACACTGTATGATTTCAATTGTTTTAAATTTGGTGGGTTTATTTTTTGGTGTAGGATATAGTAAAGTAGCTGAATGTTCCACCTGCACTTGAAATGAATTTGTATTCTGCTGCTTCTGGGTCAAATGTTAAATGGATATAATTATCTAGTTATCTGGCAAAAAAAAAGTATTTGCTTTATCACTGAATTACTATATTTTTCTAATATGCTTATGACATTTCCCCAGACAATTTACATCACAAATGTTGGAAACCTTATCACTCACAAGTACCAACCCCACATGTGATATTTCAATTTCACTAAGGAAAAAAAGCATTAAGAACTCCCTCATCATGCCAGTTCTTCCCCCATCATATCTACAACTTGATCAGCAAAGAGTCCGCCTATCTTGCAGGAAAATGCAATCTGCTTAGCCACGACTAAAAAGAGTGCTTGCATTCACAAGCCCTTTCCCACGCCACTCATTTATTTCAGCACTTCATAACTATCTTTGCATATCTTTAGCCTCTCTCCACCTTTATCTTAATATCCTCCTTTCAGTTTATAAGGAACCTGTTCCATTAGGAACTGCCCTTGATAAGCAATCTTTGACACTCTCATCTCTTTTCAAGCAAACTTAGAAGGTACTCTGTTCTTTATTTCCTCACTTTCCCTTCTTGAACCCACACAACTAAAACTGTTCTAAGATAATCAATCATCTCACAATTGCCTAATCCAATAAACAGTTTTAGGCTTCATCTTACTTGTCACTCTGATACATCTAACACCATCGATGATACATCGATGATACATTCATTGTCTTCTGGTTCTATTATTTCAATTCATTACATTCATTTTTAGTGCCCTTGACTAACTTTCTTATATAGTCACCCCTAAAGCCAATGGTTGCTAAATTCAATGGCATCAGAACTCCCTGGGGGTCTTGTTAAAACAGACTGTTGGGCTTCAGTCCCAGACTTTCTGATTTGGTAAGTGTGGAGAAGGGCTGAATAAACACAGTTCTATTCAGTTCCCAGGTAAAAACGGAGGTTGCTGATGGGGGCACTACTTTGAAGCCACTCTGAAACCCTACATTAATCCAGTTCCCAGCTTTCTATCCTGAAGTAGAGCCTCCTAGCCTAGTTCCAAAGGGCTTCCCAATAAGTACTTTTCTCTCTCATTCCCATACCTTACTCCCTTTACACTATCTCTTTTCTTGACAAGAAACCTGATCTTTTCATCTTTGTCGCTTTTGTGAATACAAAATAGCTAACACAACTTAGCACCCTGGTTATAACACAACTTAGCACCCTGGTTAAGAGTTTGGGTTCAAGTCCTAGTTCAACTCTCTACTAATTGTGTAACCTTTAATAAGTTACTATCTCCATCTCAGCTTCCATCTGTAAAATGGGAATACTAACACTGCTTAACTTTTAGGTTGTGATCATCAAATGGATTCTTTAAGTAAACTGCTTATAACAATGTTCAAAAGTGCTATGGATTATAGTAAGCAGGAATAAAAACTCGATGAACGAGAGTTCAACTATAACTTCAATATCCACAACAGACTTTTACCATATGAGAAAATATTTAACACTTTAAACATTTAAAAATTATGTCTCCTATTTTCCAATATCCAAATATAATATGGAAAATAGCACATCCTATTTGCTCAATAGGCTTTTTTAAATCATAGCTCATACTCTCAATTATGAAAAAGCATATATGAACCAAAAATTGCTGAGAAAGCCCATAGAGACTTAAATTTACAATGTAAGCTATTTTTATTTTCAGAAAGAATATTTAATTGACTCATAACACAATGTCTGCTAAATTTATATACTACCGGTGAGGTATAATGAAAGAAGTATTAGATGTGGAATTTAAAAACTGGTTTTGCATTCCAGTTTTGCCATTGGACCTTCATGTAGTCACTTGTTCTTCAGGCTCAGTTTCCTCATCTATGAAACAAAGGCTTTTATTCCAATTCTTGAGCATGTACTTTGTGCCAGTCATTGTGCCAGGAACTGAGAATTCAGACCAGACTTTGAACAAAAACAAAATTCATTGGTCTCCGGATGTCACAATAAATGTGAAAGTACTACACAATAAAAGAAAATAGAGAGAAGGCTAACTCTGAGTGACAGTTATATTACATCTTGAGAGGAGAAAACTTTTGCCAAGTTATCTTGTTCAGAGTATCACATACAAAAGTGGCATATGCAATGCAAAGGAAATAAAACTCAACAGACCATATATTTGAATAAAATGCAAATAGACTACAGGTACATAGATTAGAAGAGGTGAGAAGGATGACTAACTATACAGAAGAGACAAACAAAGGCCTAAACATAGTTTGGATGTCACACCAAAAAGTTTATGAGGGGCAAGGTCTTTAAAGGCAGTGATGTCATCAGATCTATAAAGAATATAATGGCATCAGTATACAGTGTTTTGATAGGGTATGTGACTGAAGAAGAAAAGCAGGAAACTGCTGTAAAAGTGAAAATAAGGAATGATGAGAGAAGAAAAGGAAGACAGGGTAAAAAAAATACTTTAAAAGACAGAAATCACAAAACATGGCAAACAAATGGTTACTTTTGACAGAGGAAGAATTTTCCATCATGAGGGAAAGTAACTGTCATTCCCCCCTCTCCATCCCCCATTCTGTAGAAACACTTCAGTACACCTCTCAGCACAGCACTCTATGAAGAAATGGAGTTGATGAGTAAGACAAAATGTATTTGGCATCCCTGCCCTAAAATGATACTACCTTTGATATGGTCTGAGAAATAAAATATTGTCTTTATTATTTATCATTCATATTTTTCATACTATTGTTTTGCTTATGCAATAAAGTAAATGCTACCACATATAAACCAAAAGAATTATCAAAAGAGAAAAAAAAATTATTTTCTGCCAAAGCAACTACCAGGTTACACGATCAACTAACAGTGATTCCACAGATTGCCAAGCTGGGTTCCAAATGAGCACTGCACATTTATCTCATTTGCCCACTTAAAACCCTACAATGAGTTCCCTTTGCTCTTGGCAAAATTCATCACAACGTCCTGCCTCAAACTACCTACAGAGCCTTATAAGTTGAATAGTGTAGGCCCTGGATTTGAATCCAGTCTTTGCCACTAAAGATCAGTGGGGTTTGTGGTAAATGGCTTGACCTCTTCATACTGTGGTGTCCTTATCTGTAGAGTGGAAATAATATGATTGTGAGAATGGTGTCTGACACAATCTAAGCACATACAAGTATTAAAAATAATAAGATAACATTGATAATGTCACATTATGATATATAAATTGCACATTAAAATTATGTATTATTGTTGTTACCATCATCATTTTCACCATTTTTATATCTATTCCAGGCCCACTGGTCTTGCAGTTCTTCAAAAGCCATGCACCTTTCCAACTCAGTGCTTTCTTATATGCAAATGTCTCTGTCCAGAACATTCACCTCTGTACCTTTGCCTAGTCAATTCAATTCATTCTTCACAATGCAGCTTACAGAGATTCCTTTAGGGAAGCTTTCCCTTGCTTAGCTTTCCCACAGTCTACCCAGCTCCCTCTTCAAAACTGGTCAGATCCCTCATCTTAGGTTTTTCTTCCAGACCACTTGTCCCTTTTTCTATATATTATATATATATATGTAATACATATACTATTTAACCAATTACTTGTGTAATATCTCCCTTGCTTGATAACTTGTAAGCTCTACCAGGAGAGAGACTAAGTTGACTGTGCTTACTCCTACATTCCCAGAGCCTCAGACACAAGAGAAAATACTACCAGATACAAGGTATCAAGACACTTTTACAAAAAGAAATACACAGAAACCAAGTCTTTTTTTACTGGGGGGAGGGATTATTTAATAATCTAACTGGGGGGGGGGGCGGGAACCAGTTTCCTCCAAACTGCCTAACTAAAAATTTCAGCTCATCAGATAGAAAAGAAGGAACAGAAAATTTCTTTAAGTAAAGATGAAATGCTTACTTGAGCATTATCCGGTTCTTCTTTAATTTTGTCCAGAAGCCCCTGCTGCGGTGCCATTGCTCTGCCACATTCACCATCCAAGGGTTCTTTCATTCTAATTTTTTATGTAAAGGAAATACTCAGTCTAAAACTAAAGATTTTCTTCACGATAATGGCTAGCTGGACTCCTAAAACACAACATAAAGGATTGGTAATCAGGTTTCCTTCCCCCCCCCGCCCCCCACGTTTGTCTACAAAGCTTTATGTTGAGCGCAGGCATTAGGTCTGCTTATTTTAAAAACAACTCTTCTGGGGCCATGACCATTCTCCCTTCTTCCTGTCCTCTGCTTCCTTAGCAGCTATCTTCACTTAAGAAAAGTCTTCCGGTAGTAGCTCCCACTTCCCCAATAGCTTTAAAACACACTCTGGTCTTTTACATATTGAAATTCATTAACGGAATTAGACTGGCAGACTTGGGGGAAAGTCACCAAGCTAGAAGAAAGGATTCAAACACTTTCACTCCATGAGAACGAGTACTTGTAAGCCCACCTCAATTTTTATTTTTCATATTGAGGCACACCAAGCTCCCCATCCCTACTCCTAACAGCCTTCACTGGAGGCGTTTATAGGACCCTATTTCTTAGCCTATAGATAGATCAGGGCCAAAGATGCCATCAAGAGTGAGCCACAGGGACGCCTGCTCCTTTCAGGCACTTTTCAGGTTTAGGAAATTGGGGGTGGGGGGTGAGGAGTAGGGGGGTCGGTCGTGCCCAGGAATAAACCCCTCTGAGCTCTGCTTCACAGTAGCCTTCCTGTAAACAAGAAACTCAATTAGGTATTTAGCAGACTTCCCCCCCAGTAAGAGTAAACGTACTAAAAGGGACATAGTAAACCCGAACCACGAAAGCAGCTCCCTAAAGTTGTCTTCATCCACATAATGAACCCAGGCATGGGAGCAGGTAACTGGTTTAAAATCCCCGGTGGAAGAAGGTAACTTCTGGCCGCCTGCCCCAGGTGCAGCACTCTACGGGCGCTCCTTCCTCCAGCATCGCCTGTGCTCCAAAAGTCTCGTCCCCAACAAATCCGCGGCCGTCACCTAGTAGCATGCAGCAACGCTGCAGCGGAGCACTAGCACGCGAAGCACGGACGCCTACCGGCGCGTCACTGCGGGGAGACCAGCGGGGAGACCAGCACCCCGTCAGCAGCCGCCGCACAGCCTGCCGGGCGCGCTCCCGCCCCCGCCCGCCTCGTCACGTGCGCCGGCCCTGCCCGGCCCCTCCTGCTGTCGCCTGCGGCGCTCACCTTCCGGCCCCTTCCTACCACCTGGAACCCACCTAATGGGACAGAGGGGACGCGACCCAAGACCCCTGCGGCAGGGAAAGGATTATTTGCTCTTAGGGGGATTCTTCGGCCTGATCCAACCCAACACCACTCGGGCAACCATACGCATGCGCAACCCTTGTCTCCGCCCTCTTCTCCCGTCATGCTCCGCAAGAGCTGAGTGGAGCTTCCCAGAATTCCTCTTTCCTCAATTATGGCTGCCTTCTTAAAGAGACCGAGACCCAATTGTGAAAAGGTAGAGGAAAGGGCTGAGGGTAGTGGAGAGCCAAGGGCACGAGAAAAGCTTTTAGGGGCTTTACGCTGTTATGGGGGAAAGGGGGTGATCTTGTTTATGTAAGTGTACTCAACCGCTATATTTAAGACTACAGAACAAGAACCAAAAGTAGATTTAAATAGGGAGTGAGGAAAAGGAGAGCCAAGCGAGGGGAGAAGAACAGTTAGTGGCTAGCGGGTGGCAGGGGCCCTCTGTCCTACCAGCAGGTAACATCAGCTGACCAGAGCAGTGTGCGATATATGAAGCCAACAGAGGCCCAACAAACCACTCTCAGCCGTTTTAAGGTGCATGTGACAGCTCTGCCCCGCCCCTAGTTCCCAGCAGCCCCTGTTTTAAGGAGTCAAGTGGGTGGAGTCTGGAAAGCTCCACTTGTTACCACCGAGTTGGCTGTGAGCGCCCCCCATTGGCTGGGAGGTTCTCCTCACTATTCCTTTTCTAGATGTGGCTGTGATTGTCCTGCTTATTTCCATAATGCAATTTTGCAGAAAGGTGGCCTGCAGCGCTCACCTTCTGGCCCCTTCCTGCCACCTGGGACACACCTAATGGGACAGAGGGGATGCGTCCCAAGACCCCTACGGCAAGGAAAGGATTATTTGCCTTTCACGATATTTTCACGATAATTAATAACTGACATTCACTAAGTGAAGTGCTTTTAAGGACTTGACATGCATTCATTCCACTTCTTTTTTTTTAAAATGTGATTTTTAATAATATAAGTACAAAATTTTATTTCTTTATACAACTGTAATGGGATTTGGACCAAACCGCTAGGATTTATTTAAAAAAACAAAACAATACAATGATATAAAAACTGCAAGGTCTGAATCCAAGGTTTTTCTTAGAGTAAGTACCAAATACCACAAGGTGCAGGTTATCATACAAATGTGTACAAATTTTAAATACAAATACAATAGGGTTGGATTTCAAAGGAAAACAACAAAAAGCAGGTCCTCATCAGGATTGCATTAGTGGATACAAGTGACAATGGTTGAGTCCATGTCTTCAAGGCCCCTCCTTGATACCCTGTGTCAAACAGGAAACTTTCACGGGGAACACTTACTTCTGACCACAACTTCAAGAGGTACAAGTTTTTATCTCAGAGATAAAAACAAGATTAATTGTTCAATATAAAGATTTATTATTTTTTTATTCAACATTGTTTGGATTTATGAGGCTGTCATTTGCTCATTTTGATAACTATATAGTATTCCGTGCTAAGAATATGCTATAATTTAACCATTTGCTGTTGGTGCACATTTGAGTTTCAAATTATTGGCTTTCAGGAGTAATGCTGCTATGAACATTCTTGTCTTTTGTGGCATATATGCTAGGTTGATACTTAGCGGTGAGACTGTTTGTTACATATATGAAAAGTTGCAGTGCATAGGAGAGCTGCATTTGCCCCCATATCCGTGCTTATCACTGCACATCTTTTTAATCCCATTGTGGTGGGATTCATAGATGTTTTAAATGGGATTTTCCAGATTACAAATAAGGTTAACTCCATTTTTATGTTTTCAGTTATATGGATATCCTTTTACATGAAGTGCCTGTTCAATTATCTTCCCCATGTTTGTATTGGATTGTCTGTCATTTTCATATATATTATGGATGACTTTTATTGAATATTAGTGTCTTTTGAGGAAAATGAAGATCTTTATACTTAGTGTTTCTTGTATCCAGTTAAGAAATATTTTCCTACCAATTAATTTCCAGAAGTGTTATTACTTTGTCTTTCTCATTTAGATTGACAAGCCACCTGAAATTGAGGTTTGTACATAGTGTGAGGTAAGTCAGGTTTCATTTTTTCCATGTTAATGTTAAACTACTTAAGCACTATTTTTAATAGTCTGTCCTTTCCCCAGCTGCTCTGTATTTCTCTCTTTATCATATATAAGTTCTCTTTAAATGCATGGGTTTAGTCTTTTTGTCTATGTATTCTATTCTTTTTAATATCACACTATTAATTTCCATAGTTTTATAATAAAGCTTGAAAAAAATTTCCGTCCTACCTCCACTCTTCAAAATCACCTTAAATGTTTTTGGTCCTTAGTCATGTACATTTTAGAACCAGCTTGTCACTTGTGGCAACAATTTCCTTATAAAAATTTTAAAAAGATTTATTTATGCATACAAGAACTGGGGTGTAGGCCCGAGGTGTGGGGTGGGGGTGAGAGGATTCACCAGAGATAGAGTGGGGAGCAGAACAGGCATATCTACTGAAATACACTGCTGAGGGCAACAGTAGGCAAGACAGAAGAGTTATGCTGTGCCATGTGGGTTAGCAACAATTTACCTGTGGAATTTGTTGCCCTTATCTCTGGTGCCTTCCTTATTCCTCCCAGGCTTTTCCTATTCTATTGTGACCCTAGAAACTATCCGCTTGCCCTATGACTCATTATGACTTTACGACTAGCACAATTATTTGACTGTACACTTCTTCAGGTGTTTAAAAGTGTAATTTGTTAAAATTACAGCATTTAAAATACACCATGACTTTTGCCATTGTTTTGCGATTATTTTAATATGCTGAGCCCCCTAAAATGGAAGAAGCCTGAAGCCCTTACCTCTGCGGGATAATTCCTTTTACTAGGAATTTACTATGTCCCTGGCATTATACTAATATTGTCTTTCTTGTCTTTTTAAGGCTACGATGTACTACTCTATAGCAATTATACCATTTAAAGCATTTAAAGGACAAAGGATTCACATCATTTGCCAATAAAGCCATCTCCCCAATCTAGAACATCTAATTGCCCTATCCTTTAAGGGTCCAAATTTGGCTACCCTGTCGATTGGCTTCAAAGGTTAATCACCCCTAAGAGACACACCCCCCAACACACGCCCCCTGACCTACCCCTAACCCAAGTCACCCTTTCCAAAGCTGGCAACCAGGACCCAGGCGGGCCGGTGGTGCTGCGCATGCTCAGGCGCACAGCACGGCGGGAAAGGGGCGGGGCCTGCGAGACCGTTTAGCGCCGAAGTTCCTGTGAGAAGTGTCGCTTGGGTTGCGTCCATGAGAGAAATTAGTAAGCCTACTTCAGCGGCGTGATTTTGGTCTATTTTCTCTGTATCTCAGCGGAGAGGGCCGGAGAGTGTTCGCCCGTCGTAGGGAGGAAGCAGTGTCCGGTCGGGCCTGGGTTCTAAAGACCCGGCGCCGCGTGCGGATTCCGCCATGTGAGGGTCGGGAGCTCGGGTCAGGCCGCCGGATGGTTTGTCGCCCCCTCTAGCCCCGGCCGCCGCGGCAGGGCATGGTCCGTGCCCCCCGCTTTCGAGCGTTCTCGCCGCTTTCTGCTCCTGCGTGGTTGTTGGGCTTTCAGCCTTTGGTTTCGACGCGGCCTCCGTCTCTAAAGCATTGATCTTGATAATACCTGTGGCGCGCCTTCATTGAGCAGTGATTTCCCCCCCCGCCCCCCCAATTTAAAATCATAGCATTTTTGCAGCTAGGGTTGCAAACAGAATGTCCCCTCAATTAGGAGTGAAGAATTACTATAAAAGTGGGACTGGATGAATTCGGACTGGAAACTGGGATGAGGTGAAGTTACTTACACCCTTTCCTCACGTCCAGGGTTTTGTTTGAAGTTGCAGGATTGCGAGTTTTTGATGCATGGGTTTTATGTTTGCAAACGGTAGCTTTTACAGCTTTCTCAGTATGCAGTCGCGGCATACTTTTCGTTTAAACTGAGCCGAAAGCTTGAAAGTCAACAAGTGGAAAATTGTCTCTTTGCGAGTTGAATCACTGATAACATTTGACGATGACTTGTAGCCCTCATCATAAATGTTTAAGACAGCCCCTAAAATTGATAACAAGCACTCCATTACATTTAGCCCTGACTAGACATTTTACCCACTCCACTCGTAGGGGGAAGAAAGCGCATTAGAGATGCCTTTGCTAAAGTAGTCGGTTTGCTGCTAGGGTTTTCTGTGAGTGAACACATATAAAGGTCAGCATCCAAAAGGAAAGGTATCTGTCCTTCCTCATCAGTGACACAGGTATGAAGAATTGAACTGTAGTCACCCAGATGGCAGGAGAAACTATTTTCTCGAGGTTTTTGCTAGTCTAGCATAAATGCTTGGGAGATCGCCATAATACTTAAAATTTGGCATGTGGCAGTTAAGTGTGTTTTAAGTAATTTTTAATTTAAAAAACAAGCTATACATAAAATGTTTCCCTGCATACCTAAGGCTACTGATCTACAAGATTAAGTGGAAGGTTTTTAGTGTTCAGGGACTTCCTGATTCTGCCTTTTCAATTACCTGCCACTAACACTCGTCATTTTATCCCCAACAAAAACCCCACTCCTTACAGAAAAATAAGTATGTGTACTTTTGCACATGCTGGCCCTTTACCTGAAATACCTCCCATCATTGTAAAACCTAGTTCAGATTTAACGTTCTAAAAGATTTATTTGACCATAATCCCTCATTTCTGTTATGTAACCTGCATATACTTACATAGTTTTGCAATTATACTATTCTGGGCTGGAGTATTTTCAATGTGGGGGTGTCCTAATTATCTCTGTAACTCCAATACTTAATAATTAGTGGCTCCCCATTGCTACAAAAGTAAACGTGGACATTTTGGGTTTTTGGGAAAAGCCTCCAGGCTTCCTGTCAGCCAATAAAATAGCTTATAGAATTCAGCTGAATAAAAAGAATCTTTGCCAAGTATAATGTAGAAATAGGTAGCCGAAAAGCTAATAAGAAGTGTCAGTTTACTTGTTTCTGGACACTTTCACTAGCTATTTTATTTGTACTTGTGTCAGTGCAAGACAGTCTTAATTACCTTAGGTTTATAATAAGTAATTCAACTTTTTTTTTTAAATTGTCTTAGCTATTCTAGGTTCTTTGTATATTTTATATACATTATAATCATCTTGCATCTTTCACAAAAACTGCTGGAATTTTGATCTGGCTCAGTTTGGGGAAAAGCGACTTAACAATATTGAGTATGCTGTATCTCTCCATTTATTTTGATCTTCCTTAATTTCAGCTTTCTTTTGTTTTCAGTGCACAGGTCTTGACAAATTTCTTTAGATTCGCTCCCATATATTTGATGTTTTATAATGCTATAAAAATGATCATTTAAAATAAATAATTTTATTTCTCATTGTTCTAGTACAGAGAAATACAATTTTTAAATTTCAACCCTACTGAATTTACTTAACAATTCCAACATTTGGGGCCTCCCCGGTGGCGCAGCGGTTGAGCGCTGGGTTGTGAAGCTGCCCGCAGCCTCTGCAGCGCCGGTTCAATCCCCGGCTGCTCCCCGGCCACCAGAGGAGGGTCCCACATGGCGCGCAGACCTCTCCTGCCGCCCGCTGCTCCCCTCAGCAGTGTACTTTGGTCCTTCTGCCTGCTCTGCTCCCCACTCTGGCTCTGGTGAATTCTCTCACCCTCCCGTGCTTCTGACTGTACCCAGTGCTTGTATAAATAAATAAATAAATCTTAAAAAAAAAAAAAAAAAACAATTCCAACATTTGGAGAGTCTTTTGAATTTTCTATGTATAAAATGTCATTATAAATAATGACAATTTTCCTTGTTCCTTTTCAATATTTATATTTTCTTTATTCTTGCATTATTGACCTGACTAGAGCCTCTTGTACAATGATGAAGGGAAGTGATAAGAGAAGAAATTTTTAAATATTGACCTTATATTTTCCTATGAGCCTGCTTGATTCACTTATTCTAGTAGTTTTTGTTGGGGAAGAAGAGAGAATTTCATAGGTTTTTTTTTTTTTTTTTAAAGATTTATTTATGCATGCAAGAACTAGGGCACAGGCCAGAGGTGCAGGGGGTGAGAGGATTCATCAGAGACAGTGTGGAGAACAGAACAGGCAGATCTACTGAAATACACTGCTGAGGAGAGCAGCGGGAGAGACAGGAGAGGTCTGCCTCGCCATGTGGGTAGCTCCCTGGCCAGCCAGGAATCAAACTCTTGCTGCAGAGGCTGCAGATAGCTTCACAGTGTTGTGCCTAACCCCTTGTGCCACCAGGGTGGCCCCTCTTAGGGGTGTTTATATACACAACTATGTTGTCCACAAATAAAGATGGTTTACTTCTTTCTTTCCAATCTTTTTTTTTTTTTTAAAGATTTATTTATTCACGCATACAAGAACCAGGGTACAGGCCAGATGTGCAGTAGGGTGAGAGGATTCACCAGAGACAGAGCAGGGAACAGAACAGGCAGACTGACTGAAATACACTGCAGAGGGGAGCAGCGGGCGAGACAGGTCTGTCATGCCATGTGGGTACGGGTATCTCTGCAGCCTGTCGGGATCGAACCCGCACTGCAGAGGCTGCAGACAGCTTCACAGCGCTGAGCTCAATGGTCTCTGCCACCAGAGATGCCCTTTCTTTCTTTCCAGTCTTTACACCAGATCTCCATAAGTATTTTGCTTTAGCTTAAAGAATTTCCTTTGCATTTCAATAGTACACGTTTTCTGGCAAATCCTCACCATTTCCATATATCTGAAAATATCTTTACTTCATCTTCAGCTTTGAAGGATATTTTTACGAACTGCAGGCTTTTAGGTAGATTTTTTTTTTCCAGCATTTTTGAGGATACTCCATTGCCTTCTGGCCTTCATTGCTTCATTTTTTTTTTTTCTTTTTTCTTTTTAAAGATTTATTTATTCATTTATACAAGCACTGGGTACAGTCAGAAGCACGGGAGGGTGAGAGGATTCACCAGAGCCAGAGCAGGGAGCAGAACAGGCAGTTTGACGAAGTACACTGCTGAGGGGAGCAGCGGGCAGCAGGAGAGGTCTGCGCGCCATATGGGACCCTCCTCCGGTGGCCGGGGAGCAGCCGGGGATCGAACCGGTGCCGCAGAGGCCGCGGGCAGCTTCGCAACCCAGCGCTCAACCGCTGCACCACCGAGGAGGCCCCATTGCTTCATTCTTATATTTGTTTGCCTGATGTTAATATCTCGTTTTTCTCTAGCTGCTCTTAAGATTTGCCTTCTATTTTTCTTTTTCACTGGTGTGACTATGACATGTGTAGTTGTATGTTTGGATATTGTAGTTGTAGTTGTTTGGATATTGATAGAGCTCCTAGAATTCACGTGGTTTGATGGCTTTCTTCATTTGTGTGAAATTGTTCTGCCAGTATTTCAAGTATTTTTTCTTCTGTATTATCTGTTTTCTTTTAGGAATCTGTTTACATATATATTACATCTTTTTGAAATGTCCTACCAATTTCCTGAATTATATGTATTTTTATCCTTTTATGTATCAGTCTGACTACTTTCTACTAATTCTAGTCTGCTAATTTGATATTAAATTCATCTGTTGAATTCTTAATTACCCTATTTTCCAGTTCTCAAATTTACGTGACTTTCTACTCAACTCCATCTTTTTCTCTATTTTCTCAAACATATCAAAGTCCTCACCTGATAATACCAATTTGAGCCACCCATGGGTGTTTCTGTTTTCATTTTCCCCTTGGTGTCTAGTCAGTTTTGTTTTTCCCCATAAATTTTTATTGTATACTAGACATCAGGCTGAATAATTTTAGAAATTCTGGGTGCATTTCCTCCAAAGGGACTAAATTTCTTTAGGCAGGCAGATAGTAGACAGGTAGCAGCTTACATAGATCCTACAGAGGGTTAAAATTACTAAGCCTTGTTAGCGCTGATGACTGATGTATTTTGGTTGACCTCATCTTCTAGAAGGTGATCTTTACTCCTGGGGTATCACCCTCTCTCCTATCACTTGGAGTCTGTGCTGAAAGTACAGGTCTTTACCAAGTACCCTCTTCCTTTGCTGAACTTCAATTTCAGCTCTGTTCTTAGCTCTGCTGTAATCTCTTCTCAGCAACTTAGCCTCCTAACTTCTGTTTTCTGCTAGGTTTTTTTGGAGTTTTATTCTGTAGGATGCAGTTTAGGAGTCAGCTAGTAAGTAGAAATGAGCAATATTTTATGCAGAGCCTTAAGGGCCTTGTTTCTCTGTCCCATTTTCTTCCAGATTGTGCCTCTTGCATTCTAAACTACTTGGACAACCTAGGACTCCTGTCTCCTGCTCAAGCTTTCTGGCTGAGGTTTTTCCCTCTGCTCTATCCTGGAAAGTGCCCTCAGCTTTAATTAACAATTAAAGCATGTTGGGCCTAGGAGGGTCCCACATGGCGCGCAGACCTCTCCTACCGCCCGCTGCTCCCCTCAGCAGTGTACTTCGGTCCTTCTGCCTGCTCTGCTCCCTGCTCTGGCTCTGGTGAATTCTCTCACCCTCCTGCGCTTCTGACTGTGCCCAGTGCTTGTATAAATAAATAAATAAATAAATGAATAAATAAATAAATATTTTTAAAAAAAAAAGAAAGAAAGATATTAAAAAAAACCAATTAAAGCTTGTTAATTTTATAGTTGAGTAGGGAGAATGTCTGGAATGCTAAAACTACTCTGTTAAGCCTGAATTTTATCAGTCTTTTATTCTTTTATTCTTTAGTCTGGAACTGAGTTGGTTTAGAAGCTGAATAGGATTTGAATAGACAGAAATGACTTCACAGAAGGAACAATAAGAGCACATGCATAGTGGAGAAGAACTGAGATTATGGTGATGCAGTTTGAAGCATTGGTTTATATAATCAATATGGTTTATACTATATTTATGCCTGGGTTAACACAAGAGAAGACTAGTCCTAGAAGAAAGCATATAGATAAATCTACCAGAGAAGTATAATGCAAAACTATATTGGGGAATAATGGATGAAGGAAAGGAAACCAGGAATCTTGGCATGAACTAGCCTAAACACATTTTGGGCTTCCAGTAAATTACCATAGTTAAAAGAAAAAAAGATTGTAAATCAGACTCTATTAATTCACATTTTATTTTAAGAATATGGAAACTGTTCCCCGAGAAGACACCTGTTAGTTTGAAACCGGATGATTCCTTTGCATCAGATACTAAAATGAAAGAATCACTGATAGAGGGTGAATGTGACAAGGTAGTGACACCACAACTGGGAAATCTGAATGAAATTAAGATGGAACCGGACAACGCTCAGGTAAATATTTGACATTTTCTTTTTTCTAGAACAGTGTTGTAAGTTTTAGTTGTGCATTTACTACTCAATTGGTATAAAGTCATAAATCCTGGGCCTCCCTGGTGGCGCAAGGGGTTAAGCACCACACTATTAAGCAGTCCGCAACCTCTGTAGCACGAGTTCGATCCCCGGCCGGCCAGGGAGCAACCCACATGGCGAGGCAGACCTCTCCTGTCTCTCCCACTGCTCTCCTCAGCAGTGTATTTCCATCAGTCTGCCTGTTCTGTTCCCCATTCTGTCTCTGGTGGATCCTTTCACCTCCCTACCCCCACATCTCTGGCTTGTACCCCAGCTCTTGTATGCATAAATAAATAAATCTTAAAAAAAAAAAAGTCTTAAATCCTTATTTCCCCAAAGCAGTTAATAAAAAAATATAAGATATATGGGGTTAAGTATCATTAAAAACAAGCCTATATGCAAAAAAAGTGACTTAAGGGAAGAATGCTATATTTGAAATTGGAATTTTAGATTGATGAAAGTGTTACTTAGGATATTATGGGTTTGGCTAAATTTAGTACCTTTTTTTTTTTAGATTTATTTTTATTTATTGATGCATACAAAACCTGAGGTATAGGCCAGAGGTGCAGTGGGGTGAGAAGATTCACCAGAGACAGAGTGGAAAGCAGAACAGATGAATCCGCTGAAATACACTGCTAAGGGGAAGCAGCAAACAAGACAGGAGAGATCTGCTGCGCCACGTGGGTTAGCTCCCTAGCCAGTGATCAAACTTCTGTTGTAGTGGCTGCTGATAGCTTGACAGTGCTAAGACTTAACCCCTTGCGCCACCACGGGGGCCCTATTTCTAGTATTCTTTTTTAGAGATGGCGTTAAGTAAATCAGTATTAAGTAAGGATATGACTCCTATTGAGTTGATGACTCTGGGGAATGGTATCCATCTAGAAAGTCCAAACTAACAATTATTGTGTTTTAAGGTCTTTATGAAATTGTTACCTTCATAAAGTAATAATTAGATGATTATTAGAACAAGTAAGAAAAATAAATCTCATTGAGTATGACTACTAATCATGTTATTAGCCAAATGGTACCAAAAGGGGAATGCTTATCTGTGTACCACGTCAATTCAATTGTACAATTCACCCAACAGACTTGAGCATAATTTATCACTCTTTACTGAATGACTGGTTTCTTAAATACATTGTATTCACTATTTTCAACTCTTTTTTTTAGGAGTATTGTCAAGCCCAACAGCCCAAAACTCAGGATAATGAACTGAAAATAAACACTACGTTTTCAGACAGTGGTAATAGAATTTTTTTTAAGTTAATCATATTTATCCTGACCAATATGAGAGCTAGTTTATTCTGATATTTTAGAATACCTTTGAATAGTGCATTGTTTGTTTCAAGTTTAGGAGAAGTAGCTTAGAAAAGAAACGAAAGAATGCATACTTAATCTATGTAAACATTAACACTTTTTTTCTTCTTGTTTTGTGTATATAGCTTCACAGTTGACTACAGGCATTCAACTTTCTCTGGCATCATCTGGCATGAATAAAATGCTTCCTTCGGTTTCAACCACAACTATTCAGGTCTCCTGTTCTGGTTGTAAAAAAATCCTCCAGAAGGGGCAAACTGCTTATCAGAGGAAAGGATCTACTCAGCTTTTCTGCTCTACACTGTGCATCTCTGAACACATTTCATCTGCCACTTTACCAGCTCTTTCCAAGAGAACGTGTTCAAACTGTTCAAAGTATGTAATTCTAATTGAGTTTTCCCCTTTACTTCCCTCATAGATCTTGAAGAGAGGCTTGGTTATAATTTTCTACATTTTCACTTTTTTCAGAAGTATTAACTTGTTTTAATGAAAAGAAGCTCTTCCTGCTTCAGAGTCTCTTATATATTCTTCATAATTTCTTTGTTTATTGAGAAATTTACAGAAATTAAAATGTGAGTTGTTTCTCTTCTACTTCAAATAATGTAACTTCCTAAACTTATTCTACTACTCCTTTCATCTGAAATTTTCTATGAATGGAATTATTGTATGTCCATTCTATTTTATCATTTAACTCTATAAGGAGCAATCTACTAAAAATTTAAGTAGTTATTTTGGATCTTGCAAGGTATAAAATTATATATGTGTCTCTTACAATGGTAAATGAAGTTGGTTAAATCTTTCGAATTATTATATAGCCCTAGATAAACATAGATGTATATGTGTAATCTTTTCAAGATTGCTGTGAGCTATTATTATTTAGCTCTTAGTTGCTAAATTTTTACGTATGTAAGGTCACATAGGTATAGAGAAAGTAAATAGTAGTTATTTACTATAGTAGAAATAGTTGCTATTTCAAAATGAAATGCAAAAAATGTCCAGAACTTTGAAATTTACCCTGAGAAGTATTAAGGATCAGCAGCTTGAGAGTCCTATCATATTATAATTCTATTTGTTAGTACTCATAAATGGTAATGCTGCATTTTAAATGTCTTTGTTTCAAAGCAAGAAAACACATAGGCTACCAATTTACTTTAAATATAATGAATTCCTTTCAAATAATGTCTTGTTTTGGAATCAGATTGCCATAAATTGAATCTTGCTTTCTCCATTTTGAGTTACATTGTACAAGTCAAAGTGTAATCCCTTGAATAGCTATGTCAGTATCATCTGGGAGCTTGTTAGAAAGGCAGAATGTCAGGTCTCATCCATACGTACTGAATCAGAGCTGCATTTATCCCCATTTGATTCACATACCTACTGAAGTTGAAAATATTGCAAATTTCTTTCTTAGCATTCTGATCTGTTTTGTTAAATGTACATAAGAATTATGAACATTGAGTAATATATTTGTTATCAGAACAACACTGGCATCTACTAAGACTCAGTTAAGTGTTAGCCTTCACTATCTCTTAAACTTACAACCCCTTTTTACTGGTTGCTTCAGCTCCTTGTTTGACTGCTGCTTTAGGTGTTATTTGTTGCTTCAAGTCTTACTCCCTATAACTCTATTTACCTTGCTCTTGTGCTTTTTTCAGTCTTTCAGTACTTACTTTGTCTTTTCTCTTTTTTTGCTTTGGGCTGTATGGCACTCTGTTCAGCCTGATTTCTTCCTCTGCAGAATCATAAAACTGGAAGGGACCTTAGAGATCATCCAGTCCAAACATTTTCTTTTGGTTTTGAGGAAACTGAGGCCCTGAGAACTTAAGGTATCATGTTGCTGTTTGGAGTTTACCTACTATACATCTTCTGCAGTTCTCCCAGACAGATTGAAAGGGTTAAAAACAGGAAAGATTTAGTGTTATAAGGCAAAGAAATTCAGTATGAGCAAAAATATGAAACAAGTTTTACTTCCTCTAGAAAAAAGAAATTTTATTTTATATAAAATACTGTTTTATAGCTTGGTGGAAAGGTGGTAGTAATGCTTATGCTGGGAGAAATCTTCCTTTGTTCAGAGTAATCTATGTTTTTTTACCACAGCTTTTTTTGATTCTATTTTCATTAGCCTCTTACAGTAAATAATATACACTTAAGACTTTAGCTAATTATTGTTGAGGTTTGTTTTGTAGCAATGATTTAAAATCTATTTTGAGTTAGTGCAGTTTTTATTCTGCTTCATGAATTAAATGAAAGATAGTTTGAAAATGACGTGTTAAATCATGTTAGAAAGATATGACTTCAAGAAGTATCCTTTCTACATAGTGGTATCCCAATTCAAAATAGGCCCATGTATTAATGCTATAATATTTCCATAGGAAAATTGTTCAAATCCATGCTCAACCCTTGTTTAAGCTAATGTTAGGCACTTTTAACAAAATGCACTTTTTGATTTATAAGGCCTCAGAAGCCAGCAGTCTAGCATGCTAATAGCAGTAAGAAACAGTTAACATTTTCAAACCTCTGTGCTTCTGCTGATGTAGTTTTTTCTGCCTTCCTCTCATCTGACTAATTTCTTTCTATCTTCAAGGTCTGCCTCAAATATCTGTACCTCTTGTCTATTCCCACACCATTCTTTCCCCTCCTCTGATTATCCAGCCCCTATATACTCAGGTATATTGTTGCATGGTCTGTGTTTTCATAACTCCCAAGTCACTGATCATAAAATTGCAGTTTAAAGGACATATGTTACCCTGGAGTACAGGCCAGAGGTTGTGGGGGGTGGGGAGGGGCGGTTGAGAGGATTCACTAGAGACAGAGTGGGGAACAGAACAGGCAGACTGATTGAAATACACTGTTGAGGGGAGCAGCGGGCAAGACAGAAGAGGTCTGCTGTCATGTGAGTAGCTCCCTGGCTGGCCATAGATTGAACTCACTTCTGGGTAATGGTTTGTCTGATAGTTCTTTTAAGTAAAACTGTTCTATGGAAAAGTAACTCACTCAGATTGTGAATTATAACATCCCAAATTATATTTTCCTTAAGACAATCATTGTACTTTAGTGTGAAGGAGAAATACTTTATATGTCAGTCCCATTTCATCATATAGAATATTTAAAAGATGTACTCAAGGATCAAGTTTAATAAAGTGAATAATTTTGGGGCCTCCCTGGTGGTGCAGGAGGTTAAGACTCAACCTATGAAGAAATCCACAGCCACTGCAGCACTAGTTCAATCCCCGGCCGGGAGCTACCCATATGGTGCAGCAGACCTCCTGACTCACCCACTGCTCCCCTCAGCAGCGTATTTCAGTCAATCTGCCTGTTCTGTTCCCTACTCTGTCTCTGGTGAATCCTCTCACCCCCCACACTTCAGGCCTGTACCCTAGTTCTTATATGCATAAATAAATAAATCTTTAAAAAATAATAATAAAGTGAATAATTTTTACAGCAAATACATGGTAGTGAATAACACAAATATTAGTGCAGTTTGGTACCACTGCCTTGTTTTATTTTAAGGCTCTGGCAGTTTTACCAACCATTCCTTTTTTCCCCCCTCCCAGTTTATACAGTGACATTCATATAACAAAAACTATTTTAGTATCATTTAATACATTTATATTGTGTATGACTACCACCTCTGTCAAGTTCCAAAACATTTCCATCACTCCAAAGTAAAAGACCTTATCCATTAAGCAATTTACACCCATTCTCTCATTCCTTTCCCTCAACCCCTGGCAACCATCTATCTGCATTCTATCTACCGGTTTACCTATTCTGAATTTTTCATGGAAATGGTATCACACCTTTTGTATCTTACGTCTTCACTTAGCATAATGTTACTGAGTTTCATTCATGTTGTAGCATATATATCAGTGGTTAATTATTATTTGTAGCAGAATAATAGTCCATATATATGCACATACTTTGTTTTGTTTATCAATTCATTCGTTGATGAACACTTGGGCTGTTTGCCTTTTTTGGCTAATGTGAGTGGTGCTGTTAAGGAAAGCATGTACATGTCCCTGTTGAGTACCAGTTTTCAGTTATTTTGGGTATATACTTGGGAGTTGAATTATAGAATCCTATTGTTGCTTTTGCACCATCTGTTCAAATGTCAACACATTAAAACAGGCAAATAACATCTTAATATTATTATGAAATTAGTTTTGATCTCAAGGTCCCCTGAAAGTATCTTGGGGATTTGTAGTTCAGACTTTGAAATCCTTTGTGCTGTAAATTCTGAAGCTGGTCTTTTATGAACATGTAATCATTCTGTTGTCCCTAATGTCAATTGGTAGAGGCTAGGTAATCCTCAAAATTGCATCCTCTGTGTGTTTTATAATTCCTACTAATACTCAGTAGGGGGACATTTAGAGGAACTAATACTTAAGGAGTTTCAGTGACTTTCCAATTATTATTTTACTGGAAGTAGATACCAAACTCAGGCTTTCTTTTTTTTTTTTAAGATTTTTATTTATTTATGCATACAAGAGCTGGGTGTAGGCCAGAGTTTGGGTGGGGGTGGGGGTAAGAGGATTCACCAGAGACAGAGTGGAGAGTCGAACAGGTGGATCAACTGAAATACACTGCTGCAAACTCTGGCTTTCTTATTTCAAGACTGATGATACCAGTGTGTCATAGTTCTTAAGGCTAAATGAAACAAATGGGAGCAGATCCATTGAGGGAGTAATTTACCAATGAAAAGAGATTGTAATGTTGGTAAAGTACTTAATGGTACCCTTGTTAATTTGTTTTCAGAGACATTTTAAATCTAAAGGATGTGATCAGTGTCCAGCTGGAAGATACTACCTCTAGCAAAAATTTTTGCAGCCAATCTTGTCTTTCATCATATGAAGAAAAACGAAAACCACTGGTTACTATATGTACCAGTAGCATTTTAACCAAATGCAGCATGTGTCAGAAGACCAATGTTGTAAGTTGCAGTTTATTTTAATCTTTAGAAACTCTGATTAATCTGCTTAAATACCAGTTTTTAATGGAATTTTTTTTTAATCCTAGATTCAGTATGAAGTCAAATACCAGAATGTGAAGCATAGTCTTTGCAGTAATGCCTGTTTTTCAAAGTTTCACTCTGTTAACAACCTCATCATGAACTGTTGTGAGAACTGTGGAGCTTATTGTTATACTAGTTCTAATCCATTTCATATACTTCAGATGGAAGGACAGTCTCATTACTTTAATAGTTCAAAGACTATAGCAGCATATAAGCAGGTATGGATAAAGCTTTATTGCATAAAGTAAGGACCATTCCATTTGAGTTTGACTGCATAAGGCTCATGACAAATCAAAGATTGAGTTCCTTTCATTAGTTGGACTGTGAATTCTCTTACTTTTTGGAAATGTGGGGATATAGATTTTAGTGCCATTGAAAATAGCCTTAGTTTGCAAGATGATAAAGGTGATGAAATAAAAGACTTCTGGCAGTTTCTTCTTGCGGGACAATTCATAATAAAGACTGTATAGAGATTTTTCCTAAAGAAACTCAAGGTGATCATCTTACCTTGAAGAACAGAAAAGCAGGTGGACACTTGTTTATAAATCACAACTAAATACAAGAGTCTACTGGTCAGTAAGACTCAACCACAAGTATTTTTAATTCTGTGTATTTAATTCTTACACCTAAGCAAGATGAAGATGAATCAAAAATGTCACATGCTTTTTCTGAATCTGTCATAGGAAGATATAAAACTATAAGAAATAACCCCTTACTTTGGGTAGATCTGAGAACAAGCTGAACCTGCTTTGGTGGACTAAGTGACCCAAAAAGACCCAACTTTATCCTATAAATTCTTCCTTTCAAACAAACAATGGATTATGGGAGTCTCAGTCAGCCACAGCTCAAATAGGGTATTCATGAGCCACATCCTTTCTATGGCAGAAAATCTATACTATGAGAATATCTTGCCCTGGGACCAGAATTGGGACAATTAAAGGTCTGAAAGTTCTTCCAAAGGCAAAAAATGCCATTACTTATATATATATTTGTGTGGGGTCGGGGGGGACCCTCACCGTCGGCCGGGGAACAAACCAGTGCTACAGAGGCCGCGGGCAGCCTTGCAGCCCAGCACTCAACCACTGCACCACCAGGGGAGGCCCTACTTATATTTTTTCTTTACCCCTCATATTCAATACATAGATCTTATTCTGTTTTTAAGAACCTGTGTTGAATACTCAGTTATTCAGCCTGTATGATAGGGCAGGATAATTTGAGTAAATGAATTAAAAAGTACCACATAACCCTGTGTCCAGCATATCAGACATCATGAGATTGTGATATAGGAAAAAAAAAAAACAACATATTGTTAGTGAGATATTAAGAATAGAAAAATGTTTATGATTCTGAATGGGATGACATTTTTAAAAGAGAATTATTTGGTATAATTGTAACTGTCTTAACCATATCTTAATAATATGTATTAATTATGTATTAGCTTTTGCACATGGATAATAAATTAGTTATAGATTATACCACTATTGTTGCTTAATATTAAATATTTGGTCAACTGTTAGGGTATTTTCAAAATATAAAAATTTTAACTAGTAACAGATGAGAGTAGAAATTTTCAAAATTATACTCTGCCTTTTGTTTCATTGTTCCTTTGCTAATATTCTATTTCATAGAAAAAAATCTATAAAAGGTATAATAATTTCATTTATTTTTATACCTTGCACTCCCAAAAGCGGTTGTATTTCTTCATTGCAGTCAGTCTTCACTTAAGTCCAGAAGTGATGATTCTTGTTTCACTAGAAAGAATAGGTGATGAACTTCACAGTTTATACCCTTTTCCTTTGCACACTTAATACTTACTGTGAACAAATACCTAGTAGGCTGCAATTTTTACCATGAAGTTAGCCTAGAAAAACAGCAATTCCTGTAGTATCTTGTAATGTGTATGAAGCACCCTTTTCTGGCTTATTAGTGCAAATAGAAAATTATCCTGAATTGATGTTTATCAGTTGATTCTGATTGAGAAGATGAGCATCCCATAACTTTCTTCATTTCTTGCATATGCATTATTACATCTCATAAATAACACAGGTAGTTATCTAGTTAATTGAGCAATTTCCTTCATTATAGTCATTGTAGTCTATAATGCCTTTTTCTGGTTTTTAGCAAAAAAGTATAAAAATGAGGCTTCTTTGTCATACTTCAACTAAATAATGGTAATGGGTATATGCTTTCTTTTACAATATGTTAACAATATGTGTCATATACCAGGAATATGAATATTATTTTAATCTTTAAACAGAAGCCAGCCAAAACACTTACACCTGTTCTTTGCAAATCATTGAAGCCCCCAGATGAAATGATTGAAACTACCAACGAGTTGGGGAAGACAGAGCTTTTCTGCTCTATTACTTGTTTCTCTTCTTACAGTAAAGCTAAGATGACTTCTTCTACAGGTAATGTTTGTTTAGCGGTCATCAGAGGTTTAGTAACTTTTGAAGAACTTTACAGTTCTTCTTTGGCTTAAGTCAAAATAATCCAAAACTTATTGCAAGGAAATGTTTCCCAGTACTGTATAAAAAGAAGGCTACACTACTAGCAGAGATATTTATTTCTAAAAACTATTGTATTAGAATATAGAATGTTGTACTTGGCTCTGCTTTGTAAATACAGAACTGTTAGTTTTATTTTTCTCAGAAAGTAAAGGTAGGAGACACTTTAAAGATCACAAATAAACCAGGGTCAACATGTATTCCATCAAAGAACCTCATTTAGGACCAGTAGAGATGTTTACATAGACAATAGATTAAATGATGCTTGTAAGGTTTCTACATCATGCAAACTGGCTATTTATTGAATCTCTGCAGTATAGCTTAGAGATGGTTCTAGCTCCATTATTGTTATGGTTTGTGACTCCTGAAAGAGTGAAAAATGATACCAGTAGGAGATTCTGTAGGAGCCTTTTCTTATCTTCATGGGTAATTTCACAGTAAAGATTTGCTTGAAATTTCAAGCAAATTGTATAAAAGGACTGGAAAATTGTGTGCAAAGGTAAAAGACATAAAACAATGAGAAATGTAAATTATCGGTTTAATGTTACTGATGTCCTCCTAAAGAACCTGTCTATCCTTAAGCACTAATAAAAGTCAACTGCCAAACCCAGCACTTGCCTACTATTGAGTAGTTGCATTGTTTTTGAAACACTTGTTATTAAACAGTGCTTTCTGATTGATTGGTTCTGTCTAATTTTTAAGAACGCTTTCTGTTTATTTTTATCAGTAAATGTTTCCATGGTGCAGGATGCTTCAAGGGAGCTCCCTTCTCCAAAGGAAGCTACAACTCCAGTTATAAGCAATATAGTGTCATTGGCCGATGCACATGTTGCCCTGCCTGTTGTGAACTCGGAGGTCTTACAAGGTAAAATTGATACGAAAATAGTTGACATGGACACTGTTTTGCCATACTTGGTGAATATGCCTATAGTCTGTTTTCTTTGTGTTGCCTGATATAAGCAATTACAACTTAGAATGCTTTTTTTAGACTGTTACATGATCTTGAATTTATGTATAATTTCTTTTAACAGATACAGTTTCTTCAGTAACAGCAAATGTCATTGCAGATGTAAGTTTTATTCTTAACTTTTTTTGCTACTATTTTATTTTTAATTTTTTTTAAGATTTATTTTATTTATTTATGCATACAAGAACTGGGGTATAGACCAGAGGTGCAGGGGGTCAGAGGATTCACCAGAGACAGAGTGGGCAGCAAAACAGGCAGACCTACGAAAATACACTGCTTAGGGGAGCAGCGGGTGAAACAGGAAATGTGTGCTGTGCCATGTGGGTTAGCTCCCTGGCAGGGGATTGAAATTCTGCAGTAGTGGCTGCTGACAGCTTAATAGCACTGAGACTTAACAGGGAGGCCTGCTACTATCTTTTGTTCTTTTTTAAAGATTTATTTATTTATACAAGAACCAGGGTACAGGCCAGATGTGCGGGAGGGTGAGAGGATTCACCAGAGACAGAGTAGGGAACAGAACAGGCAGACTGATGAAATGCACTGCTGTGGGGTGCAGCAGGTGTGACAGGAGAGGCCTGCCACACCATGTGGGCCCCTCGCCGGTCAGCCGGGATCAAACCGGCACTGCAGAGGGTGCGGACATCTTCACAGTGCGGCGCTCAACCACCTGCGCCACCAGGGGAGGCCCCTGCTACTATCTTTTAATGCATATTTGAGCATATTTGTTCCTGTTTGATCCTAGAGCTCAAAAAAATAGAGCAACATCTTTTGATGTTCACATTCAATTTCCCAATCCTCAAATTTGACTTGAAATTTTTAATAAGAATATTTAAATAGAAATGTTATTAATCATAGTTCTTCCTCTAGGTTTTTACTAATTTTTTAAAGATTTATTTATTTATGCATACAAGAACTGGGGTACAGGTCAGAGACATGGGATGGTGAGAGGATCCACCAGAGAGAGGGGAACAGAACAGGCAGACTGACCGAAATACACTGCTGATGGGAGCGGCGGGTGAGACAGGAGAGGTCTGCGAGGCCATGTGGGTTTTCTTCCTGGACGGCCAGGAATCAAACCCTTGCTGCAGAGGCTGCAGATAGCTTCACAGTGTGGCGCTCAACCTGCTGCGCCACCTGGGAGGCCTGGTTTTTACTAATTTTAAATGTTTCTTTTTTTTTAAGATTTATTTATTTATTTATACAGGCACTGGGTGCAGTCAGGAGCGCGGGAGGGTGAGAGAATTCACCAGAGCCAGAGGGGAGAGCAGAGCAGGCAGAGTGACGAAATACACTGCTTAGGGGAGCAGTGGGCGGCAGGAGAGGTCTGCGCGCTATGTGGGACCCTCGCTGGCGGCCAGGGATCAAACTGGTGCTGCAAGAGGCTGCGAGCAGCTTCGCAGCCCAGCGCTCAACTGCTGCACCACTGGGAAGGCCCTTCTTTTTTTTTTTTTTTTTAAAGATTTTATTTATGCATATAAGAATTAGGGGGTAGAGCAGAGGTGTGTGTGGGGGAAGGGGATTCACCAGAGAAGAGTGGGGAACAGAACAGGCAGATCTGCTTAAGGGAGCAGAGGCCAAAATAGGAGAGGTCTTCTGCGCCATGTGGGTTGCTCCCTAGCAGGCCAGGGATCAAACTCATACTGCAGTGGCTGACAATGGCTTCATAGCACTGTGTCTTTAACCTCTGTGCCATTAAGGAGGCCTTTTAAATGTTTCTTAAGCAATTCTAGTCACCTGAGAAATAAAAATTGTTAAAATTTCATCCAAAAGATCCTTTGAATATTTAATGCTAAATCTAGTTGCAAATTATAATTAATTGTTAATGTTTCCCCCTAGTGGAGCTTATATTGTAACTTACCCATTCATTTTATTGTTATTAGAATAGATGTATTTGATTTTTAATTGATACTGAAAATTTGTTAAAGCAAACATTATTTTATGATTTTCTCTTAAAGATTTCTAAGAGTTCACCCAGTGAATCAAGTGGTAGTATTCCTAATAGTGGTATGGAACAATCAAGCCCTTCGCCATCTTCATCAGCACTCAGTCCACATGTAGTTGGCTCCAGTTTAGCAGTACAAAAAGATCAAGTGTCAAACCAGAATTCTACACACAGTGTGAAATCTGTGAAAATAAGTGATGGACCAAAATTTACGTCCAAAGTACAAAAATTTAAAGGTAAATCACAAAGTATTAAAAAATCTTGGTGTTCAAATTTTCAGCATTTGGAAAACAGTACTAAAAAGGATGTGACATTCTGTTACTCGTGCCAGTTGTTCTGCCAAAAATCTCTTACCTGTGGAGGAGAGTCATTTGCAGCCCAAGGAATTTCTAATTGGAAAAAAACACTGGAAAAATTCAGAAAGCATGAAAAAAGTGAAATTCACTTGAAGTCTTTACAATTTTGGAGGGAATACCAGTTTTGTGATGAAACTGGCAATGATAATTTATCTATCAATTCTAAACAGATAGAAGGAAATAAAAAGTACCTGAAACTTATAATTGAAAATATCTTATTTTTTGGCAAGCAATGTTTACCCTTAAGAGGAAATGACCAATCTGTTTCATCTGTGAATAAAGGCAATTTTTTAGAATTGTTAGAAATCAGAGCAAAAGATAAAGGAGAAGAAATATTTCGACTTATGAATTCACAAGTTGACTTCTACAATAGCGCACAGATTCAAAATGATATTATTGAAATAATAAAGACTGAAATATTGCAAGATATTGTAAATGAGATCAATGTCTCCTCAGCTTTTTCAATAATATGTGATGAAATAACCGATTGTGTCACTAAAGAACAACTTTCAATTTGTGTCAGATATCCACATAAAACAGCAAAGTCTATCTTAATTAAAGAACGATTCTTGGGTTTCATAGATATTGAAGAGGTAACTGGGACCAATTTACATAGGACTATCAAAACTTACCTGCAGCAAATTGGAGTTGATTTGAATAAAATACGTGGCCAGGCCTATGATAGTACCACTAATTTGAGGGGGAAATTTAATAAAATTGCAGCAGAATTCAAAAAAGAAGAGCCAAGAGCTTTATACGTACATTGTTATGCACATTTTTTGGATTTAACAGTAGTTAGGTTTTGTAAAGAAGTAAAAGAACTTCGAAGTGCTCTAAATACTCTCAATTACTTGTTTAATACTATTCATATGTCTGGAGAAATGTCTGCAAATTTTCAAAAGATTTGTAAGCTAAATCAAAACAAAACATGCAAGAAACATATATCACAATCTTGTTGGACAGTCCATGATCGTACATTACTTTCTGTGATTGAGGGTCTTCCAGAGATTATTGAAACACTAGAAGTTGTATCAAGCCACTCTTCAAACACAAGTTTGGCTGATGAACTGAGTGATTTGTTGGCATTGATTTCCAAATTTGAGTTTATCTTTTGTTTAAAATTTCTTTATCGAGTGCTAAGTGTTACAGGAATTCTTTCCAAAGAACTTCAAAGTGAAACCATAGATATTTTTTCATTGTCTTCAAAAATAGAAGCAATTTTGGAATGTTTAGCATCTGAAAGAAATGATGTCTGTTTCAAAACTATCTGGGATGGAACAGAAGAAATATGTCAAAAAATAACCTCTAAAGGTTTTGAAGTTGAAAGACCTTCTTGTCAGAAAAGAAGAAAAATTCAGAAATCAATAGAACTTGGCAATTCAGATAGTATGTTTTTCCCTACTTCAACAGAAGAGCTATATAAAGTTAGTATTTATCACCAAGGATTGGATAGTGTATTACAAAATTTAAAATTATGTTTTTCAGAGTTTGATTACTGCAAAATGAAGCAGATTTCAGAACTGTTATTTAAATGGAATGAGCCATTAAGTGAAACAACAGCCAAACATGTTCAAGAATTTTATAAACTTGATGCAGACATCATCCCAGAACTTAGATTTTACCGACAGTATGCAAAGCTCAATTTTGTTATGGATTATGATTGTATTAACTTCATTAGTCTTGGCTATTTGTTTATTCAACATGGTCTTCACAATAATATTCCTTGCATATCAAAGCTATTATATATTGCATTGTCTTGGCCAGTTACTTCAGCAAGTGCTGAACACTTATTTTCTACTCTGCCTCGTCTTAAAACATATTTATGTCATACCATGGGACAACAGAAGCTTAGTGGCCTGGCCCTAATGGCTGTTGAACAGGAATTGGTAAATAAACTGATGGAGCCAGAAAGACTGAGTGGAATTGTGGAAAAATTTATCCATCCAATGAAAGAAATATAGTGCTTGCTAATTTGAATTTACCCAGAAGAAATTTGTATTCAGTGGTCACAGTTTTTATTTCAAAGTTTTGTCTTTAAAGAAAAAATTTTTTTCAACAGAACCTGTAACACTCATTGGGTTCAAAATTCAGAAAACATGGAATGATAATGAAAAGTCTTCTTTTTTGACACCTGATTACTCGTCACTGAAGGTGTTCTATTTCTTAAATACCCTTTTGGAGATATTTTTCATAAATGATAGTGTACATTGCACTGTTCTTCAACTTACCTTTTACATGACAGAGTATTTTTGACATTGTCCCATATAGGTACATAAAGAGTGTTTTGATTCTTTTTTACAATTGCATACAATTCATTGTACAGCTAGAGCATAATGTATTTGAGCAGTCCCTGCTGACATTTTCATTCCTTACATCTTTAGCTATTACAAGAAATGCTGCATCTAATAACCTTATACATAGGTCATATTGCACATGATGGATTTAATGCAAGATAACTTTTTCAATTGGAATTGCTTTATCAGATTTATGCATTTTTATTTTTGACAAATATTGGCAAATTGCTTTCTATAAAGATTGTCAATTTACAGCCCCAACAACAAAGTATGAGAGCATCTTTCTTTGCATCTTTTTGAACAGTGTTATCAGACATTTTGATGTTTGCCAACCTGTTAGTTGAATAATGGTATTTTAATCTACAGTTTAAATTTCAGTGAATTTTATATTTTCACTTATAAGTTTGGGATTGTGAACTGTTTGTATTTCCTTTTCTCCGAACCATCACATTTTAAACAGAACTTTAAATAGTGTTGTGTTTTTTGTTGACACAGTAAGAATTCTCAATCTATTTCATGGAAATCGATTATTTTTCAAGTAACCCCAGGAGAAAGAACTCTATCTTTTTTTATGTTATAAAAGTCTAGATAACAAAGGAAATCTGTTCCTCAAAGATTTAGAAGAATTTAGTAGAAGAAATATTTGTGCCTGGATTTTTTTTTTTTAAGAAATATTTCTCTGGCACTTTTCCCGTTTCTTTCTTTTAGCAATTTTTGTAACTTTTTTTTCTGGAAAGAGCAACTGTTTCATTAAGGTTTATTTCACCTGTATTTTGAGATACAAAAAATATTCTGTTAATCTCCTCTATATAGACCTGTACTATAACTTTCTTCATCGGTTTTCTATACTCATTTTCTTTTTTGATTGGGCCAACCTAGTGATTTATTTCATTTAGTTGTTTTTCAGACACGCTTTTAGATTTATCAATTCTACTTTTTTAAAAATTGTGGCTGACCTTAACACATAAAAATACAAAGAGCTTATTAAGATTTAATACTATTAAAGCCTAATGTTTTGCCATATTCCACAATTTTATTTTAGAAATAAAATATTACAGATTGAGTTGAATCTCTCTTGCATGGCTTATCCTAATAACATTCTTTTTCCCCAAAGGCCATGGTTATTTGGTGTCCATCATTCCATGCATGTATCATTTCACACAATACATAGACTTGTTTCACGTTTATAAATTTTATAGAAGTTGCATTGTGTATATCTTTCTGCAATTTGCTTTTTCCACTCAATGTTGCTCTTAGATTTATACATGGGTTTCTAATTTATTTTTAACTGAATAGTATCGATTATATGATCATGCAGGTTCTTCCTTTCTGTTTAGCTCTTTAGTGTACCTGGGTAACAATTTGCTATTCAAATAACTGAAGTGGTTTCTGGTTTCTGACTGGACTCCGAGATAGGACACCTATGAAGTAGCCTTGTCAAAATAATTTGACCTTGAGTGTCGTCAAGACCTCAGGTCTAATCCTAAGGTCTAACCCATTTACTAGAAGTACAGAGGGATAGAGGAGCATAGTAAACAACATCTTTGGGATGTAACCAGCAAAATCCAAATCCTGGGAGAGTGCAGAGGATAAACACTTTGTATTTACAAGGAAAAATAGGCCTGGCAAAGATCCTACAGATTAAAGTGGGGGTCATGTCAGTTCCATTGTGTGAAATGTTTGAATCCCACTTTAAATATGAACTCTGGATATTTGATGTTAAGCAATTGTTAAGAGGATATAGTGGTGGTTGTGTTCATTTTTTTTTTTTAAGTAACTGCCCTTTATAGAGATAAATACCTCTGGTATTGATAAAATGGTAACATCTGGGGCTTCTAAATAATATGTGAATGAGGGTGGACTATGAAGACCAGTATGAAACACGCTTGGCCATCATGTTAGAGTTGTTGAATGTAGATGGGTACATGGGAGTTCACTGTATTGTTACTCAACTTATATTGGTTGTTTCCTTAATAAACATTTTCTTTAAATGATTGTTACCTGTTGTAGTTCATGCCAGGAATATGTGTTTCAGTATTAGGAAATTTATTAATGAAAGACAACAAACTAATAAATTAAAATTATATCTCAAATGTACTATAAAAGCATTTGGTAAAGCATTATTTGCACCTGATTTTAAAACTTTGCTAAAATGAAAAGGTTGTTTCCTTAAGAAATTATTAGTAAGAATAATATATGTATAGCCCTATCCAAAAGTATATATAACATCATGCTTAAGACATTACCATACTCCCCAAAATATCAGAAATAAGCTATGAATGATACCAGTTATTACTATTTATTTATGCATACAAGAGCTGGGGTACAGGCCAGAGGTGTGGAGGGGTGAGAGGATTCACGAGACAGTGGGGAACAGGCAGATTGACAGTACACTGCTGAGTGCAGTGAGTCATTCAGGAGAGGTCTGCTGCACCATGTGGGTTGCTCCCTGGCAGAGGCTGCAAACAGCTTCAGGAGGCCCAACTAAACTATTTTTAGGTTAATTACAGACTCTCATAAAGTTGTAAGAAATATAAAGGTTGCATTTCTCCCAGTTTTCCTCCATGGTAACATCTTGCATAACTATAATAGAACATCACAACATGAAATCACACATTGATACAGTCCAACAGACAGACTTACAGGTACTTGTATGTGCATGTGTATATTTAACCACCACCATAGTCAAGGTACAGAATATTTCCACCTATGCAATTTCCTTTGTGATGCACTGTTGAAAATTCACCCACCTTTTTTCCCTTTTGTCCCTAACAATTGGCAGTTATTCATCTATACATCCCTGTAATTTTGTCCTTCCAAAAATCAGCAGAATCATGTTTGGGGATTGGCTTTTTTCACTCTGCATAGTATCCTTAGAATCTGAATTATGTGGCTCAGTAAATACTTCATTCTTGTTCATCCAAGTAGCATTATTACTGTGTCAGTTAACACAAAAGACTATTTGTAGGTATTGACTATTGCAAATAAAACTATGAACATGTTTGCATGTTAAATGTGAATGTAAGTTTTCATTTTTCTAAATGCCCTCAAGTACAATCATTGGGTTGTATGGTAATTGCATGTTTAGGTTTTATAAGAACTATTTGCAGAGTGAGTATATACTTGCATTCCCACTGGCAATGCATCAGTGATGTAGTTTCTCTGCATCTCCAGCATTTGGTGGTCACTGTTCTTTTACACCATTCTGGTAGGTATGTAGTTAAAACTCATGTTTAATTTGCATTTCCCATAGGATAAAGGTGTTGAAATTATTTGCATGTTCATATTGGCCATGTGTAGATGCTTTTGTGAAACGTTCTTGCCTATTACCTGTTTTTAAATTTGAATGCTTTATTGTTGAGCTTTGAGAATTTATATATTAGTCCTTAATTTTTCCATTTTTGAATTGTTCTTTTAGCCTCACAATTAAGAACTCTTATTAGCTCTAGATCCTAAAGGTCTTCCTCCTGTTTTTGTTTCTAAAATTTTACACTTAGGGGCCTCCCTGGAGGCAAAAGGGGTTGAGTCGCAGCACTGGGAAGCTATCTGCAGCCTCTGCAGCGTGAGTTTGATCCCCAGCCAGCCAGGGAGATACCCACATGGCACAGTAGACCTCTCCTATCTTGCCTGCTGTTCCCCTCAGCAGTGTATTTTAAGATTTGTTCATGTAAGAACTGGGGCACAGGCCAGAGGTGTGGGAGGTGAGAGGACGCGAGTGTGTGGAGATCAGCAGTGTATTTTAGTCTGCCTGTTCTGCTCCCCATTCTGGTGACTCCCTGCAAGTCTGGCCTGTACCCCAGTTCTTACATGCATAAATCAATCTCTCTTTTTAAAAAAATGCTACTCAGGGTAACCAAAATATGGTTATTAGGCAATATATAGTCTGCTTGTGAAGCTATGTGTTGAGAATGACCATAACTATTATATAGTAATGCTTTTGGTAACACACAGAAACAAGATCAAAAATTGTTACACTTAATCAAGAAGGAGCATGTGGCTAACTGCTAAATTAAACACGCTGGTTTCATGAATAAAACCTAGAGTGATAGCAGTTTTAAATTACTGGTAACTAAATCAGGGACAGTCAAGAACAAGTTGATTAGTAAATAGTAAGTTAAAATAGTTCTGGCTAAGATGATCAAGGATTGAGTCCTAAATTAGCCAATTTGGTTCCTATCTAGTACATGAAACATCTTTCATGTCACCTAGAAACCAGCTGATAGTAAGAAAAACTAAGAAATTAAATTCCTGCTTAGAAATAAAACCAAAACAAACATCTCGTTTTTAAAAATGCCTTTATTAATAAGTGACAACTAGGTTGGTTGTTCCTCTTTGCCTTCTTCCTCATCACTGGTTTTCTGGACAGGTCACATCATCCTGCCAAGTGAAGGACATGATCACTCCAAAAGATGTAAGAACCAGTTACCAGTTTTCAAACATTTATCAACATCAAGTAAGCTCCCTAACACTGAATATTAAGAAATATGATATTTAAGACTATTTAATGATCTATATAACTAAGGCTTCTTTAAGATAGAGATTAATTTAACATCACACCTGTTACCCAGCTATTGCTGATTAAATCTGGCTTCCATTTTTCTACAATAACTTTTGGGAGGAACCAGAATCTTTGTAAAAAGCAGACCTCTAACATTAAATAGATCAAATTAAACTGGCACCCTCTCCTTAGGTGTAACATACAGCCCTCGTACTACTTTTTATGTTACAAACTTTTATCATGACAGTTTGAAGTGACAACTACCGCTACATAAAAAATTTTTATTAGACGAGGGTCACCTAATATTCATGTTACCTTTTTGTAAAATAGCTTTATTGGCTCACAAACTCAGAAGGCTGTTGAAATTATTTCCACTAAATATATATTCCAACACAAGTAGTTAATTTTGTACTAACACAAGAGTCCTTCCGAAGGCAGTTTACAAAGCAAAAATCACACAACTTACCTAGACACCTCTTCTGCCTAACAAGTTGTCGTTTTCCTTCTTTGTTGATTCATGCTGTGTGATGTCTTGAGAATAGATATCCACCTATCATTAAAAATGCAATTTTATTATTTTTTAAAGATTTATTTATACAAACACTGGGGTACAGGCCAGAGGCTCGGGAGAATGAGAGAATTCACCAGAGACAGAGCGGGGAGCAGGACAGGCAGAAGGACGAAAGTACACTGCTGAAGGGAGCAGCAAGCACGACAGGAGAGGTCTGCTGCGCCACGTGGGAATCTCCCTCGCCAGCCGGGAATCAAACCTGCACTGCAGAGGCTGCGGATAGCATCACTGTACGGTGCTCAATCCGCTGTGCCACCGGGGAGGCCCCAAAATGCAGTTTTTACTAAAATAAAATGCTAATAGACGTATTTTTTATTCACTTTTAGTGCTTTACAATTTTACGCTAACATTTTGAAACACAGAATTAGGTCCAAAGTCAGTGGGGGTGGTTTGTTTTGGGTTGGTCATTGGTTAAGAAAGACCCAGGCCACAACAAAGTTAGTCTCCCATTTTCTTATGTGTACTTATAGCACTTTCTCTCCTACCAATGAGTTGACAACTATTCTTCTATTTATTAGGTTAAAAAAATTCTTGAACTTGAAATGGATTTAAAGTTAAACTTACTTCAAGTGAAATGAGTACTCCATTATCAGCCAACATCAATCATTCTTACCTAAAGAATAATAAGAAGTTGTTAATACAAAAGACAAGGGTAGAAAGGATTGAAAATGCTAGTTAACTTCAAATTTTAAAGAGTAAAATTTCAGAGACAAAGATTGGGGGCAAGTTACAGCATTTAAAAATAGGAAGAAGCTTCATGGGGTGGAAAAAAAAATCTAGTATTATTTTACATAGTCACCTGAATTAGAATGAGTACTCTATCGTCTTTAAATTACAAAAGCCTAACTACTATTTTCACCAGTCTGAGCACAATGAAGTTTGACTGCAATCCCAAATATACTATCCCTTATGTGAAGGTATGTGACAACGTTTACCTTACCCAATGTGTTTTAACATAAGCTTTTTTTTTTTTTTTTTAAAATGAAAAGCACATACCCTGTTCCCCATTCAAGAATGCCTTCCATTTTCAGGTGAACTGAACCACCTTCAGCAGGAGTCCTCCAAAAGTGCCCTCCCCATTCCACAGTACACAACACTGCAGTTGTTATCCTCGTATTTGCCTCCTTTCCCTCTAAGTCCTCACTGAGCTTTTAGTTAGGGCAGGGAAACTATGCCTTATCAGAACAGCAAGGAACCAAGTTTTTCAGAGGGAGAAGATATTCACCTTCACTATATATACCTGGCAAGGGCCACTGTACACAAAAACCAGAAAGATCAGCCTTAATTCAAGTTCCAGGTTTTTCTTCCTCCCTGCTTATCAGTTACTGCCAAGGGTATAGGAATAGAGTGCCCTGTTGCACATGTACCATCCATAAGGGATACTATATCGTTTTGCATTCTTTTACCCATTTCTCCAGATTGTCCTATTCTGCATCCAGCCCCCTCTTTTCACCCTCCAAAGAAAATCTCAGCACTGGTGTTCAAATGCAACATTTATTTTAATGTTTGATGGTTTACCAGCAACTGTGGGATGTCCACAGTTGAATCTTAAAAATTGCCAATCATTATCTAGCAGCAATGACAGATGATTAGGAGCAGTCAAATCCTCTAAATTCTTTCCCTAATAGGCAGCCATTTGAGAACTGCACTAGCTAAAAGAGCACTGAAACATTATCAGCTAAAGCCAAAACCAAATAAAGGCCCAGAACAACATCCCGGCTCTCTAAAACCTGTCCAAAATCATTAAGGGAAAGACAGTAAATGCAGGACTGTGGATCATGTCACTGCAGCTGACAATGATTAACAATAGGAGACATGCAACCCCCCATTAAGGTTAAACGTCCAAAACTAGTCACACGCATCTCTTATATTGGGGAAAAGTGAGACTATTATGCATTCTTGCAGGTTTGCAACCTTGTTTGAAGAGCACCCATTGCATTTCTTTTATCTTTCAGAAAGCACCGGTATCTGTTCCAAGGGCCTAACAGTACGAAAACGCATTCTGGCATCACACCTCTGAACTTCAGACAGTTCTCATTAAAAATAACGTTGGCTTGTAACAAGAAAAAGACTATGAAATACAATGCAGGCACCTCGGTATAGTGTTATTACTGAAACCCATTTATTCCGTTTTTTGACTGATTTTTAGAAAACCCTCTGCACTAATATTCACAAATTGTAGCTACATACAAATTATAACTAGTAAGAACTGACCCAAGTCACAGGTTTCTCATTTGAAAGTGCAAAAAGTCTATCTTGAAATAAGCAGAATGAAGCAAAATTATACCCCCACCCCCAATGATGTTCCTGAAGTTCATACATTACAAAGTACATTCTCTTAAAATTGTTAATGACTGTGAAGACATAATCCTGAGCTTTTACTTCTAAGAACACTCAATCTCTAAATCACGGTAGGCAACAGTTGGCCATTGAGTTAATGCATTTTTGCCACAAGAAAACCCCTTCGGTTGTATGCCAATTTAGTGACGTGTGTCACCAATACTGAGTATTGTATTTAATCAGCATTGTTATTAGTATATAGCTAAACTAGTTACCACTTGCTCTTTCATCTATCAGAAGAGTAAAGTATCATTTGCTTGAATGGACTACGTATTAAAGTACAACTCTGTCCCCACCCTTGTGAATTGCTTGCCGAAGAGCAAGCCATTTTTCTGGATACAATGGAAGAAAATTCTCATTCATGAAGAGTTTTCACCAACATTTATGCAAAGTAAACCAAACTTTCCAATTATAGAGCAGAAGACATTATAATGAAAGCTGTTTCTCATGCATGCTAACTTCAAACCAGTTCAGAGACCCAAGTTAAGTTGAATTGAGGTCTGGAACAACAGGTGATGCAACCTTAAAAGTCCTAAGCAACATAAGAAGGTGCTTTTGAAGATATTTTTTGATAATTAAACATTTTGGATCATAATGTCACATCCCCATGGCTAAGGGAACCAAAATCAAACGGCTACTCTGAACATTTGCAGTGACCCTACAGAAAACGACGAGGTCTTATGACTGGGAAATGATTCCCAACATGTATACAACTGTAGGCAAGTCAACGTGCCACACCACTTTCCCCCAGAGGTTTAGAGCATATAGACATATTCAGACAAATCACATAACTCAAAACTATTCACGTTAGATTCCCATCTAGGCCCAAGTTAGTAACAAAGGTGTTCCCATGAGTCGATTTTTTTAAACTCACATTACAAAAAACTGTACCTTTTAGTCTTAATTCACTCCCCCTGCAGAATTACCAATATTGCATTCTGAAGTTACTGATAACTGCTGACCTATGGGCAGGTCAGTTTGCTACAACAGAGACTAATTATCACATGCTATACAGTCCATGTCAAGATGCTAAAAGCACTACCCAAGTATGGTTTGGTTCCCACCCCACACCATCGATGTGCTCCATGTTATCTTCAGTTACAATGCAACTAAAGAAAACCACACAACTGAGTCAGATATACGGAAGAATCAAGTTTGCACTTTTTATCTGAGAACTGCAACAGCACTGTGTTCTGCCTCACAAATTACAGCTCTAAACCCAAACCCACGCAGTTTTGATAAATGCTAGCTTTACCATACAAGTGTTAGGCGCTGCACTGTAATTTCATTGTCAGAAGTGTGATGTCAGAATGCCCACGGAATAAAAGTACATAGCAAGTCACCAAGTTAGATTATATTGCTTGTTACCTACCTGTATGCAGTCGGCAATGAGAATCTTGGAGCAAGCAGGAATACTACATCCGGGTCCTAATGTCCATTGCCATTTGCGGTACTACGTTCCTCACAGTTACGCACTGCAGAAATGCTGGCTAAATGCAGTTATGTAGCAGGCCACTACTTTAATAGTGCATAATTGCAGTCCAAGAACACCAGAAAACATTCCGCCACTACTTAGTGGCTTGCCCAAGAAAAGCCAAGTATCTGAATTTTTATCTGCCATAAAATGCCACTTATTAGAATTGCACAGGCGTAACATTACAATTTCCCAAATTACCTGTTTTTTATTAATGGTATAAAACATCTATAGAGTGGTGGGGTTTAGAGTACTAGTTGTTTAGTGTTCTAAGCCAAGAGGATCATTTCACTAAATACTGTGAGCCAATAGCCAATGGGTTAAGCTTGTAAGATACCTCTTAAATACAGTGGGGTCTCTGAGAATATAGTTTTTAAAGATTAGGAGGAGTGAGTTTTAAAATAATCAGTGCTCCTCTTAAGACAAAATTATGTGAGAGGGGAGAAGAGGGGGATTTGGGGGCAGGTAGTTCCTTTAAATGAGGGGAAAAAATGGCTAAAATACTTCAATCAAAAGTACTCCTCTCCCTTTCCCACCCAGGTTTATGTCAGCTTAGGAAACTGCGTTTTTAAGATGATCTGAGTTCACATTAGATTAAAACCTAATCATATACATTGCCAAGACTTATTGAAAGTCTATTTGAATAGCTTACAACCCTTGGTACCCTGCTGTTTCAGTGATGATGAAAATCAAAACTTAGTTGAAACTAAGCAAACTTGCTAAACAACGTTCAGCAATTCTACAGCCCACAGGAAGTATGGCTATCAAGAGACACAACTTTCAGGAGATTATCCATTAGCATCCTTTCACCACTCTTCAAAGGTACAGTACTACCAAAAGCTTATTTTAGGGGTCTGTGCCAGCATCCCTTATAAAGAAAGGCATGTAATCTGAAAAATAAACTGAAACATTAATTTTATAGGCAGATTTTCCCATTTCCCCACCAGCCCCCACCCCCACATTCACGTTCACCCTCTGTGGGTGTCCCATGAACACCCCTTATTTTCTTATAGTTAGTGGAGTCCCTACCATACAATTCAATCAAATTGTAGCAAGACTCCTTTCTTATCAAGACCCTTGTTTCCAATACAGAAAATGACTTGGGACAAAACTTCCTCATTGATACAATTATAGAGCTACCCATATTTCCAAGTCTCTTGGTGAACAGAAATAATGAACATTTTCTAATGAGATTCTCTCCCTTAATTAGCACACCATATACCTGTCAAACCACCGTATTTTGGTGACATGCCTTATGTTCCACTAGTGTTTTACTTTTAGTATTATCCAGTTTCCTATGCAGAAAGTGCTGTTTTTTCAACAATAGGTATCCCTTTGTAATCAGGCACAAAACTAGCTTCAGCATTTTAACAAAGATTTGATTTAGAATTTTACTTTGCCAATTAGCACCAACAACAGAGGTGAAAAAGAGGAAGACACATTCCATAGTAAGAATTCTATAATGTACAAATTTGAATGGAAACATAACTAAGAACAAAGCCAAACCATTCACTTTACCTACTTTTAGTAAGTTGTTCCTCTGCTAACAAATTTACACTGGGAAAGCAGGTTCCCACAGACAACGATACCGATCTACTTAACATTAAGTCGAAATCTTATTCTAATTGAAGGAGAGTCAATGAAGTTGACAATAAATTGACAACACCATTGAAACACTCGTTTATGGTGGGAAGAAGAGATATTTGTACAGTGTGGCATAAGCAACTATCTCCAAATTTAGTGCGACATAAAAAGGAAACTATGGAAAAACTAACAAATTTACAGTTAAGAATGGTCACCTGCAACCCTATTTATTAACAATCACCACTAGCTCTTCGAAAAGGAAATAGATTTTTATAGTCCTACAATGTCGCCCAACAGAGATAGCACAAGGAGACGTAAAAGTTAGCAAATGTATTATCTACTTTGTTACTAGACTTATTTTCAAGTTGAATTTTCTGGACTAAACTCCATCTTTATAAATCGCTGGAAGTAATACATGAAAAGACTTCATGTTTAACAATCTTTAATTCAAATGTGAAGGTTCAATACAAGCCATTTGTAGGGCTTGGGACTTGTTCTTTTTAAAAAACAAGAATGGGGGAATGCAACAAAATTATCTTCCCGCTTTTTCTTCAAAACTTTTAAGGAAAGGATAGGTCAAAAGGCCAATAAAAGATCCATTTAGTCATACCCGCTTTCTCCCTCTACCAACAGTCTTACACCCATTCCATAATCTTAATACACATTCCTGAATGGAGATTTACAGTTCAGCTTTGCTTACATAACTGTTTAAAAATACTTAACACCAACTTGCTTCCTCTAATGCCAAACAAATCAATCATCGAACTACTTCAATATGCATTTCTTCTTTTTAAAAACAAGGGGGTACTTATTTGTAGAAAGCAATACGTAGCCTACAAATATTTCCCAGAAATGGCACATGCCATTCGAACGCCTAGACACTCTCATGCTTTCAAAGTGGAATACCTATAGCCTAATGTGCATAGAAGCATGAATGGCAAAGTTGAAGATCAATATCTATTTTTTCTATTTATTTGAAGCACAGTAAAAAAAAAATTGGTACACTTTGGAAATTCAGTGGCACAAGGTACACTGCCATAACTTGAGGGACATTATACAGTTTAAAAAAAAAAAAGGAAATAAAAAGGAAAAAAAATTCCCATTTCAAACACTGCATTACATAATTTTACCTGCCCCGAACAGACCATTTACAAATAGTAGGTCGATAAACTGCTAACATCCATAAAAAGGTAGCTTTCTTACTAAAATGCAAGAATTTAAAAGATTGGTATCTAAACAAGAAAAGACAAAAACAAACTGGAATGAAAGCCTAGATATCACATCTAAAATCGGGGTTTTTTGTTTGGGCCTTCATACTCTTCTCTCCCTCTACCATATCCTGCTGGAGTTCCAGGCCCCATTCCCCTAGGACCCTGTCCACCCACAGGTCCCGCACCTCCCTGCCCAAAGCGCTCAGTACGCTATTGGAACAGTAATTAACAGTTCATTATATGTAGTTGATGTCCATGTGTGTTAAGTAAATATTTTAGAAGGTTCCGTAGTCAACGTTCGTCGATACAATCACCAATGAGTCGATCCACAGGTACCGGGAACATAGAAAGGAAAAAAGGGTAATTTGAAAATTAGTTTACGATAATACATGCCTTGTGGTATGTTCCCACTTGAGCCATTCTCATACACCTGTTTCAAAGAACAGATCTTCCCTGTAGTGCTAAAAAATTTAAGAATTAGTACAGATGTGAAAACCCATTCCAAAATGAGTTTTAAGAAATTTCACATCAAATTAACCCGTTGGAAAGCTTACAAACTTCTCAAAGTCTGAACAGGAAATTTAATTTCCAAGTAAGCCTTAAGAAGCCCAACCAGACAGATCCAATTCACTCAATGAAGTGACAAAGACCTACTCACCAGTTAGTGGCATGTGCTGCATTAGAAACCTTGTGCTTTTCAAGATCTTAAGACACATCTGCTAAGTTGCAGAAATCTTAAAAGGTTCAAAGTTTTAATAAAATGCTACCAGACTACAAAAAGAAAAAGCATAAAAGACTAAATGATTTAGTCACTTTACCAGCACAGTAACTTGATTAAAATAGTGTTGCCATATTTTCACAGGTACATACCACCTTCAGAGCCATCACTACATAACCAGAGCCAATTATATGTTCACAGTATTATTCTGTATTGTAATAAATTGAACATACAGCCCACCCTCATCATCAGCCCAACTTTTCCCTGTAGGAGTCTGAAAAGCCCACTGACACTTAGCTATGAGTCCAAGCTTGGGCTATTCCCCAGGCAACATAACACCAAGCCTAAGAGACTGCAATAAAGCAGTGACTTCCTAATACCGTCTAGTGGTACTTCTGGTCTTAGAAAAACCTATGTACCCACAAAGAAGGCCCCTACAGATATGCAAGCATAGCAGCTTGAACTATCATTCAAATTCCATTTTAAATAGTTACTGAGCATATTACTTCATAAGACCAAAAAAAAAGGGGGGGGACACAAAATACAAAAGTCTAAATGTCATGGGGTTTAAATGTTTCTATAGCATAATTTAAACATGTTTTCTGAAAAAAAAGTGTAAGGACTACTTGAAAAGACTAAATCTCAATCCTGTAAACGAATTTTCAAAATCTTAAAATTTTTAAAGTTTTAGAGCGCAATGTACTTTAAATCTCAAAAAGCTCCAAAGAAAAATTTGAGGATTTCATGATTATGTTATTGAATCTTAGAACCAAAGCTACCTATGTTACATGAAATACAGAACCTTTACTGTGGGAACATTATGCGAAGTCAAAATTTACAGGTTAGCTACATACCTACAATTTTGCCTTTTAAGAAGCATATAAACCAAATGTTACCCACATAAATTTTTAAAGTTCAACTTGAAGAAAGCCAATACCATATTTAACCCAACCACTTATGATATTCTAAGAATTAAGTAGATTTTTAAATAGATGAGGCCCCATGCTAAATTCTTATGGCCCTATTTTGTAAGATAAATCCAGTGAACTACATATATTGTGCTGCATCTTCCCTCCTTTGCCAAAAGCCTGTAAGAGAACTAATCAGAATCAATTCAGTTATGAAAATGTACTCTTCTCTAAACCCACTTCTAAAACCAATATTCAGTTCTCCTAAGATTTGTAAAGCCCTAACACAGCCAACTCAGACCATTTCACTTGGATTGTTCTAAAGTATTCTGACAGGCTCTCTGTACAGCCAAAACATGGTACCATCAAGAAGATTTACATCGAAATGCACACAACTGGTATGCTTAAAGTCGTCATTGATCTTTGCTACCCTGTAGCAAAACAGAGATGTCCGTTTATTTTGAAGGTGTACCTACAGACAGGCCCAACAGATGGGAAACGACGAGTCAAAACACTAAACAATTTCCTTTTCATGGGTAGAAGCCACACCAATACAGGTCAAAGACTTACTCATCACTAAAACATGTCTAGAACTACAAACTACAAGCCTGACTCATACTTATGGCAAATACCAGCTTAATGAATGACAGTTTGCCATTTAATTACTCTCACTTGGGTGTAGAATAATCAGGTACGTTATCTATATTTGGGAATTTGGATTTGCTATGCACAAGAGTGCAAAAGAGTACACAAGCAATATAATGGAAAGCAACACCTAATTCTACTTATTGCCAAAGATAACTCCACATACTGCTAACAGCAGTGACTTCTCATTGGCAACCATATCTGTTAGGTTACCACACAATGAGTTCTTCTATGTTGCCAAAGTATTCCTCAATATTACGATTTACATGATAGGGTAACTAAAAAAGGTCCAGTCACCTACTTTAAAAAAAAAAAAAAACAAAAAACACACACATAAGTGGGTGAAAATGAGAATTTCCTTTGTACTACGTCCCACAGGATACATTACCATGTCGCTTCCCATCATGGAACCACTCATGGTTGCTGGTGGAACTCCAGGATTAGCTTCATAACCTATGCCACCACCACCACCTAGCGGTGGAAATTTCTGGCCTCCTGAACCATAAGGATCTAGGAAACAAAAATGCTGATTACAACTCAACCAGAATACCACTCTCAAAGTATCGCTAATTAAATTTTCACGCTTACCTCCCATGTTCATTGCTCCTCCACCACCCATTCTCATGTCTCTTTCTCTCTGGAAGAAAAAAAAAACCCTTTCATATATCTGTACTATACTCATACCAAGCATTCTTGAGCACGAAGAAATCTCCAGAACTAAAACAAGGGACAACCTTACAAAGTGAATATTCTGACACAAGTTAAAACTCATCATCAGATCTATAAAACTCCTTCCCAAGAAACTTTTTGGCACAACCAAGATAAAACCCAAGGTGTATCAGCCACAGCATAGTGCTGTAAGAAGAAAAAACATGGCAGTAAGGTGAAATGTAATTTCCAACTATGAAATTTTATTTTGGGTACGTACAAGTTTTGTTAGACAACTCCCAATTGGACTGCAGTAAAAGTTTACTTACAGGATCCATGTAGCCCATCCGGCTGTAACTTTCCTCTCTCTGACGTCTCATTTGTTCTTCCATCTCACGTTGACGGATCATCATTTCTTCTTCCCTTCTGCGTCGTTCCTCCTCTTGTCTATAAATTTTATCAAGCACATAAAGCAAAATATTACCTACATTTTATTAAATTCAGTTTGAAGAAACCTGGTCATTTTTAAGAGGTCTAGAAAAGCAAGGTTGCAGCAAACCAACACAAAGGCCCTAAGGAGTGAGTTCAATGGAATAGCCCTAAGAAAATCTGACACTTAATTCCACTTTAATACTTAAATATTTAACCTCTATATTTCATCTGACTCATCTAGCAAATTAAGTATACCTTTTCCCCTATATTTAGTGCAGAAAGTTTAGATTAACAAGATTTTACCTTAATTGCATTTCTTTACGTTTCTGCATTTCTTGATTGTGAAGTTCTTCCATACGCCTTAATTCTTCCTGGCGTCTCATCAGATCTAACATTGTAAAAACATTTTGAAAACATATGAGTGTGATTCTATTAAGTTCAAAAATCAACTGATCATATCAGCAAACTTCACAGGTTTTTTTACCTTGACGCAAAAGATTTGCCTGATGCTCATGGTAGGCATCTTCCATTTCACTTTCCAATTTGTCTTTTGCATCTTTCATATTTTTTTCAACTTGTTCCCTTTGCTGTTTTTCCATTTCATCCAAGGATTTCCACCTCTGTGAATATTCATACTCAAATGTGCCATGCTGAGCAAAACGAGGAGGGGTTTCTCTCTCCCTGAAAATATACAAACATGAATAATTTGTGGATGCACACAAGAAATATTACCTGATTCCACTCTCTATCATTTAGAAGGAATACCAAAAAGGCAAAGACCACCTTCATTTATAAAAATATCTTGAAAGCAAAAATTATATCCCAGAATAGTGTAAAAAACAGGCACTAGATAAAGATAAATGCTACCTTTCTTATTACAATATAACAATTCTGTTTCCCTACAGCCAAATTCCTGTATTTTTCCCTCATCCTTAAAAGTGAGGTTTCCTACACATTACACAATTGCTGTAAGGCAAAAAACAAGATTGCATATGAAATGGACCCAACTTCAGAAACAAACACTAAGCATTTAAATAGTATCTTTAAAATCTCAAGGGCTTCCCTGGTGGCTGTTAAGTCTCAGCACTATCAAGCAATTGGAAGCCACTGCAGCATGACTTCCATCCATCCCCAGCCAGAGAGCTAACCCACATGGTGCAGCAGATCTGTCTCACCCACTGCTCCCCCTCAGCAGTGTATTTCAGGCGTTCCACCTGTTCCACTCCCCACTGTCTTTGGTGAATCCTTTCACCCACCACATCTCTGGCCTAACTCTTGTATGTACAAATAATTCTTTAAAAAAACAAATAAAGTATAATCAATCTCACTTTTGTGAGCCTCCCTGGTGGCACAAGGGGTTAAGTCTCAGCACTATCAAGTTATAGGCAGTCATTCCAACACTGGTTCAATTCCTGCCCAGGGAGCTGGCCCACAGAGCAAAGTGGACCTCTCTTGTCTCACCCACTGCCCCCCCCCGTCAGCAATATATTTCAGTGGATCTGCCTGTTCTGCTCCTCACTGTCTCTGATGAATCTGCTCAACCACCCTCCCACCTGACCTACACCCCAGTTCTTATATACATAAATACATAAAAATAAATCTTTAAAAAAAATCTTACTTTTGATACATTGGATTCTTCTGTGCAAGTTTTTCAGGAAGACCATCTTCATCATCTAACTGTTCAAGTGGTTCCACAATGACTGGACGGGGAGTTCTATTAACAAAAAATGGTTCCATCTTAATTCTGTTCTAAGTTAAACTTCCTCAGAGTAATTAGAAAAAGTACAAGAACTTACGTTGTCAGTAAGAAAACACCTTCACTGCATCTTTCAAATGCTTTTCTTGCCGCTGGTTTAGAAGCAAATTCAACAATGCCTTTCCCTGTAGATCTTCCACGATCATCCACAATTACAACAGCCCTTTCAATAGGACCAAACTGGCTAAAGGCTTCTTCCAACAGTTCATTGGAAACGTAAGGTGAAAGATTTCGAACAGAGAGAGCAGCAGCATGTGTGGCAAACCGAACTCGAAGCTGTCTACCTCTCATAGGTGTATCATCAAGTTCAGCTTTGGCAATTTCAGCCAAAGCTCTGGATTCCTGAAAGTATCAGACATACTTTTAATGACCTCCACATTGACTAATTTTTGCCATAAGCCCACCCACTCAGTTCAAGCATCACCAAGAAAACTTCCCTGGCATTCAGGGTAGGCAGTTAAATGCTTGAACCCTCCCACCCACCCCCACCTCCTCTTATAGATACCAGCAATTATGGACTTGTAACTGTCCTGCAAAAATTTTAAAGATTAACGTATCAGTTTAAAAACCAACAGGTTCACAGCAACAAAGAAAAAGACGCTTTTACGTCTACATAAAAATCGAACTCACAAGCTTAATAAATCCGAATCCTTTGCCTTTGTTGATAAAAACTTCTCCTGGCTCTCCATATTTAGCAAATAGTCTTTTGAATTCATCCTCTGTGATATCAGCAGGGAGATTCCCAACAAACAACCGGCAACGCTGAGTGTACGTTTTCTCTCCAGGCCTCCTCAAGAGAGACAAGTTGGCTTTAAACCCCTAATGAAAAAGAAAAGTAATTTTGAGATTTCAAGAACCTCTCGAAAGAAGACAAACCCATCAATACGCGCTTTTCTCAAATGGATTTTACCGACAGGGTCCCTCATCGGTTTCGTTTAAGATAAAGTCAAGGGCTCTACTACATTTGCAAGATGTCCAACACAATGACTACACTAACATCAAATCTGACCTAACCATCCAGAATGCTCGAGAATTAACACAAGCCTCTCCAAACACAAATGCTGTGCCCCAGACTAAACTGCACGACGCAAGCGAAGTATTAAATCACAAAAACGCAGCTATCGCCGACATGTTCTGCGCTACCAACCCTCTATTTCACTCCCTTCTCCCACCCCGCTCCCAGGACCGGCTGGCTGGAAAGGAAGGTCCGCCACAGCGTCTCTGCGCGGCCTCCCCCGGCCACCCGCCCGCCGCAGGCTCGCGGACCCACGCCGCCTGCCCCTCTCGGGGGCTGCAGCCCCGCCCTCCGCCGCCCGCGCGCAGGCGCGCTTGCCGGCCTCCAACAAAATGGAGGCCTGAGCGGGGAAGGGGACGGGGGAGGGGGGCCGCCGCCATCTTAGGGGAACCGACGCGTAGCTCCGAGAAGGACGCTCACCTCCGAGTCGGAGATCTTCTCCTCGCTGCGTCCGCCGGGGCCGCCGGGCGGGGGCCCCTGGTGGTGCTGCTGGTGGTAGGGCGGGTGGTGCTGGCGGCCCCCGCGGGGCTCCCCGCCGCCTCGGTGCGGCGGCTTGGGGTGGCCGCCGGGGGCGCCCAGGCCCGGGCCGCCGCCGGGCTTCGGCCCGCCTGGCATCTTGCCGCCTTTGGGGCCGCCGGGCCCTGGGCCCTGCTTAGGCCCGGGCCCCGGGCCGCCGGCGGGGGGAGGCGGTGGACCCCCGGCCTGGGGAGGTGTGGTGGGGACGCCGCTGCTCGGCGGCGCTGGCGGCGGCACCCCGGGGGCGCCGAGGTGACGGCGGGCGGCGGAGTCGGGGTGGGGCCTGGGCCCGTGGGGGCCCCAGAGGTCGGCGGAGTGGCGGGCGGCGCCGAGCCGGACGCCGGAGGCGCGCTGCCTACGCCGGGAGCCGGGCCGGGCCCCTGAGGAACCCCGGGCTTGGATGAGTCCTGTGGCGGCGGCGGCTGCGGATGCGGCTGTTGATGCGGCGGGGGCTGAAGCGGCGGCGGCTGCTGTGGCGGCGGCTGCTGCGGCGGCGGCTGCTGCTGCTGCTGATGCGGAGGCGGCGGTGGGATGGGTGGCTTGGGGCCGCCCTGGCCCGGGCCGGGCCCCATGGGTCCGCGGTTCTGATTGAGGCCCATACCCGGCGGCGGGGAGCGGAAGTCGTGGAGGCCGCCGCGGCCCCCGCCGCCTCCGCGTCGGTGGAAGCCGCCGCCGCCGCCGCCGCGGCTCCGGAACCGATCCCGAGACATGTCTGGGACCAAAGGGCGGTCGAGGCAGAAGCGGAGAAGACGCGCTGGGAACGTGGAGGCCACCTTGCTTCGCACAAGATGGCGGATGACACAGGCGGCGCGCCGCCTTTGTCCTCTTCTTATATAAGCCAGCTGGCGTGGCCCCGCCCACTTCCCGATCGATCGCTTCCCTAGCCAATTGCAAGTACGATGCTGGATGACACTAAGTTACGAAGCGCTGCTCTTTCCTATTGGTTCTCGAGTAAGAGGCGGGAGGCTTGGAGGCGCTGAGGCTTCCACTTGGCCAATGAGTGCAAAAGGAGTTGGCTGTAGGCCACTGTGATTCGCTGGGAGAAATTTGAATGGGTCTGCCAGATCAATTTTCCCGTGAAAGCATATAGCCAGGGCCCTATCAGCTCCTGGGGAGAGCTGTTGGAGGGCTCTTTTTCTTCCTAGATTGCCTTTATAAGCACTCTGCTGGTATCCTTTCCTGGAAAGAACAGATGGTCTTTAGCTTAAAGACATAAATTGAGTTCCTGCTATCTACTCTACCTGAGCCAATATTAATTAGAGCTATAAACTTGTACTGATTTATAACAGTACAAGTTATAAATTGATTTCATTTTGGCACCTCATGGGAGTACAGGTCGGTTCTAGTAGTATAAACTTCCCAGTAGGCTTATATGAGTACTCTCAGTTCAAACAGAACAGAGATCCTGGTTTTGTTTTTGTTTGCAGACTGATACACAAACACAAATTACAAGAGGACTCTAACCTTTTCCCCTAATTTCACTACCATTCAGCATTTTATGAACACATTCTTAAAAATTGCAATATCAGACCTCCCTGGAGGCACAAGGGTTAAAGTCTCAGCATTATCAAGCTATCCCCAGCCACTATGGCATGAGTTCAATCCCTGGCCAGGGAGCTAACCCACATGGCGCAGCTGACCTCTCCTGTCTCACCTGCAGCACCCCGAGTGTATTTCAGTAGATCTCCCTGTTCTGCTCCCCACTCTGTCTCTGGTGAATCCTCTCACCCCCGCCACTCTAACCTGCACTCCAGCTCTTGTATGCATAAATAAATAAAAATAAATCTTTAAAAAGTTGCAGGGCCTCCCCAGTGGCCCAGCGGGTTGAGTGCAGCGCTATTAAGCTGTCTACAGCCTCTGCAGCACAGGTTCCATTCCCAGCCGGCCAAGGAGATACCCACATGGTGCAACGGAAGTCTCCTTCCTCGCCTGCTGCTCCCCTCAGCAGAGTCTTCGGTCCATCTGCCTGTTCTGCTCACCGCTCTGTCTCTGGTGAATTCTCTCACCCTCCGGCACCTCTGACCTGTACCCTAGTTCTTGTATAAAATAAGTAAATCTTTTTTAAAAATTGCAATATCAGCCTTTCAACCAGAACCACCATCTTCCAGTAAATCACCAAAATGATCAACATAAAGGGAAAGAAAAGAGGCACATGTAGATGGTCTCTAAATCTTTAAGAAAATATTGAGTTGTTTCTTTGGCCATGTCCATGAGAATCTATAAGAAAGGTGATAGCCCATTCAATAGAATGGGCACTGTTCAAAAAGGAGTGCCCCACAAATGTTACCATGGCAAAACCGGAAGAGTCTATAATACTACCCAGCATGTAGTGGGCAGTGTTGTAAACAAACAGTTAAGGGTAAAGTCTTGCCAAGAGCACTGATGTGTGTATTGAGAATATTATACTCTCTAAGAGCCAAGATAGTTACTAAAACATGTGAAAGAAAATGATCAGGAAAAAAAATGGAAGCCAGGGCCTCCCTGTTGGCATAGGGGTTAAACACACTGCTATCAAGCTAACACCAGCTACTGCAGCATGAGTTTGATCCCCAGCCAGCCAGGGAGCAGCCCACATGGCACAGCCAACCTCTCCTGTCTGGCCCTCTGCTCCCCTCAGCAGTAGATATGCCTGTTCTGCTCCCCACTCTCTCTGGTGAATCCTCTCACACACACCCCCTTACCTCTGGTCTACACCCCAGTTCTTGTACACGTGAAAAAATGAATCTTATAAAAAAAAAGGAAGCCAGGGCCTCCCTGGTAGCACAGTGGTAGAGCGCTGGGCTGCGAAGCTGCCCGCAGCCTCTGCAGCGCCCGTTCAATCCCCGGTCGCCAGGCTAGGGTCCCACATGGCACGCAGACCTCTCCTGTGGCACCCACTGCTCCCCTCAGCAGTGTACTTCTTCTTCAGTCTGCCTGTTTTGTTCCCTGCTCCTGCTCTCTTACACTCCTGTGCTTCTGACTGTGCCCAGTGCTTATATAAATAAATAAATAAATCTTTAAAAAAAAAGGGAAGCCAAAGAAAGCTATTTGAGTTCAGTTGCAGTGCCAGCCTGCTCCCCCCAGAGAAGCACACTTTGTGAGAACCAACAGGATGTTGTTTTAATCTTCAGTCTTGTTACAAAGAAGACTACTTGCTGTTACCTACCTTTGGTAAATAATTCTTCCATTAATATTAGCTCATGGCTCACTGTTCATCAACATCATTCAACATATTTGCCTCCTCTCTCCAACAATCTTTCCTTCCATGCTATAGTAGCCATCCCAATCTCAGTGTGGTCATCTCTGTGTTTGTTATTGCCAACAATTTGGCAAAATTTCTGTTTCAAATATCCCAACTGATCACCTTTTTTCCTTCTGGTTCACATGTGATAGTAACTAACTCCTATTCTTTTACTTCATCAAAACCTCCAAACCAGGGGCCTCCCCGGTGGCACAGCGGTTGAGCGCTGGGTTGCGAAGCTGGCCGCAGCCTCTGCAGCGCAGGTTCGATCCCCGGCTGCTCCCCGGCCACCGGAGGAGGGTACCACACGGCGCGCAGACCTCTCCTGCCGCCCGCTGCTCCCCTCAGCAGTGTACTTCGGTCCTTCTGCCTGCTCTGCTTCCCGCTCTGGCTCTGGTGAATTCTCTCACCCTCCCGTGCTTCTGACTGTACCCAGTGCTTGTATAAATAAATTAATAAATCTTAAAAAAAGAAAAAGAAAAAAGAAATTCAACAGCTGAAAATATTAAAAAAAAAAACAAACCTCCAAACCAGGGCCTCCCCTGATGGCGCAACGGTTGAGTGCTAGGCTGTGAAGCTGCCCGCAGCCTCTGCGGCGCCTCCATCCCTGGCTGCCGTCGAGGGTCCCACACGGTGCGCAGACCTCTCCTGCCGCGCCCACTGCTCCCCTCAGCAGTGTACTTCGGTCCTTCTGCCTGCTCTGCTCCCCGCTCTGGCTCTGGTGAATTCTCTCACCCTCCCGCGCTTCTGACTGTACCCAGTGCTTGTATAAAAAAATTAATAAATCTTTAAAGAAAAAAAAACTCCAAACCAGTAGATGAGTTGCTTTTCACTCTCTCTTGTTGTTGTATTTGTATCTTGTGTCACCCAGTTTAGGTGTTACAATTGCCCACAAACACATATAACTTTTTTTCCTTTCTCACTTTTACTCACCTGGTAAAATCTCAACTCTAGTTGAGCCCAACAATTCACCTTCTTTAACTGGGGCTCAGGCTTTCACTGTAAATTCTTAACCACCTCAAAAATGCATTAGAGGGCCTCCCCGGTGGCGCAGCGGTAGAGCGCTGGGTTGCGAAGCTGCCCGCGGCCTCTGCGGCGCCGGTTCAATCCCCGGCTGCTCCCCAGCCACCGGAGGAGGGTCCCACATGGCGCGCAGACCTCCCCTGCCGCCCGCTGCTCCCCTCAGCAGTGTACTTCGGTCCTTCTGCCTGCTCTGCTCCCCGCTCTGGCTCTGGTGAATTCTCTCACCCTCCCGCGCTTCTGACTGTACCCAGTGCATGTATAAACAAAACAAACAAACAAGCAAACAAATAAATAAAGAAAAACATGCCTCTATAAAAAAAAAAAAATGCATTAGACTTTTCCTGGCAATCTTAACTGAATTTCCTAGTAACTTCACTTTCAGGAGTAGTATGTTTTATACTTTTTCTCTGTTCAAACTCCTACACTTTCTCATTCCACATTAACTGTTGACTTCATCATATATTTCTTTGAGAAGGGGAGAATCATAAAAGAGCAACTTGCTTATCTAGCTGGGAAGCCAGAAGCCTACATGTACTTATGCTCTTCTATTTTTCTGATAACATGAAAGATATGCCTATCAAAGGGAAAACCTTCCCCGGTTATTTATTTATTTATACAAGAACCGGGGTACAGGCCAGATTTGCAAGAGGGTGAGAGGATTCACCAGAGACAGAGAGGGAACAGAAAAGGCAGACTGATGAAATACACTGCTGAGGGGAGCAGCAGGCGAGACAAGAGAGATACCCACTGCTGCGCAATGTGGGTATCTCTGCGCCCCGCCGGGACTGAAACTGTGCTGCAGAGGCTGCAGACAGCCTCACAGTGCTGGGCTCAACCGCCTGCACCACCAGGCAGCCCCCTTACCCTAGTTTTGTAGATCTTACCCCTCTTGTCTTCTCAAGGATTTTCCTTGCTATTTCACCAATTACTTCTGGATCGTTACCATCTTTTTTTTTTAAAGATTTATTTATTTATGCATACATGAACTGGGGTACAGGCCAGAGGTGCAGGGGGTAAGAGGATTCACCAGAGACAGAGTGGGGAGCAGTACAGGCAGATGGGCCGAAATACCCTGCTGAGGGGAGCAGCGGGCGAGCCAGGAGAGTTCCGCTGCACCATGTGGGTATCTCTCTGGTGGGGGATTGAACTCGTGCTGCAGTGGCTGCAGATAGCGTCATAGGTTGTTTCTTAACCCCTGCGCCACCAGTGAGGCCCTTGATCATTATACCATCTTAAAAAAAAAAAAAAAAAAAAAAAGAAACGAAAATAACACCACCACAAACACTTGCCCTTTATCCTATCTCATTTCTTCCTTGTAACAAGACTAAAACAAGTTGTCTACATTCCAGGTCTCTCCAGTTCCACTTTTTTTTTTAATTTATGCTACAAATAATGAATGAATGTTACTTGCTACATTATTATTTAAAGGGTTATTCCAATTCTTTTTTTTTCTTAAGGTTTATTTTATTTATGCATACAAGAACTGGGGTATAGGCCAGAGGTGCAGGGTTGGGGGTGAGGATTCACCAGAGACAGAGTAGGGATCAGAACAGGCAGATCTACTGAAA